GTTGTAACTTTGTGACTTTTTGCCTCTTGCGTTGTGTCAACGTTATGGTAAGGTGTCATCAGTAAATGACGTCACGCTTTTTTGGACGATTTTACCCCCCTCCAATCCGTCACACGTCGTCACAAAAAGCCAGACCCCCCCCTAAAATGACGTCACACCTCAGCCTACAACCCCCCCCCCCCCCCCCCCCCCAAAATTGCTGTTGAATTTTCCTTAAAACATCTATATTTTACCAAAATCTTGTTAGTCGTTTTCTAGCATTGCTTTTTTATAATGCAAAAAAAGTGACGTCACACCATCTGAACAACCCCCCCCCCCTCCCCACACACCGTCACAAAATTACAGACTCCCCTCCCCCAACGAGTGTGACGTCATTTATGTACCAACCCTAAATGGAAAAGTACGCAAACATGACTGTAAGAGTAAGTTAGCCAACAAGCGAACAAGTGGTTCCTAACATTATTGGAGGTATTGAACCCCTTTAGTTTCATATGCGCATTCACCAAACCGTTCATAATTGTTCTATTGTCCGCACTGACAAAATCTGATCGCGAATCATGAGTCGAGTGTGTCTTGACCTACGCCCGAACCCACGAGACAGACTCATCAAACCCCTGGGGTTCGGTGAAACCGAAGTTAAGAACCACTGGGTTAGATTGAAATGCCATAAAGTCATTGGCTATGGTTCTCACGATGCTACAGTAGTCATGTTCCCCAGGGTTATATTGGCTTGTCAAGTTATTCAGGTTGTCATGTTGACCAGCGTTGTAATGTTGGTTTTTCATACTGCTACAGCAGTCATGTTCCCCAGGGTTGTCATGTTCCCCAGGTTTGGCATGTTGGTTTGTCATACTGCTAGGGTTCTCATGTTGGCCAGGGTTGTCATGTTGGTTTACTGCTAGGGTTGAATTATTGGCTAGGATTGTCATATGTTGCAAGGGTTGCCATCTTTGTGAAGCTGCCAAGGTTTTCAATGTTCCAAAGTTTTCATTTGCAATGTTTTTCATATGGCATAGGATTGCCATAATGGCTTAGCTTATGGAGGGTTTCCATTCTAGCTAGCTCTGTCAAGTTGCTAGATTTGTTAATAAATTGTCTTGGCTTGTCATGCTACTAGCTTTGTCATATTGGTTTTATCATGATGCTAGGGCAAAGGTTGTAATGCTGCTGAAGCTCTCATTGTTCCTAGGGTTGTTAGGTTTTTCATACTAGCTAGGTTTGTTATAATAACTAGGGTTCTCATGATGGTTAAAGTTGCATACTGGCTAGTGTTGTCCTGTTGCCTAAGGTTGTCACCTTGGTTGTGGTTGTCATATTAGCTAGGGTTGTCCTGTTGAAGATTGTCAAGTATACCAGAGTTATCATGTTCTCACCTTTGATACCTAGTTTTTGTTTTTTGTTTTTTTTTTATTTTACAACCTGTTAGCAAAGATTTTTTTTTCATTACTACCTGCATCTGTATTATCTTTGATGAATTTTATTCCTCTCTTGATACTCTGACTTTTAAGCTAAATAGGCAACCAATAGACTACTATACATACGCACTATATTATTTTTACATTTTAAAATTCCTTATTTAACAACTAAGTCCCTTCTGTCAAATAAAGAAGTTCTGGGTTTGATTTAGAATTGTGGGTTAGGACTAATGGTTTGTGTAAAGTGTAGGAGGATAATTTTATTTTTCTATGTGAAAGTTTAAATTATATAAAATCATGAACTTAATTTATAATTAGATACTAAAAGTGTAATGTATAACAAGCAATTAAAAGTGTGATCAAAACATGTACAAACTAATGTATACTTAGCCTGTAAATAGCTGCAAGACAGAATATTCCTGTATTAAATATTATTAAAACAATTAGATGAGCGAAATATTGGATATTATTATAGAGACTATTAGTTTTATTGTCTCTAATAGAAATCTTAGCACAGTTTTTGTATTCTGTTAGATTTTATAATATTATGAAGCTAAACAAATCAAATTAAAATGTAAGTAGTTTCAAAGAATTATTCTAAAAATTTAAAATCTGAAAACTAAACTTGAAAGTAAACATTGTCCTTTGAATTTCTTAGCATTAATGCTCAAAGCATGTTAACTTTTATAATGTGATTTTGTCTGTTGCAGTATATAACTATAAGCAAAGTTCTGTGTTCTCCCCTTGTAAACTGAATAAATAAAGTTCCCTTTATGACCTGGCGACTCACAGGGCAGGTGAAGTAAAGTTCACCTGTTCAGTTGCCCCAACATATAAAGGGATAGAGTGGTCAGCACTGTGCCCCACCTCATTGGACTATGCCATAGAGTGGAAAATTATTGATCATTATATAATTTAAAAAATTGTATAATATCGATGGTCTCGGTCGCAAACCGTCTAACTCCGAAAATGTAAATTTTACAGGAGAGACAAAAAACTGATTATTTCCTTCTCGATCGCTCTAATACAAATTTTTTTTAATGATATCTCCGAAGAAACTCTCTACCGACTATACTGTAGCGTTTTAAAATGAGTTTTGTTAATATTTACAAAATGATAGCAGGTTTTAAAAGATAGACGGTTTGCTCGGTCTAAAATTCTCGGTGCAAATCGTCTATCTGTACGCGCGCAAACTTAGCTGTTTTGAGCCGAGAATTTCGGTCTCAGCCGCGTTTGTTCGTTTTGTTCAATGAACGTGATTTAGTTATGTTTATGTTTTTAAGTTATAATTAACACTTCATAATATTTAGATTATAGTTTTGGGCTCATATTTAAATTATTTGAGTTTATTCTTCATTATGGGGTCAGTTTAATTTTTAGTAGAGATGTTTTAGTATGGCTTTATCGCTTTCGACTGTATTCACTATGTCTGTATTTAGCACTAGACTTGTTAACTGTTGAAGGTTATGCTTTATTTATAACATCTTTCTATTCTCACAGTTTATTTTACTTAATCTGTTGGGTGCTGGGTTTGTAGAATGATAATAATAAAAACAGAAACCGTATTGTCAGATATATTATGAATGAGACATAACACACTAATCACATTAATACTGACTTAATGTTTACTTATTTTACAAAAATGTAACACATAAAAAATGTGTTTATTTTTTAAAATTTATTCTTTGAATAAACTTCACATAAAGAAACATCAAAATGTCAACATATTTTTAAAATCAGGGAAATCATCATAAAAAGGCGTGTTTATTACTTGCTTTTAGGTGCTCAAATATGACAGCTTTTATCTTTTTTTCTGCTCTTGTACAACTTGTCAGGGGCTACAGATGAGATGAGAGAGGCTTGTCTATTGTAGGATAAGACTAATCTTTAGAGAGAGGCTGGTCTCTTGTATGGTAAGAATGGTCTGTTGAGAGAGGCTGGTATCTTGGAGGGTAAGATTGGTCAGTTGAAAGAGATTGGTCTTTTGTATATTACAACTGGTCTGCTGAGAGAGACTGGTCTCTTGTATGGTAAGAATGGTGTGTTGAGAGAGGCTGGTATCTTTGAGGGTAAGATTGGTCAGTTGAGAGAGATTAGTCTTTTGTATATTACGACTGGTCTGCTGAGAGAGATTGGTCTCTTGTAAGTTACTGGTGCCTTAAAGGGTTAGACAAGTTTGTTGTTATATTCTGGTGTCCTGTATGGTAAGATTGAACATTTAAGAGAGTTTGGTCTTTTGTATGTTACAACTGGTCTGTTGTGAAAGGCTGGTCTGTTGAGAGATGCTGGTGCCTTTACGATTTGTAAGTTGACAGATGCTGGTGTCTTGTATGGTAAGACTGGTCTGTTGAGAGAGACTGATATGTTGAGAGGTTGGTCTGTTGAGAGAGGCTGATCTGTTGAGAGAGGCTGGTCTGTTGCTAGAGACTGGTCTGTCGAGAGAGGCTGGTCTGTCGAGAGAGGCTGATCTGTTAAAAGAGGCTGATCTGTTGAGAGAGGCTGGTCTGTTATGTGGTAAGACTGGTATGTTGAGAGAGGCTGGTCTGTTGAGAGAGGCCGATCTGTTGAGAGAGGCTGGTCTGTTGCTAGAGACTGGTCTGTTGAGAGAGGCTGGTATGTTGAGAGAGGCTGGTATGTCGAGAGAGGCTGGTCTGTTGAGAGAGGCTTATTTGTTAAGAGAGGCTGGTCTGTTGAGAGAAGCTGGTCTTTTGAGAGAGGCTGATCTGTTAAGAGAGGCTGGTCTGTTGAGAGAAGCTGGTATGTTATGTGGTAAGGCTGGTCTGTTGAGACAGGCTGATATGTTGAGAGGCTGGCCTGTTGAGAGAGGTTGGTATGCTGAGAGAGGCTGGTGTGTTAATATAGGCTTATCTGTTCTAAAATTAATCATAAAAGCATTTACTAAAGACAACTAACCATGTCGTTGAACATGTACGCCAAACATTTTGTAACCTACCATATAAACATTTCTTAACACGTATCTAAACCCTCAATCTAAAGCTAGTAGTGAATTAACAATAATTAAATTTATTGCACATTCTTGTGGAAATATAATTCGAATAATATTGTTTTGATTGATATTTAGATTCTAGAATGAAGATCTAGTTTCAAAGTATTGTGTTAGCCTAAAAAACTGTAAACAAATCAGTTTGGTTATTGAAAATCTGGAAATAGTCTATATTAAACAAATACTATTTGTTTATTATTCTTTAAAATGATAAATGTAATAGAATAGTTGAACATAATTAATCAAATATCCTACCTATAAGTACTGTGTCTGCTGTGCTGTAAAATTGTGTGATTGCGGCGTGCGACTGCGTTCCCGATCTAAGTGTACTGACAAATATAGCGATATTCGTTTTGCGCCGAGATTTTTAGCGCTAGAATTAATAGGCGGTTTGTTAAAATGATTATATCTCAATAATCATTCTACAGATTTCTCAAATATTTTTTAGGCATTATGGGGAATCATATTGGCTTTTGATTTATTTAAAAAAAAGAAAATCGAATTTTTTTGAGTTAGAGGGTTTGCGACCGAGACCATCGATATATAGCCAACAATTCCCTTGAGGAATGCTATACATTATATCAAGAAACCTCAAAGTACTGAGTGGTAGGATTGTATGTGCAGCCTACATCTGTTGCAGTTTCACTGGGATTGAAATCAATAGTTAGACAATTGATAACCATTGCCCTCATGGTGGGAGATGGATTTAACCTGTTAATTAAGAACTGGAGTAAAGGATTTTTACAATGTTTTTAATTAAGAACTGGAGTAAAGGATTTTTACACTGTTTTTGGTCCTTTCAACTTTCAGCTCATTTATTTTGCATCATATTTTTATAATAGCACTAGGAAAAAATGAAACTGTTGTGCAATAGTAATAATGGTGAGAAATTATTGGCAATGGATTTTTTTTTTAAACCACAATGCCTTGGTAGAATCAAAACATAAAAAATTGACATCTAACATTGACATACAGTTTGACATATAAAGGTCCTCATATCTCAAGTAGCTTAAGCCCCTAGTAATCCTAAATGTGTCCTGTATATACCATTTTACTTGCATTCAATATTGTGTTACCCTGATGACTTTTACAAAACCCGTTCAATTTAACTAAAACTTTTAATAAAAGTTACAAGAATGTACTTAGCACCTACATACTAACTCAGCTACACAAAATGAACAAGAAAAACTTGATATTTAAAAAAATTTAAATGCTAACATTAAAAGTCAAACAAATAACAAGAATTAAAATTTGAACAATGAAATTAGATTTAAAAAAAGGTAATTCATTAAAAAGGGCACTTCAGATGACACTGGAAGTAAAGCTTATATCATAGGGATAATTTCACTTGTGGGTTCTCATTGCTGATTGGCAAAATGTGAAAAATTTAAAAAACCTTATTTACCACACTTGTTTTTCTTCTGTATGAATTCTCATGTGTCTTGTGATATAGCTAAGTTCCCTAAACAATTTGCCACAATTATCACACTTGTAAGGTTTTTCACTAGTATGAATTTTATGGTGTATCCGTAAACTGGAAGCCCAAGAGAAACATCTACCACATTTGTCACACTTGTAAGGTTTTTCTCCAGTATGATTTCTAATGTGATTTCTTAAAGTGCTCCGTAGTCCAAAATGAATACCACATATGTCACACCTGTAAGGCCTTTCTATTTTATGAGAATTTTGGTGTTTCAGTAAAATGGAAGATTGTAAGAAACATTTACCACATTCTTCACACTTATTATTTTTTTGTCCTGTGTGAATTCTATGATGCTTCTTTAAACCTGAAGAATATAAGAAAAATGTTCACACTTATCACACCTGTAAAGCTTTCCTGTTACTTGAATTTTACAGTGGTTCTGTAAATAGGAAAGGAGTGCAAAACATTTATCACATTTTTCACACATGTAAGTCATTTCACCAGTATGGATTGCTTGGTGTTTCCTTTAATTTTTTTTTTGTTTCAAACATTTACCATATTTCCCACACTTGTAAGGTTTTTCATTTGTATAAATTCTAGTGTTTTTGAATTTTTGAGAGCTCCATGAAACATTTGCCACATTTGTCACACTTATGAGGTTAAGCATGAATTCTAAAGTGGGACCTTAGAGTGCTCTTCAATGCAAAAGATTTACCACATTTGTCACACTTGAATAGCTTTTCTCCTGTATGAACTCTGTGGTGTCTCAGTAAACTGTTAGATTCTGTGAAACATTTACCACATGCACCACACTTGTAAGGTTTTTCTCCAGTATGATATCTATGGTGAATTTTTAAACTTGAGAAATGTGTGAAGCATTTACCACATGTGTCACACTTGTAAGGCTTTTCTCCAGTATGAATTCTATGATGCTTACTTAAACTTGCAAGTCTTGTGAAACATTTACCACAAGTGACACACTTGTAAGGCTTTTCTCCTGTGTGAATTACATTGTGTCTCTTTACACCAGAGGAAGATGTGAAACATTTCCCACAACTGACACACTTATAAGGCTTTTCTCCTGTGTGAATTAGATTGTGGTTCTTTAAACCAGAGAAACATGTGAAGCATTTACCACATGTGTCACACTTGTAAGGCTTTTCTCCTGTATGAATTCTATTGTGTGCCTGTAAAATATAGAAAAATGCAAAACATTTTCCACATTTTTCACACCTGAAAGGCTTTTCACCTGTATGAATTTTATAGTGGCACTGTAAATAGGTCAGGCTCACAAAACATTTACCACATTTGTCACACATGTAAGGCTTTTCACCTGTATGGATTCTATGGTGTTCGTGTAAAGATTTAATTTGCATGAAACATTTTCCACATTTGTCACACCTGTATGGTTTTTCTGTTATATGAATTTTACAGTGGTTCTGTAAATAATTCAGGTGTGCAAAACATTTACCACACTTATCACACCTGTAAGGCTTTTCTCTTGTATGAATTTTACAGTGGTTCTGTAAATAGTCCAGGAGTTTAAAACATTTACCACATTTTTCACACATGAAAGGCTTTTCACCAGTATGGATTGCTTGGTGTTTCTGTAAATATTTACTTTGTTTGAAACATTTACCACATTTATCACACTTGTGAGGCTTTACACATGTATGAATTCTACAGTGTTTCTGAAACTTCGAGAGCTTCATGAAGCCTTTGCCACATTTGTCACAATTATGAGGTTTAGCATGAATTCTAAAGTGGGTTTGTAATGTGCTCTTCAATACAAAAGATTTACCACATTTGTCACAACTGTAAGGTAATTCACCTGTGTGAATTCTAAGGTGGTTGTTTAAAGAATGACTTGTTGATAAACATTTACCACATTTGTCACACTTGAAAGGCTTTTCAAAGTTTTGATTTCTAAGGTGTATCTCTAATTGAGTAAGCTGTAAAAAACTTTTATCACAGTTGTTACATTTGTAAGGCTTATCATCTGAATGAATTTTAACATGTTTCTTTAGGTATTCACAATCCTTAAACCATCTACCACATTTGACACAATTGAAAGGCCTTTCTCCTGAATGACTTGTAACATGTTTCTTTAAATCCCAAAAAGCTGTGAAACATTTACCACAAAGGTCACACTTGTAAGGTTTTATTCCATTATGAATTCTGATGTGTTTCCGTAAGTGTGATGAATCTTTAAAATATTTACCACATTTGTCACAGTTGAAAGGCTTTTCTCCTGTATGAACTCTGTGATGTCTCAGTAAACTGTTAGATTCTGTGAAACTTTTACCACATGTGCCACATTTGAAAGGTTTTTCTCCAGTATGAAATCTATTGTGACTCTTTAAATGTGAGAATTGTGTGAAGCATTTACCACATGTGTCACACTTGTAAGGCTTTTCTCCTGAATGAATTAGAAGGTGTCTCTGTAAACTTGAAAACTGCAAAAAACATTTGCCACATGTTTCACAAGTAAAAGGCTTTAATCCTGTATGAGTTTTAAGGTGCTTTTTTATTTGGAAAAGCTTTGTATAATATTTACCACATATGTCACACTTGTAAGGCTTTTCTTCTGAACCATTTTTTAAATGGCCAATCTTTGTGTCACATTCATTAGGCTTTTTTTCAGTGTGATTTCTAAGGTGTTTCTTCCATTGGCTAAGCTTTGTAAAACATTTATTACATCTGTCACACTTGTAAGCCTTTTCTTTCATAAAAGTTATAAGATGTTGATAAAAATTAGACGGTTGGAAAGAATCTTCACTATTTTTAGGAGTGAGAGCTAGACTCCAATTGGCTATTTCTTGCCCTCCATGTTTGAATTTCAAATGTGCCTTCAAAAAGGAAACATTTGAAAATGCCACTCTGCAATATTGACATGGATAGAGATCTGTAAAATAATATTATTGAATTGAAATTTGTTAATGTTTAATTTTTTTGTAATTTTTTTTGTAAGTGTTTATTTTATCATGCTTTTTAGTGATTACTTCAAACAGTGGACATATTGATGACTGAATTCTATATTGGACACAGTGATGATTAATTCATACAGTAGACACAGTGATGATTTATCAATACAGTGGACACAGTTGTGACTGATATAGTGACCACAGTGATGACTGATAAATTGGAGATAGTGATGACTGAATAAAATATGCGACACAGTGATGACTAATTGATACAGTGGACATAGTAATGACATCAGGCATGACAAGTGAACTACATAAAAACTACAATTAAGACCAAAAAATCTTATCATGGAGATAAGATTAGGTTGTTGTTTGCCTACTTTTTAAAGCTGTTGCATTGATAGTGATGGCTGCAAGCAATGAGCAAATTCTAAGATGCCCCTGATTAGCTTATAACAATGAACAATTAGTGTTTGCAATGCACTTTCCATCTACAGTATTTTTTTTCATTTTGATGGGAACAAAGTAGCGGAAGATCATGTACATTTTTTAAACTTTGGCAACTGATAGAAAATCAAGTGCCCTGACATAATAAATTAATTTCAAGCATTTAAAATATCTCTGACCCTTTTAAAAACTAATGAGTGAAAATAATATTTTGACTGAGGCAACAGCAAACACTAAGCCCACCATTTAGCCCACCATGTATTTGAATGCTGAACGGACAAACATGCCACAACAACACTCCTTAAAATTAACCCATCATATCACCAAAAGCATCGTAGCCATTTAAAAACAAACAAGATTTTTTTTTTGAAAAATCATTTCCATGGCTACTGATCAATTCTGTTAATTAAACTTAGAAATAAATTAAAGATATATAAATGTAGTTTTCAATTGTTTTAGTCATCTTAAACAATAATAAAGCTAAAAATCTTATGCCACACCCTAGATAAGATGTAGGTGCTGGGTGAATTTGCACAGTGTAAAGCGTAAGGGTATGCATCATACAGTCATTAATCACCTTAGACTTAACTTGCATACAAAACTTTAAATAATTGATGAAATGGATTTACCACCAGTATTGCTCTCCATTTTGATGAAACTGTTCTTGTTTACAACACCAACCCTCTGTAAATAAATGCCCAAGTCTCTGGCATAGCTGTCACCAAATTACACCTGAAAATATCAGAATACTGTTTTATACTAGTCAACTGAAACATTGCTGTCACTATATTATTTACATGATGGTTTTGTATTTCAAAACCCTCATGCCTAGATGGTGGGCATGTGTATGCTGAGGTACCACACTATGGGTAAGTGTATATGTATATATATGTATATATATATATATATATATATATATATATATATATATGTATGTATATAATATATGTATAATTTCACAAAAAATTATAAGAAATTATTTCGGTAACATTTTTTGTGTTTCATACAAATTAGTTACTTAATTTTATTTTATTAGTGTAACTTTTTATTATTTTTATCTATTTCAATCAGTAGCTATTTTATATTTAAACGAGCCGGCCCGCGGCATAACATACGCCGCTATTTAGTTGTTGTTTTTTCTACTTTTCAGTAATTCATAATTTGTGAATTCGACAGTACCAATGCTGACACTGAAAATATTTCTTTAAAACACTATAAGTAGCTCGTTAAGGACTATAACCCCCCCCCCCCCCAACGTTTAAAATCGTTTCAAACTAAATTATCTGCCCCTAATAGCTGTCACTAAACCCGACTCCACTAAGGTAAACATAGCGTGAACCACAGCTCACTAAGACCATGTAGGGGTGGGGATGGTAGGGAGCGCGTTTACAGCTTGTTTTCTAGCGTCTCCCAGAAGAGAATTATATATATAGATAATTTACTTTTTGAATATGAAAATTTAGATCTTCGATTTATCCAGTTAAAAGACAGGCCTAATATATTAATTTATTTCTATTTCGTCCAGCTACATCTAGAATCTAACTAGATAGAAAGTCTAGATTAGATCTAGAGTTTCTTGAGAGTACATAAGACTAGATTGTCACTGGTGACTGGATTCTAAAATCGAGACCTAGAAATCTAGATTGTCTGACTATACTATTTATTAGTATTTATACTATTTAACTAGATCTAGATTCTGTCTATAGTAATCTATACTTAAATCTATATCTAGAATCTATAAATAATCTTTTCTACTAACTTAACTTCGATCTATTATTATTTCATAGATGTAGTTATAGGTAGATCTATTGTCTAGAGATCTATAAAATTTAAGAAACCAATCTTATGACATCTAGAATCTAGATGTAGATGTCGATCTAAAATAATGTAAAATCTAGATGGCGATTGGGGCGAATGTTGTTTTGATATTGACAGTAGAGGGGTGGAAGGGGGGGGGGGGGGGGGAGCGGAGAAAGGAAGGTCTGGTATTAACAATACACATTAAATATTTGGTGTATTCAGAAAACCTTTTTATTTTGATGGGAAGGCAAATAATGTACTTGTACTGTTTACTTTTCCAGATAGAACCTACACTTCTAAAACCAGCACATCTCTACAATATGATAAGCAGTTATATGGCCTAATGACAGTTAAATGGTCTAATGATGGAACACTATGTAAAAGAGAAATTAAAACTATTAAAATAAATAATGAGTCCATCTTTTATTTAGGCAAACTAATTAATTTGTGATATGAATTAATTCCTTTAAAAACCAACCAATGTTGAACTTCCCCTGAAATGTAATATATTAATGAATAGGCAGAAACACATCTTTTTTAATTAAACTATATATATAAGTATACCAACAAGTTTATTACATTTATACGAATAAAACACCTTACATTTCTAATAGATATAATTTGCCTTCATTTTTTAAATTTAAATATATGCACTCAGTTTTTTAATCATGTCAGGTGTGTCGATGACTCAGCATTTTACATTTTTACCATCCTTTACCTATTTGTCAACTATTTAGATAGAACCATCAAACACACTTATTTTAGAGCTTCACTCTAGTTAGTTGTTAGCTTTAGATTCAAATAGATTGAGCCTAAACAAATAGTGTATAAACAAATTTCGTATTTAAAAATAGGGGGTGTACCCTGTTCCACCCCTTATTTTTTTGTAAAACAGATAGATTTAAACACATATTTTGATTGTTTCTGTTTAAGAATAGAATCATCTAGAGCCAGGCAAATTTTGAGACTTAAGTGCTTAATAACTCAAATTTGCCATCATGTTGCATTTAACATCAACAAGACTTCGGTTTTGCGAAATTGCATAATCTATCAGCTTTGTAGCAGTTAAAACAAAAATCTTTTCAGTTATGAATATTATTTTGATTGCAATACCTGACACATCCATAGCTCATCATTCTCAGCAAGTTTGAGCTTAATTTTTCAAAGTGTTAAAATTTTAACTGAGATTTTATGAATGCACTGTATATGAAAAAATAGGGGGGGGGGGGTACCCTGATCTACTTCTGTTTTTGTTTAACTCTGACCATAAATTTTTTTTTTTCATTGTTTATTATGCTTCCATATATAATAAATAAAGATATTGCAAAGTTATAACCAATTTGACCATATGGTTTGCAAGCTAGGACAATTTTAGTAAACGCTTAAAAAAACTCTATCACAGAAATTGGAAAAAATCCTATGTTAAAAAAAATCACCTTTTTTAATACGAAAAAAAAACATAACTATTTAAAGGTTTGAAAGAAAACTGTTTTGTTATTGTAATTTTTTGCTCCTTTTAACTGTTGTGGTTGTTTCCCTATTAAACCAATTTTCAAAATTTATACTAGTAGGGGCCCTACCTAGTAAGTTAGAATGGTTTCACTGGACCTCTAACTATAATTTTACTAGATTTAGATCTAGATCTAGCTAGATCTAGATTCTAGATCTAGATTCTAGATCTAGCTAGATCTAGATTCTAGATCTAAACAAAAACTTAAACAAGATGGCTGCTAAAATAAATAAGCTTGGTTTCATCTATGATCTAACTAATGAAAACATCGCTAGTCTTTCTTTATTTAGATCTATTACTATTACTCTACTGAACTGAAACGTTTTAATACGATTGTGTACCTGTTTTTAATAAAAACAGGTAGATCTAGATCTCTACATTAATGAAACTTTGAAACATTTAAATAACTTTCAAAACATAAATTCAAAATTCTGCTAAAAATGTTAAAATAATTAGAATCTAGACTAGAAGCTAGATCTAGATCTAGTAGAATTACTAAAATTTAATTTTTTTAATGAGTGTCACCTTTTTTTCACTTTACTAGCCTCCGCCGATTTTTCGTACCTAAAACTAAATTAAAACGATAGATTACCTAATCACCAAAGGATAATTAGTATTAATTAGATTCTTGGCTAAAGACTTCAGCTGCGGGATTATTAATTAATATTAAAATGATAGTATGGTTTAATGAAACATTTTGAACGTTGTAGGCCTTGAAGCGCCATAACTTGCCTGCTTATGTACTCGCTACGACGTTTAGATCGCTACTCGGAACCATGGCAAACGTGACATTCTTGACCGAATCCGTAAAGCTATCGATAGATAAGGTTAATTTGTTCATTGAAGGCAGACTATAAGCCTGCTTATTTAAGAATTATTTTAATTGTAATAAGGTTTATGTTTTATGTTTATCAATTAAAATATGTATTAAACCTTCATAATATAGATCTACAAAATGTTTCATAATTAATTACGGCTTTTGGTAATCGATACTTATTGTACACTCGAAATTGGACTGTCGATTTCTTTTATTTTAAAGGGATGTAACTATTAAAGAATACTAGCAGCAGATACCCGGCGTTGCCTGGGTTTTGGGAATATCAACCATCTTTTTTTTCCATTTAAATTAAATTTTAAATGCAAATATGGACAATTTAGAAAATATTATTTACCCTAATCATAACCATATTTCTAAGCGCAACCATAACCCCAACCTTACCTCCATCACTGTCGAGTGTTGGTAAATGGCGAGACGCGAAATGGCGAGGCGGTAAATTTCGAGACGAAATGCGAGACAACGAATCTACTTGCGGAATCACGGGTAAATGGCAATAATTGCGGGATAATTCTTTGTTTCGTGCGAGTTCACAAATAGAATATTTTTTTGACTATATTTTTGAAAATCTACATCTAGACCTATATTTTAATTCTAAACGTCATTGACTCTTCATTCACCTTGCCCACTCATGTTTTCTTGTCTACGCAAGAAAAATACACCTAATTGCACCCTGAGAATAGCCTTACACCAGCAGAGGCGTAGCAAACCCTTCCGGCACCCGGGGCGGACTTTCAACTTTGACCCCATTCCTTCTATTTCTATCCATAGCTACTCATTTGTGAAAAAGCGCCCCCCCCCCCTCTCCAGTTGGTAAAGTTTGTGGCACTTCTTACAAACTATCCTGTAACATTTTTACTTTCTCGTATATACGAAGTATAGAGAAAGTCTTGTAATCGTGCAAAAAAAAAAAAACGAGATTTTTGCAAATCTCGACGTTTTACATCTCACTGATACGGAAAAACATAATTTTGCAATCTTGTCCGTATGTCTGTGTGTGTGTGTGTGTGTGTGTGTCCGTGTGTAAACACGATAACTTGAGTACCGTTACAGCTAGGTTGATGAAATTTCATATATAAGTATTTTATCAAAATCTTAGATCTGTATCAACTTTAGAGCGATTTCCGATAACCGGAAGTGGTGCTTTACCTACTTTGAATTTTTCAAAAGCCTATAACTTGAGTACTATTTCAGATAGATAAATGAAATTTGATATGTAAGTAAAAGATCTAATTTTCTACCTTCTGTCAAATTTTGAGTAATTTCCGTTGACCGGAAGTACTTATTTACGCTATTTCCGATTTCTCAAAAAACGGATGTAAATTTATAAAGTACTAATAATATTGCGCACTATTATGCACATCTTTATTTAGCGTTCACTTGGTGTGCATTTCTTTTTTCTACGAGATTATATTCTATTTTTAAAAATGTCAGTAATTAAAATGGATTAAAAATCATGTCTAGAAGTCTATATCCCGAGTTGCCATCCCCCGTAGTGTTATATTAGAATATTCGAGAAAGTTTAGGGGAGATCACTCCTGGTTTATTTATTTTGGTGACACAAAAACAGCTAAATCATTATGTAGAGCATGTAGTTTATTTTCGTAAAATTGATTGTGTATAATTAAATACTTCAGCTTAAAATGAGCTACGCCACTGCACACCAGCAACACGCTTTTTCTTCTATCACTTTTCAAAAATAAAAATATTATTTACCCATGAATGTTTTTTTAACTACAATGCCTTAGTAGGTTCAAAACATAAAAAAAAATTGTCATCTAACATTGACCTACTGTTTGACATATCAAGGTCCTCATATTTTAAATAGCTTAAGGCTTTAGTAATCCTAAATGTGTTCTGTATATACCATTTTACTTGTATTCAATATTGTGTTACCCTGATGACTTTTACAAAACCCGTTCAATTTAACTAAAACTTTTAATAATAGTTACCAGAATCATGAGAATGTACTTAGCACCTACATACTAACTCAGCTACACAAAATGAACAAAGAAATGCTTGATTTGATATTTTTAAAAATTTTAATGTTAACAGTAAAAGTCAAACAAATAACAAGAATTAAACTTGGAGCAATGAAATTAGTGATGGAGGTGATGCTTATCTCAAAAGATAATTTCAGTTGTGGATTCTCTTTGCTGGTTGGAAAATTGTGAAAGATCAGAAAAACTTGTACCTTATTTACCACACTTGTTTTTCTTCTGTATGAATTCTCATGTGTCTTGTGATATACCTAAGTTCCCTAAACAATTTGCCACAATTGTCACACTTGTAAGGTTTTTCACTAGTATGAATTTTATGGTGTATCCGTAAATTGGAAGCCCGTGTGAAACATCTACCACATTTGTCACACTTGTAAGGTTTTTCTCCAGTATGAGTTCTAAGGTGATTTCTTAAAGTGCTCCGTCGTCCAAAACGAGAACCACATATGTCACATCTGTACGGCCTTTCTTTTTTATGAAAATTTTGGTGTTTCAGTAAAGTGGAAAATTGCAAGAAACATTTACCACATTCTTCACACTTATTAATATTTTTTCCTGTGTGCATTTTATGGTGGTTCTTTAAACCTGAGATATGTCTGAAGCATTTACCACAAGTGACACACTTGTAAGGCTTTTCACCTGTATGAATTCTATAATGGTTCTTTAAACCTGAGGAATATAAGAAACATCTCCCACAATTGACACACTTGTAAGGCTTTTCTCCTGTATGAGTTCTATTGTGTGCCTGTAAAATGGACAAGAATGCAAAACATTTACCACACTTATCACACCTGTAAGGCTTTATTTCTGTATGAATTTTATAGTGGCACTGTAAACTTGTCAGGCTTACAAAACATTTACCACACTTATCACACCTGTAAGGCTTTTCTCTTTTATGAATTTTACAGTGGTTCTGTAAATAGTCCAGGAGTTTAAAACATTTACCACATTTTTCACACATGTAAGGCTTTTCACCAGTATGGATTGCTTGGTGTTTCCGTAAAGTTTTTTTTTGTTTGAAACATTTACCACATTTGCCACACTTGTGAGGCTTTACAGATGTATGAATTATACAGTGTTCCTGAAATTTTGAGAGCTCCATAAAGCATTTGCCACATTTGTCACACATATAAGTTTTAGCATGAATTCTAAAGTGGATCTGTAGAGTGCTCTTCAATGCAAATGATTCACCACATTTGTCACAACTGTATGGTAATTTAACTGTATGAATTCTAAGGTGGTTATTTAAAGAATGACTTGTTGTGAAACATTTGCAACATTTCTCACACTTGTAAGTCTTTTCTGAGTTTTGATTTCTAAGGTGTCTCTTTAAGCTAGTAAGCTGTAAAAAACTTTTATCACAGTTGTCACACTTGTAAGTCTTTTCTCTTGTATGAATTTTAAGGTGTCTCTTTAAATAACAAAATTTTGTGAAAACTTTACCACATGTGTCACACTTATAAGGTTTTATTCCAGTATGAATCCTTAAGTGTGTCCGTAAGCTTGATGCATCTTTGTAATATTTACCACATTTGTCACACTTGAAAGGCTTTTCTCCTGTATGAACTCTGTGGTGTCTCAGTAAACTGTTAGATTCTGTGAAACTTTGACCGAATGTGGTACACTTGTAAGGTTTTTCTCCAGTATGATATCTATGGTGCCTCTTTAAACTTGCAAGCTGTGTGAAACATTTCCCACAAATGATACACTTGTAAGGCTTTTCTCCTGTGTGAATTACATTGTGGTTCTTTAAACCAGAGGAAAATGTGAAACATTTACTACAAGTGACACATTTGTAAGGCTTTTCTCCTGTATGAATTCTATTGTGTGACTGTAAAATGGACGATAATGCAAAACATTTACCACATTTTTCACACATGTAAGGCTTTTCACCAGTATGGATTGCATTGTATTTCTGTAAAGTTTTACTTTGTGTAAAACATTTATTACATTTACCACACTTGCAAGGCTTTTCACATGTATGAATTCTACAGTGTTTCTGAAACTTTAAGAGCTTCATGAAGCCTTTGCCACATTTGTCACACTTATGAGGTTTAGCATGAATTCTAAAGTGGTTTTGTAATGTGCTCTTCAATACAAAAGATTTACCACATTTGTCACATCTGTATGGTAATTCACCTGCGTGAAATCTAAGGTGGCTGTTTAAAGAATGACTTGTTGTGAAACATTTACCACATTTGTCACACTGGGAAGACTTTTCATAGTTTTGATTTTGAAGGTGTATCTTTAATTGATTAAGCTGTGAAAAACTTTTATCACAGTTGTTACATTTGTAAGGCTTATCATCTGAATGAATTTTAACATGTTTCTTTAGGTATTCACAATCCTTAAACCATCTACCACATTTGACACAATTGAAAGGCCTTTCTCCTGAATGACTTGTAACATGTTTCTTTAAATCCCAAAAAGCTGTGAAACATTTACCACAAAGGTCACACTTGTAAGGTTTTATTCCATTATGAATTCTGATGTGTTTCCGTAAGTGTGATGAATCTTTAAAATATTTACCACATTTGTCACAGTTGAAAGGCTTTTCTCCTGTATGAACTCTGTGATGTCTCAGTAAACTGTTAGATTCTGTGAAACTTTTACCACATGTGCCACATTTGAAAGGTTTTTCTCCAGTATGAAATCTATTGTGACTCTTTAAATGTGAGAATTGTGTGAAGCATTTACCACATGTGTCACACTTGTAAGGCTTTTCTCCTGAATGAATTAGAAGGTGTCTCTGTAAACTTGAAAACTGCAAAAAACATTTGCCACATGTTTCACAAGTAAAAGGCTTTAATCCTGTATGAGTTTTAAGGTGCTTTTTTATTTGGAAAAGCTTTGTATAATATTTACCACATATGTCACACTTGTAAGGCTTTTCTTCTGAACCATTTTTTAAATGGCCAATCTTTGTGTCACATTCATTAGGCTTTTTTTCAGTGTGATTTCTAAGGTGTTTCTTCCATTGGCTAAGCTTTGTAAAACATTTATTACATCTGTCACACTTGTAAGCCTTTTCTTTCATAAAAGTTATAAGATGTTGATAAAAATTAGACGGTTGGAAAGAATCTTCACTATTTTTAGGAGTGAGAGCTAGACTCCAATTGGCTATTTCTTGCCCTCCATGTTTGAATTTCAAATGTGCCTTCAAAAAGGAAACATTTGAAAATGCCACTCTGCAATATTGACATGGATAGAGATCTGTAAAATAATATTATTGAATTGAAATTTGTTAATGTTTAATTTTTTTGTAATTTTTTTTGTAAGTGTTTATTTTATCATGCTTTTTAGTGATTACTTCAAACAGTGGACATATTGATGACTGAATTCTATATTGGACACAGTGATGATTAATTCATACAGTAGACACAGTGATGATTTATCAATACAGTGGACACAGTTGTGACTGATATAGTGACCACAGTGATGACTGATAAATTGGAGATAGTGATGACTGAATAAAATATGCGACACAGTGATGACTAATTGATACAGTGGACATAGTAATGACATCAGGCATGACAAGTGAACTACATAAAAACTACAATTAAGACCAAAAAATCTTATCATGGAGATAAGATTAGGTTGTTGTTTGCCTACTTTTTAAAGCTGTTGCATTGATAGTGATGGCTGCAAGCAATGAGCAAATTCTAAGATGCCCCTGATTAGCTTATAACAATGAACAATTAGTGTTTGCAATGCACTTTCCATCTACAGTATTTTTTTTCATTTTGATGTTAACAAAGTAGCGGAAGATCATGTACATTTTTTAAACTTTGGCAACTGATAGAAAATCAAGTGCCCTGACATAATAAATTAATTTCAAGCATTTAAAATATCTCTGACCCTTTTAAAAACTAATGAGTGAAAATAATATTTTGACTGAGGCAACAGCAAACACTAAGCCCACCATTTAGCCCACCATGTATTTGAATGCTAAACGGACAAACATGCCACAACAACACTCCTTAAAATTAACCCATCATATCACCCAAAGCATCGTAGCCATTTAAAAACAAACAAGATTTTTTTTTTGAAAAATCATTTCCATGGCTACTGATCAATTCTGTTAATTAAACTTAGAAATAAATTAAAGATATATAAATGTAGTTTTCAATTGTTTTAGTCATCTTAAACAATAATAAAGCTAAAAATCTTATGCCACACCCTAGATAAGATGTAGGTGCTGGGTGAATTTGCACAGTGTAAAGCGTAAGGGTATGCATCATACAGTCATTAATCACCTTAGACTTAACTTGCATACAAAACTTTAAATAATTGATGAAATTGATTTACCACCAGCATTGCTCTCCATTTTGATGAAACTGTTCTTGTTTACAACACCAACCCTCTGTAAATAAATGCCCAAGTCTCTGGCATAGCTGTCACCAAAGTACACCTGAAAATACCAGAATACTGTTTTATACTAGTCAACTGAAAAATAGCTGTTACCATATCATTTAAATGATGGTTTTGTATTTCAAAAGTCTGCTGTCTGGTTGGTTTGCATGTGTATGTTGATGTACCACACTATGTGTTAAGTGTATTGTAGATAACTAAATAATAAACCAAAATCAATGGTTTTAATTTAATATTAGCTTGAATTATGAAATTTTAAAATTCCCACCATCTCAGTAAAGAACTTTAAACAGCAGTGTTTGCGAGCAATTAAAGTTATAATTAAAGTTAGAACCAAATTAAAGATATATAAATGTAGTTTTAATTGTTTTAGCCATCTTAAACAAAATAAAGCTAGATAAGATTATGTGCTGGATGAATTTGCCCAGTGTAAAGAACAAGAGTGCAGCAAACACAGTCATTGATCACCTCAAACTCTGCTTGCATACAAAACTTTAAATAATTGACGAAATGAATTTACCACCAGTATCGATCGCCATTTTGATGAAACTGTTCTTGTTTACAACACCAATCCTCTGTATATAAAAGTCTCTGGCATACAGCTGTCACCAAATTACACCTGAAAATTTCAGAACACTGTTTTATACTAGTCAACTGAAACATTGCTGTCACTATATCATTTACATGATGGTTTTGTATTTCATATATATATATATGTATTTTATATATATATATATATATATATATATATATATATATATATATATATATATATATATATATATATATATATATATATATATATATATATATATATACACACACTTACCCATAGTGTGGTACCTCAGAATATATATATATATATATATATATATATATATATATATATATATATATATATGTGTATATATATATATATATATATATATATATATATATATATATATATATATATATATATATATATATATATATATATATATATATATATAAAATATATGTATAATTTCACAACAAATTATAAGAAATTATTCAGTAACATTTGTTGTGTTTCGTACAAATTAGTTACTTAATTTTATTTTATTAGTGAAATATAAATTAAATAGAGTGTACTAATTAATGTTTAATGTTCAGTTTACATAAGGAAACAGAAATTAAAATGATGTGCAATTAGGCCTATTGTAACTTTTTTATTATTTTTATCTATTTCAATCAGTAGCTATTTTATATTTAAATAATTTACTTTTTGAATGTGTAGATTTAGATCTTCGATTTATCCAGTTAAAAGACAGGCCTAATATATTAATTTATTTCTATTTCGTCCAGCTACATCTAGAATCTAACAAGGTATAGAAAGTCTAGATTAGATCTAGAGTTTCTTGAGAGTACATAAGACTAGATTGTCACTGGTGACTGGATTCTAAAATCGAGACCTAGAAATCTAGATTGACTATACTACTATTTATTAGTATTTACGCTTTTTAACTAGATCTAGATTCTGTCTATACTATAGACTCTATAGTAATCTATACTGAAATCTATATCTAGAATCTATAAAATGATCTATTCTACTAACTTTACTTCGATCTATTATTATTTCATAGATAGAGTTATAGGTAGATCTATTGTGTAGAGATCTATAAAATTAAAAAAAAAACAATCTTATGAGATCTAGAATCTAGATTTAGATGTCATTCTAAAATAATGTAAAATCTAGAGAGATCTAGATCTATATTTTTTTAGGTAATCTATTGTTTATTGTCTTAGAGGTGTGTAAAATGTGCATAGCAATGTCACATGTGAAAAAGTTGCCTCATTGTTAATTCTTAAATAGAAGTAGATCTATATTGAGATATAGATCTAGATCTATTTGTGTCAAATATTATTGATAACTGAAAAATAAACCAAAATCAGGGGCTATAGGCCTATAATTAATATATATCAATAAAGGCCAGAAATTAACTACAAACAGCAGTGTTCCTGAGCAAGATTTGCTATATAAACAGCAGCCATCTGTAAGTTAGAATGGTTTCCCTGGACCTCTAACTATAATTTTACTAGATCTAGATTTAGATCTAGCTAGATCTAGATCTGAACAAAAACTTAAACAAGATGGCTGCTAAAATAAATTAGCTTTGTTTCATCTAACTAATGAAAACATTGCTAGTCTTTCTTTATTTAGATCTATTACTGAACTGAAAAGTTTTATTACTAATTATTACGATTGTTTAAAAACAGGTAGATCTAGATCTAGATTCTAGATCTTGATTCTAGATCTCTACATTAATGAAACTTTGAAACATTCAAATAACTTTCAAAACATAAATTCTGCTAAAAATGCTAAAATAATAATTATTCTACTAAAATTTAATGAGTGTCACCTTTTTTTCACTTTACTAATCTAGATTCTAGATCTAGATCTAGATCTAAGAATCTAGCTAGATCTAGAATCTAGATATAATCTAGCCTCCGCCGATTTTACGTACCTAAAACTAAAACGATAGATTAAAGATTACCTAATCACCAAAGGATAATTAGGTTCTTGGCTAAAGACTTCAGCTGGGGGATTATTAATTAATATTAATTATTATATTATAGTATTTGAACCTTGTAGGTTGTTGAAGCGCCTTAACTTGCTTGATTATGTACTCGCTACGTTTAGATCGCTACTCGGAACCATGGCAAAAGTGAGATCCATGACTGAATCCGTAAAGCTATCGATACATTATCATAATGATTATGTTAATTTGTTTAGGATATTTGTTTAATAATGCTTTTAATTATAATTACTAAAATAATTAGCTATCTGGTTTATTTTTATCAATTAAAATATTTTTAAACCTTTATAATATAGATCTTCAAAATGTTTCACAATAAATTAAAATTAAATTGGCTTTTAAGTAATCGATACTTATTGTACACTCAAAATTGGACTGCCGCTTTTCTTTACTTTAAAGGGATGTAACTATTATTGAATACTAGCAGCAGATATCCGACAGATGCGTAGCGATGGGGGTGGGGGAGACATAGTCACATATGTCCCCGGCGCTGACCTTAGGGGGCGCCAAAATGGGTTGGAAAAAGTAATCGAAAGTTTGAGGGGGGGGGGGTGCAAATCGAAAGTTTGTCCCCGGGCGCCGGGAAGGGTCGCTACGCTTCTGATATCCGATACCTACCTTTTTATTTGAAATCAAATTTTTATATGCAAATATAGACGATTTAGAAAATATTATTAACCCTAATCCTAACCATTTCTATGCATGAAATTTCATATATAAGTATTTTATCAAATTTGTAGATTCGTATAAACTTTTCAGCAATTTACTATAACCGTTGTCATTAGTCATAATTTATTTTTAAATTTAAAAAAAAAAGACAGATTTTGAACCCCTGCACTCTTCTGATCAAACGTGTGTTTCAAACGTACTTGTTATAGGCATACATGTTACGTAAATTCAAAGAAGCGTTATTCCCCTACATTTTGATCTACTTTTAAAGTATGTTCTTTCATCAGACATTTTTATGATTTTTTAAAAATGAACAAAATTTGTGTTTTTTTACTTCCCTTTTTACTTTTTTAAAAAGTGAGAAAAGCCAATTTCAATGCAATTAATTTAATGACGTACTTATTTTTGAGGTTTGAAAAAAAATTGAGTCTGTTTTCTGTGTAGAGTTCAAAAGATTTTGTTTGTGACATATAATATAGATCTACTTCTACAGATATAACCTCTCAAAACATGGTACTTTTTAGGATGTTGGAAAAAAAGTTAAAAACCATTTTTTAGCGCAATTTCCATACTGGGATTGCGATTATTAACTCGTCATTTCTGGATGGATGTGTGTCTGCAGCCGTATCTCCTCCTCAACGAAGCAATATCGAGGACTAGTTCCAAAAGCAAATATGTTAAGAAAGTTCCCAGGATGAACATAGGCCAAAAAAATTCCAGCTTAAATTGTCACTAGATTTTTTATTAACTTGTTTTAAAACGCCATAACTTTTTTACTACTTGAGAAATATGAACAAATTTAATGCCCACTATCATGAGTTCTTGACATAGCCAGTGGCGTTGGCGGGGGGCGGGGGGATGGGTTAGGGGGGGTCATAACCCCCCCCTATAGACCCCTCAGTATATATATATATATATATATATATATATATATATATATATATAAAGTATGAGGGGGGTGCAAATCGAAGGTTGAGGGGGGGGGGCGCAAATCGAAAGTTTGAGGGGGGGGGGGGGTGCAAATCGAGTTTGAGGGGGGAGGGGTGCAAATCGAAAGTTTGAGGGGGGGGTGCAAATCGAAAGTTTGTTGCTAGGCAACATCATGTTTTTTTTTCAGTTTTAATGAGTACCATTCGCATGCTCACATTAATTACACGAATATTTAATTACATTAATAGTCTTTCCATTCATTGATGATCATAATTAAATTGCTGGTTTGACTCTTTAGCACATATATTGATGTAATAGATTGAGATAATTGTATTGGTATTATATTTATATTGTTATCTTGAGTGATGTCCCTTACTTGTGTCTCTCGTCACTTCCGTCTGGCCGGTTAACAATAAAAGCTGTTTACATGTTAAGGGCTTCTGTCTCCGTTGTGTAATTCTTAATCTATCTCATTGGCGACGAAGGATAAACATCTACTAGAAAGAGCACCTACTTACGCAAAAAAGAGGTTTGCTAGAGCTTATTAGCTAATTATTTCTAGAATTATGGCGCTGTATGGCCAAATAAAACAATTTGATGCGAATGATGAAATCATTCAAGATTACCTAGAGAGGTTAAGCTTTTACCTAGAAGCTAACGACGTGACGATAGAAGCCAAAAAGAGAGCTGTTTTGTTAACAGTCATAGGGCCTCAACAATTCAGGCTACTAAAGGACTTATGCGCACCAGCTAGTCCAGATACCAAGAGCTTTAACGAGCTGAGCAAATTGCTGACAGACCACCATGCGCCTACCCCATCAAAGTTTCTATGTAGAGCTAGATTTGACAGTAGGACTCGTCAACCAAACGAGTCAATACCAGAATATGTTGCTGCTTTACGTCATTTAAGTGAATTTTGTGAATTCGGAGAAACGCTGTCTGACAGACTGTGTGAAAAGTTTGTGACAGGTGTAAACAGCCCTGATATTCAAAGAAAGTTGCTGCTCGAGTCAGATCTAAAATTGGAAAAAGCAATACAACTTGCAATGTCCTTCCAGCAGTCATCAGATGCGGCGAGATCTTTAGCACCCTCAGAGATCCATGCAGTAAACAGCAGGTTAGTCAATAAACATCAACCCCATCAGAGCATTCCAACTTATGCTAAACAGCCTGCTCGTTCAAATCCTAGATCTAAATCTAGTAATAATTATCAAATATGTCATCGATGCAAAGGTCCCCATGCATCTCATCGGTGCAAGTTCAAGTTTGCAACTTGTTATAAGTGCGGTAAGCAAGGTCACATTGCTAAGGCCTGCTTTGCAAAGTCTTCGTCTGTTGCTAAATCTAGCCAGTCAAGACAGTACCGCAACCAAAAGCAGCACTATGTTAACTCTCACCAAGACTACCTAACCCAACCAATGAACCACTCTACCTGTGAAAATGCTCAAACTGATTCGCAACCGGATTTCAGCCTGTTCTCTGTTAAATCAATAAGTCATGCTCCCATCAATGTACAAGTTAATATCAACGGTAAGAGCATCAGCTTCCAACTTGACACTGGAGCATCTCTAACAGTTATAACAAAGAAAGATTTTGACGCTATCACTGGAGGATCAGTGCCTCTACAGCCATGTCACAAGTGCCTAACAACATACACTGGTGACAATGTTCCGGTAATAGGAGAGTGTATGGTTCATGTAAGTTATAATGGTCAAAGTGTTAAACTTCCTCTTCTTGTGGTTGAAGGAAATGGACCGCCATTACTAGGTAGGAACTGGTTAAGTGATCTTAAGTTAAATTGGGAGAGTATTTGTTCATTGAAGAATGTAAAAGAATCTAGTCTTACTTCACTAGATAAAGTAATATCTGAAAATAAATGTGTTTTTGGTAACTCTGGATTACTAAATGATAGAACAGTGAAGTTAAGCATTAAAGACACAAATCCAAGATACTGCAAAGCTAGAGTTCCACCTTATGCAATGAGGAATAAAATTGAAAATGAGCTAAGTAGATTGGAATCTAATGGCATTATAAAGAAGGTAGACTATTCCGATTGGGCGACACCCATTGTGCCAGTGTTAAAGAAGGATGGTTCTATAAGAATTTGTGGAGATTATAAAACTACACTGAATAAGCAAATAGAGCTAAATAGGTATCCTATACCTAACATTGAGGAAATCTCTTTGAATTTGGCAGGAGGAGACAAATTCACTGAATTAGACTTTAGTCATGCTTACACTCAACTAGAACTGCATCCAGATTCAAAAGTCTATACGACAATAAACACACATAAAGGACTCTACCAATATGAAAGACTATGTTTTGGCATATCATCTAGCCCTGGAATTTTCCAAGCTGTCATGGACAGTATTTTTAAGGATATTCCAAATGTTTGTGTGTACTTTGACAATGTGTACATAACTGGTAAGAATGACACTGAACATCTTAAAACACTTGATAAAGTATTAAAAATTGTTGGTGAAAAAGGTTTAAAGATAAACAAAGATAAATGTCAATTCATGCTGACAGAAATTAGTTTTCTTGGTTATATATTAAGCAAACAAGGCATCAGACCTCAACCTGAGAAAACAAAAGCCATTAAAGAAGCACTCAAACCTGAAAATACCCAACAACTAAGAGCTTTTTTGGGCTTGATAAATTATTATGCAAAGTTCATAGGAAATCTGTCTGGTAAACTATCACCACTGTACAAGCTGCTACAGAAAAATGCAACTTGGCACTGGGGTAAACAACAAGAAGCTGCTTTTAATACAGCAAAAGAGGCTTTGTCTGCTGACACCTTACTAACTCACTATGACCCAGGGAAAAGACTTGTATTGACATGTGATGCTTCACCAGATGGTGTAGGAGCAGTCTTGTCCCACATGGATGAGAAGGGTGACAGACCCATTGCTTTTGCCAGTAGATCTTTGAACCAGGCTGAGAAAAATTATTCTCAGTTAGATAGGGAAGGCTTAGGCATCATTTTTGGTGTTAAGAAATTTCATAAGTTTCTGTTTGGTAGGAAGTTCACCATCTTTACAGATCATAAACCATTGCTAGGTTTATTTGGAGAAAACAAAACCCTACCTGAGCATGCCTCACCAAGAATTCAAAGATGGGCTATCACACTAACTGCATACAATTATGAATTGAAATACAAACCTGGATCTGAGAATAGTGCAGATAGTCTTAGTAGATTACCTTTAAAAAACCAAAGCCTGAGCTATGTACCAGAAGAAGTATTTGTTCTCTTCACTATCATGGATAACTCTAATATAAATGTGAATGATATTAAAAGAGAAACACAAAAAGATAAGTGCTTAATAAAAGTATATGAGTACTGTATGAATGGTTGGCCTGAAGAATCTGCGAATGATGACTTAAGGCCATATAAAATAAGAAATAAAACCCTTTGTGAAGATAATATAAAAGATGGAGAAGATGCAGTCCATTATCAGTCAGAGTTACCTAAACAAAGTATTTGTAACTTAATAAATGATTATGGTGATATGGCAATTTCAAATGTTTTAAAGAAAATACATTAGTAAGAAGGAATGTGATCATCAAACAACTTTGCTAACATCATTAGCACTTACAGAAACTAAAAGGGTAACATCAAAAGAAAAGAGAAAAAGATTTTTGCCATTTAATACTTTCAGATGCCAATTCAAAAATAGTTCCATTAAATCATGACAAGACATTCATTGAAAGAGAATTTGGTGTTAATAAGAATGTGTATCTAAGAAATTATGGGAGAAAGGAAAAATGGATACCAGGTCAAATTGTTCAATGTACAGGACCTGTGTCTTATAAAGTTAAAAATAACTTGTGCAGATAATAAGTGTGAATCTGTCAATCCCACCAAATCTGAACAGTTCACACCAACTCAGTTGTTTCACAACCAAGTTCTGTTGATATGAGTGAACCAAGTTGTCTGGAGTCAGAAAATGTAAATTCTGGAGTTAATGATTTAAATCCTAGACCTCCTGAGATAGAGAATCCAGATGGTCAGAATCTTGAGTCACCAAATCAAAAGCCACTGAGAAGGTCAAACAGGACAATCAAAGTCCCAAATAAGTTAGACCTATGATTCTAAAGGTCAAAAGGACTTTGACATTATTGTTTTGTATTTTGATTATGTTGTAGCATATTGTGCATTGTTTGTAAGGATGTAATCTACCATAGTGTTCATGTTACAATATAATTGGTGATTTTAGGATACTATCAATTGTTCTATTGAGAGATGTGTTATTGTGTTCTAAGGGTAAAGGGATGTAATAGATTGAGATAATTGTATTGGTATTATATTTATATTGTTATCTTGAGTGATGTCCCTTACTTGTGTCTCTCGTCACTTCCGTCTGGCCGGTTAACAATAAAAGCTGTTTACATGTTAAGGGCTTCTGTCTCCGTTGTGTAATTCTTAATCTATCTCAATTGAGAAATTATATTTGAATGCAGTGGCGTCACCAGGTCGGGTGTCACCCGGGCGATAACTTTTGTCTGTGCAGCTTCAAAATGTGATTATCTATAGGTTATTACTAATCCAAATACACCGAGATTTATTTTCTCTTCAAAATTGGCTTTTGTTTTCATTGGGAGTCTCCCCCCCCCCCCCCCCCCCCATACCAGCGTTACTGATAGTAAAACAATCTTAAGGAATTTTAGTAAGAAAAAGATGTCATTGGGCATTGAAGTTATAAGCCAAGGTATCACTACTAATAGCTTTTTGTTTGATTACACTTTTGATGACTTGTTTGCGCTGTTGTAGATTTGTGACTTTGCCTCTTGCGTTGTGTCAACGTTATGGTACGGGGTCATCCATAAATGACGTCACGCTTTTTTGGACGATTTTTACCCCCCCCCCCCTCCCCCTCCGTCACACGTCGTCATAAAAAAGTCATCCCCCCCCCTAAAATGACGTTACATCTCAGCCTACAACAACACCCCCCCCCCCCTCAAAATTGCTGTTGAATTTTCCTTAAAGCATCTATATTTTTCCAAAATCTTGTTAGAACTCTGTCAACATAGAGTATTTTGATCAATTCCTATTACAATTTATTAAAACCGTTTTCTAAAACACGAAATAACGGCTAAAACTCGTTTTCTAGCATTGCTTTTTTATAATGCAAAAAAGTGACGTCAAACCATGTGAACCGCCCCCCCCCCCCCCATCACACACCGTCACAAAATTTCAGACCCCCCCCCCCTTACGAGTGTGACGTCATTTATGTACCGACCTTAAATGGAAAAGTACGCAAACATGACTGTAAGAGTAAGTTACCCACAAGCGAACAAGTGGTTCCTAACATTATTGGAGGTATTAAACCCCTTTAGTTTCATATGCGCATTCACCAAACCGTTCATAATTGTTCTATTGTCCGCACTGACAAAATCTGATCGCGAATCATGAGTCGAGTGTGTCTTGACCTACGCCCGAACCCACGAGACAGACTCATCAAACCCCTGCGGTTCGGTGAAACCGAGGTTAAGAACCACTGGGTTAGATTGAAATGCCTTAAAGTCATTGGCTATGGTTCTCACGATGCTACAGTAGTCATGTTCCCCAGGGTTATATTGGCTTGTCAAGTTATTCAGGTTGTCATGTTGGCCAGGGTTGTCATGTTTCCAAGGGTTGGCATGTTCCCCAGGGTTGGCATGTTGACCAGAGTTGTAATGTTGGTTTTTCATACTGCTATGCATGGTTGTCATGTTGGCCAGGGTTGTTATGTTTCCAAGGGTTGGCATGTTGGTTTGTCACACTGCTACAGTAACTATGTTCCCCCAGGGTTGTCATGTTCCCCAAGGTTTGTCATGTTGGCCAGGGTTGTCATGTTGGTTTACTGCTATGGTTGAATTATTGGCTAGGATTGTCATATTAGCATGTTGCCATCTTTGTGAAGCTGCCAAGTTTTTCAATGTTCCAAAGTTGTCATTTGCAAAGTTTTTCATATGGCATAGGATTGCCATAATGGCTTGGCTTGTGGAGGGTTTCCATTCTGGCTAGCTGTGTCAAGTTGCTAGATTTATTAAATTGGCTTGTCATGCTACTAGCTTTGTCATATTGTTTTTATCATGATGTTAGGGTTTCCCATCTTGGCAAAGGTTGTAATGCTGCTGAAGCTCCCATTGTTCCTAGGGTTGTTAGGTTTGTCATACTAGCTAGGTTTGTTATAATACCTAGGGTTATCATGATGGTTAGAGTTGCATACTGGCTAGTGTTGTCCTGTTGCCTAAGGTTGTCACCTTGGTTGCGGTTGTCATATGACCTAAGGTTGTCATGTTGAAGATTGTCAAGTATACCAGAGTTACCATGTTCTCACCTTTGATACCTAGTTTTATTTTATTTTTATTTTACAACCTGTTAGCAAAGATTTTTTTTTCATTACTACCTGCATCCATATTATCTTTCATATATTTTAATCCTCTCTTGATACTCTGACTTATAAGCAGAATAGGCAACCAATAGACTACTATACATACGCACATTTTTACATTTTAAAATTCCTTATTTAACAACTAAGTCCCTTCTGTCAAATAAAGAAGTTCTGGGTTTGATTTAGAATTGTGGGTTAGGATTAATGGTTTGTGTAAAGTGCAGGAGGATAATTTTATTTTTCTATGTGAAAGTTTTAATTATATAAAATCATGAACTTAATTTATAATTAGATACTAAAAGTGTAATGTATAACAAGCAATTAAAAGTGAGATCAAAACATGTACAAACTAATGTATACTTAGCCTGTAAATAGCTGCAAGACAAAATATCCAGACAAATATGTATTAAATATTATTGAAACAATTAGATGAGCGAAATATTGGATATTATTATAGAGACTATTCAGAGGCGTAGCGAAGGGGGGACGACGACATATGTCCCTGGGCGCCGACCTAACGGGGGGCGCCAAATCAAAAGTTTCAGCAGGGGAGGGGGGCGGGCGGGCGCAAATAAAAAGTTCGAGGGGGTTGCAATTCAAAAGTTTAAGTTTGAGGGGGGGGGGGGGGGGGGGGGGTGTGTGCAAATCGAAAGTTTGTCACCGGGCGCCGGTAAGGGTCGCTACGCCTCTGAAACTATTAGTTTTATTGTCTCTAATAGACATCTTAGCATAGTTTTTGTATTCTGTTAGTTTTTATAATATTATGAAGCTAAACAAATCAAATTAAAATGTAACTAGTTTCAAAGAATTATTCTAAAAATTTTAAATCTGAAAACTAAACTTAAAAGTAAACATTGTCCTTTGAATTACTTAGCTTTAATGCTCAAAGCATGTAAACTTTTACAATGTGATTTTGTCTGTTGCAGTATATAACTATAAGCAAAGTTCTGTGTTCTCCCCTTGTAAACTGAATAAATAAAGTTCCCCTAATGACCTGGTGACTCACAGGGCAGGTGAAGTAAAGTTCACCTGTTCAGTTGCCTCAGCATATAAAGGGATAGAGTGGTCAGCACTGTGCCCCACCTCATTGGACTATGCCATAGAGTTGTAAATTACAGATCATTATTTAATTTTAAAAATTGTATAGTATATAGCCAACAATTCCCTTGAGGAATGCTATACATTATATCAAGAAACCTCAAAGTACTGAGTGGTAGGATTGTATGTGCAGCCTACATCTGTTGCAGTTTTCAATGGGATTGAAATCAATAGTTAGACAATAGATAACCATTGTCCTCATGATAAGAGATGGATTTAGCCTGTTAATTAACGTCTGGCGTAAAGGACTGTTACACTTTTGTTAGTTCTTTCAGCTCATTTGAATAAATTTTCATAAAAGTAAAAATGTGTTTTGACAGTAGGTATACAGTCTTGCTAAATAAAATGTAACTACCTTTTACTTTTCTCAATTTATTTTTTAAGCTTGAGTATGCTATAATAATCATACTATAATACCACCCCTCCTAAATATATATAAGTCAAGTTTTTAAAATGTTCACAACAAGGCTTTAATTTTTATAATAAGCACTTGGAAAAAAATGATAGGCTTTATTTTGCATCATAATGCACTTTGAAAAAATGAAACTGTTTTGGAATAGTAATAATGGTGAGAAATAATTGGCAATGGATTTTTTTTTAACCACAATACTTTGGTAGATTCAAAACATAAAAAAAAATTGACACCTAACATTGACATACAGTTTGAAATATAAACGTCCTCATATCTCAAATAGCTTAAGCCCCTAGTAATCCTAAATCTGTACTCTATATACCATTTTACTTGCGTTCAATATTGTGTTACCCTGATGACTTTTACAAAACACGTTCAATGTAACTAAAACTTTTAATAAAAGTAACAAGAATGTACTTAGCATCTACTTACTTTACTCAGCTAAAATAATGAACAAAGAAAAACTTGATATTTAAAAAAATTTAAATGCTAACAGTATAAGTCAAACAAATAACAAGAATAAAAATTTAAACAATGAAATTAGATTAAAAAAGGTAATTCATTAAAAAGAAATTCATAAAAAAATGTTTCAATAACAAGCTTTTATGTAATAATGCACTAAAAAGTAGAAAATAAGTTATAACTACTATTTAAATAACTAGAAAGAAAAGCGTGGGTGTCTTCCTTAGCATTAGTAAAGGTATCCAATATATACTAAAGTGACCCACGCTTTTCTTTCTAGTTATTTAAATAGTAGTCTATAACTTATTTTCTACTTTTTAGTGCATTATTACATAAAAGCTTATTATTAAAATGTTTTTTTATGAATTTTTTTTCAGTACTTTACATGTTTTATTTACAATAGAGTTACATGACTAAAAACCATTGCACGCCTACTGAACGTGATGGCGCAGCCATTGAATGTGATGGCGCAGCTATTGAACATGATGACGCGTGTGGTGTGGTTGGATAGAAATGCCTACTAATTCGGTCCAAATTTTAACTAATTCATAAAAAAATAATTAGTCATCCAATTAAGTCAAATTTAATTTCAGATTGCATTGTCTTCATGTCTTGACCCACGTGTCAAATGTGAATCGTATCGGTCAAGTAGAAGTGACCGAATTTTCACTCCAGCGTTTCGATCTAGACTGACGACTGACGACAGACTGTCGACAGAGGAAGTGAGTTGGCAAAATGTGAAAAATTTAAAAAACCTTATTTACCACACTTGTTTTTCTTCTGTATGAATTCTCAGGTGTCTTGTGACATAGCTAAGTTCCCTAAACAATTTGCCACAATTGTCACACTTATAAGGTTTTTCACTAGTATGAATTTTATGGTGTCTCTGTAAACAGTAAGCCCGAGAGAAACATCTACAACATTTGTCACACTTGTAAGGTTTTTCTCCAGTATGAGTTCTAAGGTGATTTCTTAAAGTGCGCCGTTGTCCAAAACGAGAACCACATATGTCACACCTGTACGGCCTTTCTATTTTATGAGAATTTTGGTGTTTCAATAAAGTGGAAACTTCCAAGAAACATTTGCCACATTCTTCACAATTATTAATATTTTTTCCTGTGTGAATTTTATGGTGGTTCTTTAAACCTGAGATATGTCTGAAACATTTACCATAAGTGACACACTTGTAATGTTTTTCTTCAATATGATATCTATGATGACCCTTTAAATTTGAGAATTGTCTGAAGCATTTGCCACATGTGTCACACCTGTAAGGCTTTTCTCCTGTATGAATTCTTTGATGCTTCTTTAAACCTGAGGAATATGTGAAACATTTTCCACAAGTGACACACTTGTAAGGCTTTTCTCCTGTATGAATTCTATTGTGTGCCTTTAAAATGGAGAAGAATGCAAAACATTTACCACATTTTTCACACCTGAAGGGCTTTTCTCCTGTATGAATTTTACAGTGGTTCTGTAAATAGGTCAGACTCACAAAACATTTACCACATTTGTCACACATGTAAGGCTTTTCACCAGTATGGATTCTATGGTGTTCCTGTAAAGATTTTATTTTTGTGAACCATTTATCACATTTGTTACAGTTGTAATGCTGTTTTGCTATATGAATTTTACAGTGGTTCTGTAAATAGGACAGGAGTGCAAAACATTTACCACATTTGTCACACTTATGAGGTTTAGTATGAATTGTAGAGTGTTTCCGTAAAGTGCTCTTCAATGCAAAAGATTTACCACATTTGTCACACCTATATGGTAATTCACCAGTGTGAATTCTAAGGTGGTTGTTCAAAGAATAACTTGTTGTGAAACATTGACCACATTTGTCACACTTGTAAGACTTTTCATAGTTTTGATTTTTAAGGTGTATCTTTAAGTGGATAAGCTGTAAAAAACTTTTATCACAGTTGTCACATTTGAAAGGCTTTTCTCCTGTATGAATCTTAAGGTGTATCTTTAAATCCCAAAATGCTGTGAAATATTTACCACACATGTCACACTTGTATGGTTTAATTTCATTATGAATTCTGATGTGTCTCCGTAAGTGTGATGAATCTGTAAAATATTTACCACATTTGACACACTTGAAAGGTTTTTCTCCTGTATGAACTCTGTGATGTCTCAGTAAACTGTTAGATTCTGTGAAACTTTTACCACATGTGCCACATTTGTAAGGTTTTTCTCCAGTATGATGTCTATGATGAATCTTTAAATGTGCAAATTGTGTGAAGCACTGACCACATGTGTCACACATGTAAGGCTTTTCTCCTGAATGAATTAGAAGGTGTCTCTTTAAACCTGAGATCAGCAAAAAACATTTACCACATGTTTCACAAGTATAAGGCTTTAATCCTGTATGAGTTTTAAGGTGTTTTTTTATTTGGAAAATCTTTGTAAAACATTTACCACATATGTCACACTTATAAGGCTTTTCTTCTGAATGATTTCTAGGGTATTTTTTTAATTGACCAATCTTTGTGTCACACTCATTAGCCTTTTTTTCAGTGTGATTTCTAAGGTGTTTCTTCAATTGGCTAAGCTCTGTAAAACATTTATTACATCTGTCACACTTGTAAGCCTTTTTTTTCATAAAACTTATAAGATGTTGATAAAAATTAGATGGTTGGAAAGAATCTTCACTATTTTTAGAAGTGAGACCTAGACTCCAATTAGCAATTTCTTCTCCTCCATGTTTGAATTTTAAATGTGCCTTCAAAAAGGAAACATTTGAAAATGCCACACTGCAATATTGACATGGATAAAGATCTGTAAAATAATATTATTGAATTGAAATTTGTTAATGTTTAATATTTTTGTAAGTTTTAATTCTAAGTGTTTATTTTATCATGCTTTTTAGTGATTACTTCAAACAGTGGACACATTGATGACTGAATACTATATTGGACACAGTGATGATTTGTTGACACAGTTGGACACAGTTGTGACTTATATAGTGGACACACTAATGACATCAGACATGACAAATGAACTACATAAAAACTACAATTAAGACAAAAAAAATCTTATCATGGAGATAAGATTAGGTTGTTGTTTGCCTACTTTTTAAAGCTGTTGCATTGATACTGATGGCTGCAAACAACGAGCAAGAAAATTCTAGGATGCACCTGATTAGCTTATAAAATTGAACAATAAGTATTTGCAATGCACAAAGTAGCGGAATAATAACTTGACTGAGGCAACAGCAAACACTAAGCCGGCCATTTAGCCCACCATGGACAAACATACCACAACAACATTTATTAAAATTAACCCATCATATCACTCAAAGCATCATATCATAGCCATTTAAAAGCTAACAAGATTTTTTTTTGAAAATTCATTTCCTAGGCTACTGATCAATTCTGTTAATTAGAGTTAGAACCAAATTAAAGATATATAAATGTAGTTTTAAATTGTTTTAGTCATCTTAAACAAAAATAAAGTTAAAAATCTTATGCCACACCCTAGATAAGATGTAGGTGCTGGGTGAATTTGCACAGTGTAAAGCGTAAGGGTATGCATCATACACAGTCATTAATCACCTTAGACTTAATTTGCATAAAAAACTTTAAATAATTGATGAAATTGATTTACCACTAGCATTGCTCTCCATTTTGATCAAACTGTTCTTGTTTACAACACCAACCCTCTGTAAATAAATGCCCAAGTCTCTGGCATAGCTGTCACCAAATTACACCTGAAAATACCAGAATACTGTTTTATACTAGATCTAGTCTACTGAAAAATTGCTGTTACCATATCATTTAAATGATGGTTTTGTATTTCAAAAGTCTGTCTAGTTGGTTTGCATGTGTATGTTGAGTATTGTTGAGGTACCACACAATTTGTAAGTGTATTGTAGGTAGATAAATAATAAACCAAAATCAATGGTTTAGTTTTAATTTAATATTAGATCTAGCTTGAATTATGAAATTTTAAAATTCCAACCATCTCAGCAAAGGGCCGGACTACTATATTATATATATATATATATATATATATATATATATATATATATATATATATATATATATATATTATATCAATATAGGCCAGAAATTAACTTTAAACAGCAGTGTTTGTGAACAAGATTTGCATAATAAACAGCGGCCATCTGTAAGTTAGAATGGTTTCCCCTGGTCCCCTGGATCTCTTAACTATAATTTTACCAAAAAAAATATTTTAAGATGGCTGCTAGATCTAATCTAGATTTAAAGTAAATGAGCTTGATTTCATCTGATGAAAACATTGATAGTCTTTATTTATTTTTTACTGAAAAGTTTTAATACGATTGTTTAAAAACAGGTGAAACTTTGAAACATGTTTGTAACTTTCAAAACATATTAAATATTATAGATCTAAATTCTCCTAATAATGTAAAATACTAAAAATAGTAACTAAAATTTAATAAGTCACCTTTTTTACATCACTAGCCTCGGCCGATTTTACGTAGATCTAGATCTAGATCTAGATTCTACCTAAACAGTTCTAAACTAGATCTAGATCTATAGAATATTATACTAGACTAGATCGAGATCTAGATCTAGATCTAGATCTAGATACGCGATCACCAAAGGATAATAAGATTCTTGGCTAAAGACTTCAGTTGCGGAGATCATTAATTAATATTAGATCTAGATCTAATTATTATAGATCTAGATCTTATGGTTTAAATATTTTGAACGTTGTAAGTTGTAGGAGCGCCACAACTTGCCTGATTATGTACTCGCTACGTTTAGAATTTAGGCCTAGATTCTAGATCGCTACTCGGAACCATGGCAAACGTGAGATCCATGACCGAATCCGAAAAGCTATCGATAGATATTAGATAATGTTTAATTTGTTCAGGATATTTAATGCTTTTAATTATAATTAGCTGTCTGTTTTTATTTTCATCAATAAAAATATGTTTAAAACTTTATAATATAGACGAGATCTTCAAAATGTTTCACAATGAATTAAAATTAAATTGGCTTTTAAGTAATCGATACTTATTGCACACTCGAAAATTGCACTGCCGCTTTCCTTTACTTTAAAGGGATGTAACTATTATTGAATACTAGTAGCAGATACCCGACGCTGTCTATGTTTTGTGAATATAATATACCAACCTTTTTAAATTAAATTTTTACATGCAAATATGGACGATTCAGAAAATATTATTAACCCTAATCCTAACCATATTTCTAAGCATAACCGTAACCTCAACCTACCCCCCCCCCCCCCACCATCACTATGTTGTATTGTTAAATGGTGAGACGCGAAATGGCGAGGCATTAAATTGCGAGACGAAATGCGATACATAGAAACTAGAATCACGGGTAAATGGCGAGATATTTTGCGAGACAATTCTTTTATTTCATGCTTTGTTTTTTTTCTTCTTGATCTGGTTTCAGATTTTTTTTAAATAGGCCCCTATTAAAAAATCTTAACATCGTTGATCCTAAGATTATCTGCTCACGTTTTCTTGTTAGCGGAAGAAAAAATCCGCCTAGGTTGACGGGTCATGCGAGTTCACAAAGAGAATATTTTAGGAATACATTTTTGAAAATCTGTATAATTTAAATAATAAAGGTCATTGACTCTTCATTTTTCTTGTCTAATACACATAATTGCATCCTGAGAATAGCCTTGTATAGGAGAAAGTCTGTTAAAAATTGTCGACGGCTAGTTGACACACTGGGTGGGGTTACAAGCCTCATTGTGTTGCTTAGCAACATCATGTTTTTTTTTTAAATGTGTACCATTCACCTGCTCACATTAATTATATGAAGATTTAATTACATTAATATTCTTCCCGTTCATTGATGATCATAATTAAATTGCTGCTTTGTGTTGACTTTTTGCAGATATATTGAAAAATTATATTTGTATGCAGTAGCGTCACTAGATCGGGTTAAGAACCACTGGATTAAAGTAAGGGAAATGCCATAAAATTGTTGGCTATGACTATGGTTCTCACGCTGCTACAATAGTCATGTTCGCCGGGGTTATCATATTGGCTTGTCATGTTATTCAGGTTGTCATGTTGATCAGAGTAATGTTGGTTTTTCATACTGCTACAGCAGTCATGTTCCCCAGGGTTGTCCTGTTGTTAAGATTGTCATGTTGGCCAGGGTTGTCATGTTGACCATGGTTTTAATGTTGGATGGTCATGTTGTTAAGGTTATCATGTTTGACTAGCGTTGTCATGTTGCTAGGGTTTTCGCGTTGGTTTTGTCCTACTGCTAGGGTTGAATTATTGGCTAGGATTGTCGTATTAGCATGTTGAAAGGATTGCCATCTTTGTTTGTGGTTGTGAAGCTGCCAAGGTTTCCAGTGTTTCAGGGTTGTCATTTGCTAAGTTTTTCATATGGCATAGGATTGCCATAATGGCTGGACCTTTCATGTTGCCTAGAGTTTCAATTCTGGCTAGGTGTGTCAAGTTGTTAGATTTGGCTTGTCATGCTACTAGCTTTGTCATATTGGTTTTATTATAATGCTAGGGTTTCCCATCTTGGCAAGGTGGTAAAGCTGCTGAAGATCTCATTGTTCCTAGGGTTGTTAGGTTAAAACATTAAAATCATTGACACCTAACATACAGTTTGATATATACAGGGACTCAACTCAAATCTAAATTATGGACCTAGTAATTCTAAATCTATCCTGTATATACCATTTTACTTGTATTCAATATTGTGTTACCCTGAGGACTTTAACTAAAACCCTTTCAATTGAACTAAAACTTTTTGTAAAGGTGGCTAGAGTGTACTGAACGCCTACACACTAACTCAAATGAAAAGATAAAAAAACAAATGGTACACAGGCACCCGATGGTTTGAATGAACAGGTATCTTTCACCTAACAACCCCCCCCCTCCCGCATACACCACGCCCCCAACCCCACCCCTATACGGTGTCCAAGCGTCCTTCTCACGCGTCTTTTCTTTTGGATATCGTGGCTAGCAGACAAGACGTGTTTTCACTGTCGAGCTAAGTCAAAAAATGTGTTACTGTTTGTCTTTATTTGTCTAATCCAGGGGTCTCCAAACTACGGCCCGCGGGCCGGATGCGGCCCGCGATGTCCTCTCATCCGGCCCGCGGAGATCTTTTTGTCCACGGAAAAAACGTTTGTTGGTGATGGCTGAGGAACTTTGCCCAGAAAAATCAAGAAGAAACTGGCCCCCGAACTGAAATTTGATTGTTAATGCGGCCCTCGGACTGAAAAGTTTGGAGACCCCTGGTCTAATCTGTAATCACACTGTTGTGTGCTGACGAAGACCTTGGGTCGAAACGTCCATAGTACTTGTAACTGTCTTTAACTTGTGAGGTAACTAACACTATCTGTTTTATTACTAACTCAAGTAAACAAAAACGAACAAAGAAAAGCTTGATATTTTAAAAAAAAATTTAAATGCTAACAGCCAAACAAAAAACAAGAGTTAAAATTTGAACATTAAACAATAATTAAAAACAGTCATTAACTAAACAGGGCACATCAGACACTTCAGGTGATGCTTTTCTATAACAGATCATTTCAGTTGTAGATTCTCTTTGCTGGTTGGAGAAATGTGAAAGATCAGAAAAAACTTATTTAACGCACTGGTTTTTCTTCAGTATGAATTTTAGGTGTTTTGTTACGTAGCCAAGATCTCTAAACAATTTGCCACAATTGTAAGGTTTTTCACCAGCAAGAATTCTATGTTGTCTCCATATACAGAAACATTGACCATATTTGTCACACTTAAAAAGGCTTTTTTTTTCCTGTGTGAATTTTTTGATGCTTCTTTAAACCTGAGATATGTGTGAAACATTTACTACAAGTGAAAAACTTGTAAGGCTTTTCTCCTGTATGAGTTCTATTGTGTGCCTGTAAAATGAAGAAGAATACAAAATTTTTTCCACATTTGTTACACCTTTAAGGCTTTTCTGCTATATGAATTTTACAGTGGTTCTGTAAATAGGTAAAGAGTGCTAAACATTTACCACATTTTTCACAAAAGTAAGGCTTTTCACCAGTATGGATTGCATGGTGATCCTGCAAAAATTAAATTTGTGTAGAACATTTACCACACTTGTAAGGCTTTTCACATCTGTAAATTCCACTGTGTTTCTGGAACTTTGAGAGATCTATGAAGCATTTACCACATTTGTAATGTGTTTCCTTAAATCCTAAAACCCTGTAAAACATTTACCTCAAATGTCACACTTGTAAGGTTTTATTCAAGTAAGAATCATTAAGTGTTTCCATAAGTTTGTAGCATCTGTAAAATATATACCACACTGGACACACTTGAAAGACTTTTCTCCTGTATGAATTCTGTGGTGTCTCAGTAAACTGTGACATCTTGTGAAGCATTTACCACATGCCACTCGTATGTAAGGTTTTTCTACAGTATGAAATCTAAAGTGAATCTTTAAATTTTAGAATTGTGACAAGCACTGAACAAATATATCACACTTGTATGGCTTCTCTCCTGTATGAATGTTAAAGTGTCTCTTTATAAACCTGAGAGCTGCAAAAAACATTTACCATATGTCACAGGTATAAGGCTCTAATACTGATGAGCTTTAAGGCGTCTCTTTATTTGGAAAAGCTTTGTAAAACATTTACCACACGTAAGGGTTTTCACATCAATGCATTCTACAGTGGTTCTGAAAATTTGAAAGCTTTATGAAGCATTTACCACATTTGTCACACTTATGAAGTTTAGTATGAATTGTAAAATGGATTTGTAAAGTGCTCTTCAATGCAAAAGATTTACCATATTTGTCACACCTATAAGGTAATTTGCCAGTGTGAATGCCAGTGTGGTTGTTTAACTTTTGATTTGTTGTGAAACATTTACCACATTTGTCACACTGGTAAGGCTTTTCTAAGTTTTGTTTTTTAAGGTGAATCTTTAAGTGAGTAAGCTTTAAAAAACGTTTATCACTGTTGTCACACTTGTAAGGCTTATCACCTGAATGAATTTTAACATGTTTCTTTTGGTAGTAACGATCCTTAAACCATTTACCACATTTGTCACAATTGTAGAGCTTTTCTCCTGTATGAATTTTAAGGTGTCTCTTTAAATCCCAAAAAGCTGTGAAACATTTACCACAAAGGTCACACTTGTATGGTTTTATTCCATTATGAATTCTGATGTGTCTCCGTAAGTGTGATGAATCTGTAAAATATTTACCACATTTGTCACAGTTGAAAGGCTTTTCTCCTGTATGAACTCTATGGTGTCTCAGTAAATCTGTGAAACCTTTACCACATGTGCCACATTTGTAAGGTTTTTCTCCAGTATGATATCTATGGTGACTCTTTAAATTTGACAACTGTAAGAAGCTTTTACCACATATGTCACACTTGTGAGGCTTTTCTCCTGTATGAATAAGAAGGTGTATCTGTAAGCATGAAAACTGCAAAAAACATTTGCCACATGTGTCACAGGTATAAGGCTTTAATCCTGTATGAGTTTTAAGGTGTTTCTTTATTTGGAAAAGCTTTGTAAAACATTTTCCACATATGTCACACTTGTAAGGCTTTTCTTCTGTATGATTTCCAATGAGTTTTATCAATTGGCCAATCTTTGTGTCACACTCAAGAGGCTTTTTTTCAGTGTGATTTCTAAGGTGTTTCTTCAATTGGCTAAGCTTTGTAAAACATTCATTACATCTGTCACACTTGTAAGCCTTTTTTTTCATAAAAATTGTAAGATGATCATGATAACTAGATGGCTGGAAAGAATGTTCACTATTCTTAGAAGTGAGAGCTAGACTCCAATTAGCAATTTCTTCTCCTCCATGTTTGAATTTCATATGTGTCTTTAAAAAGGAAACATTTGAAAATGCCACTCTGCAATATTGACATGGATAGAGATCTGTAAAATAATATTATTAAATTGAAATTTGTTCATGTTTAAGTTTATAATAAGTTTGATATATAATACTGTGATGCTTATATTCATCTTTCATTGTATTTGAAATAAAATGTCTTTTATTGCATGTAGTGTTTATTCTACCATGGTTTTTGTGACTACTTAAAACAGTGAACACAGAGATAACTGATACATTGGGTACAGTGATGACTAACTGCTACAGTGGACACACTGATGACTAATATAGTGGCTACATTGATGACTGATAAATTGGACAGAGTGATGACTAAATGGTACAGAGGACATAGTGATGACTAAATGGTACAGAGGACATAGTGATGACTAAATGGTACAGAGGACACAGTGATGACTAAATGGTACAGAGGACATAGTGATGACTAAATGGTACAGAGGACATAGTGATGACTAAATGGTACAGAGGACATAGTGATGACTAAATGGTACAGAGGACATAGTGATGACTAAATGGTACAGAGGACATAGTGATGACTAAATGGTACAGAGGACATAGTGATGACTAAATGGTACAGAGGACATAGTGATGACTAAATGGTACAGAGGACATAGTGATGACTAAATTGTACAGAGGACATAGTGATGACTAAATGGTACAGAGGACATAGTGATGACTAAATGGTACAGTGAAACAGGGACTGCTGATATAGTGGACACATTGGTGACTAATATGTTGACACAGTAATGACATGAGTGAGACATGACAAGTGAACTAAATAAAAACTATAATTAAGACCAAAAATTAAATGATGGAGATAAGATTAGGTTGTTGTTTGACCTACTTTTTAATGCTGTTGCATTGATATTGATGGCTGCCAGAAAAGAACAATCCTTTTTGTTCGTTACAACATATGTTTGTCATTTCAAAGCTATATAGTCTAGTGTAGTTAGTTTAATGAGTAAATTCTATGATGACCCTGATTAGCTTATAACAATGAATGTTAAAGGTAAATAAATGTAGTTTTTAATTGTTTTAATCACCTTAAATAATAATAAAGCTAAAAATCTTATGCAACACCCTAGATGTGCTGGATGAGCCAGTGTAATCAACAAGAGTATTCATCAAACACAGTCATTGATCAACCCAAACTCTGCTTACATACAAAGCTTTAAATAATTAATAAAATTGATTTACCACTAGCATTGTTCTCCATTTTGTTATCAAACTGTTCTTCTTTATTTGTAAATAAATGCCCAAGTCTCTGTCATAGTTGTCACCAAATTACACCTGAAAATACCAGAATACTGTTTTATACTAGTCAACTGAAACATTGCTGTCACTATATTATTTACATGATGGTTTTGTATTTCAAAAATATACATTAAGTTAAATTTACACATGGAAACAGAAATTAAAACTATGTGCTACAAAAGTCAAGTGTAGCAATTCATATTCTAAAGAAGCACAGAAATAAAATTTGCAGAAAATTTGCGAAAATTAGAATTAACCTAGATCTAGTAAAAAATGTTTATTCAACTAGTAAAAAAGACTACAACAATGATTAGTAAAAGCTGTTTAGCAATAATGATTACCAGAAACATTAAAAATCATTATCACTAGAAAATTAGCAAAACATCTTTACATATATATATATATATATATATATATATATATATATATATATATATATATATATATATATATATATATCCAAATTTGTAATTTAAACTATCACTAAAAGATCTCGCCAAATAAATTATGATTTACAGTTATTTCAGTATATTCCAGAATGTGGTGGCAGACTGTCCACTGTTATAAATGTTTTATTGTTGCTACATCATTTGGGAATAATAACCAAAGCTATATCAGATGATTTCCAAATGTTCTGTGCTTGCAACTTTTTATTCTATTTATCTGTTTAATCCATAGTTTTAAAAATTTAGGTTTTTAATGACTAGATTTAGATCTTTGATTTATCCATTGAAAAGACAGGCCTAGCTGTCCTTATCTTGTCAACTTGAAAAAAAAAATTCATAGTTGTTTAATCTGGCTAGACATTTGTTCATTATTTAGACTAATATATTAATTTATTTCTATTTTGTCTAGCTTTACCTAACAAGATTAGATCTATATGTTCTAGAGAGTAAAATAGACTTGATTGTCACTAGCATTTAGAACAAGACCCAGAACTTTAGATTGTCTAACTATAGACAGGCCTACTACTAGTACTACCAGTAGCGTAGCGAGGGGGGGGACATATGTCCCCGGGCGCCGACCTAAGGGGGCGCCAAAATGGGTTGGAAAAATAAATTGAAAGGTTGAGGAGGGTGCAAATCGAAAGTTTGAGGGGGGGGGGTGCAAATCAAAATCTGGAGGGGGGGGGTGCAAATCGAAAAGTTTGTCCCCGGGCGCCAGGAAGGGTCGCTACGCCTCTGAGTACTACCACTATTTAACTAGATCTTGTCAAGATACTGTCTATCATAGGGGTCGGAAACCTGCTGCTCTTTTGATGTCAGGATGCGGCTCGCCAGTTCCATAAATATTATATTATTTTATTTTCATAACTCATAAAAGTATTAAACTTGAAAAAAAAAAAACTTTAAACATGATAAAAACACTAAGAATAGGTGGAGTACATCATATACAGACAGCCGCTTAAGCACAAGGCCCAGCTCCACAACTGTGCTGTGGCCAGCCTTGTGGCAGTAGTTCCATGCTTTCCACTACTGAAGTGCCCTTTTTTTCCTGCATATTTTAAATAATAATTATTTTATTCAGAAGGCATTTTTTAATGTGTCAGTGTGCATTCATTTGACATGATGGACATAGTTTGTTTTAGTTATTAGCTTCTAAATTGGGCAGGGATGGTGTTATAGTTAGGCTATATAATTTAATTTTATTATCCAAGCAGACCTAGATAAAATATTTTATTCTGTTTTGTGCAAAGCACACGTGTTTTTATATGGATAAATATTATTTCATACTTGAACTAATTTTTAAAAAATGTGTTTACCTAATTTATCAATACCATAATATTAAAAAGAATGTTAGTGTCTCTTGAAAACTTTTTATAAATTTTAACTTTTGGCTCTTCCGGCTCAATAGGTTGTCGACCCCTGGTCTATAGTAATCTATCTATTCTTAATTAAGTTAATACTAGATCGAGAATCTATATTAAATCTAGATCTTATATAATGGAATCTATTTGAATCTATTCTACTAACTTATGACTTATATTTATTTTAAAAATGTAATTCATTTTGATAAAGCTATAGAGGTCTAAGTTAAAAAACAGCAATAATTTTATGACATTTAAATCTAGATCTAGACTTGAAGCTAGGCTAAATCTAGACATTCTTACTAAATCTAGACTAGCGTAGGTCTAAAATATAGATCAAGACCTTATCTTAATCTAGCTAATTTAAGTACAGTAGTTTACCCCGTAGTTGTGTGTAGACTTAGACTACATTGTAGACTGATGAATCTAGTCTAACCTAGATCTAGATTCTAGAACTAGAATTCTAGATCTAGATCTAGAATTCTAGATTTTGACTAGAATCTAGATCTAGATCTGATATCTTGGTCACTTGATCCAATTTATAATTTGTGTTCACTTCTTTTAGTTTTAGTAGACGTATATTTTCTAGATATTTAATAAATACGAGTAACAATCACCGAAGAATAGATTAGATTCTTGGCTACAAACTTCAGCTGCGGAGATTTATATTAATTAATATTAATTATTAATTTATTATAGTGGTATAAACATTTTGAACGTTGTAGAAGCGCCATAACTTGACTGATTATGTACTCGCTACGTTTAGATCGCAACTCGGAACGATGGCAAACTTGAGATTCTTGACCGAATCCGTAAATCTATCGACAGAAAATGTTAATTTGTTCAGTATATTTATTTAAGAATTCTTTTAATTAGGCCCTATAATTAGCCATCTGTTTTTATGTTTATCAAGTTAAATTTTTTAAACCTTTATAATATGGGTCTATAAAACGTGTCTTAATAAATTAAAATTACATTGGCATTTGGTAATCGATACTTATTGTTCACTCGAAATTGTACTGCCGATTTCCTTGACTTTAAAAGGGATATAAATATTATATTAATGACTACTAGCAGCAGATACTCAGTGTTGCCCCTAGGCAGCGCCAAAAGGTGTGAATTGTAATGGCTACACGCCTTTACATACCTATTTAACTCTTTTCTACCTTGATAATGTAACTGTGAACATGTACCCTTTAGAAACAGTAGCTGGCAAAAACGGTGTGCGGACCTTAGGTGCTTTGACCACAGAGGGGCTTTCACTTAATTAAATGATTAATTAGAGTGAATTAAATAGTCTTTTAAGAGCAAAGAGGACAAATCCCGACGGGGAAGGGGGGGGGGGGGACGACGACGACACACACACTATGACGTAAACCGGCTAAGAAAACATGCAATATCCAGCTGAATTTATAACCGAATATAGGTACAAATTGTTAGTATTATCTGAGCACAGTTTAAAGCAATCACCGTGGGGGTGACTGGGGGGGGGGGGGGGGGGGGGCAGTGAGTTACATTAACTCAACGTTGCAATATATATATATATATATATCCCTGAGGAAAAAGGGGTTGGTTGAGAATTGTAATAACCTATGTTACTCCGTGTATATAGGGTGAGGGGGTGTAAAAAAAAAATCAAATACATCCAGAAGAAAAAAAATATTTCAATACATATACACATGCGTATACACATACTTACAAGTGTATATGGAATATATATATATATATATATATATATATATATATATATATATATATATATATTACTTATGGGATGGGGGTGACACCATTAGGTGCCGCACCGACCTCGCTACGCCACTGTTTTGAGCATAGGGGTTATGACCACAGCGGGGCTTTGACCATAGATTCTTACGATTCTCTCGACTTCCACTTGAAAGAAAGATACTTTTACTTGATAGCCTTACACCTTGCCTTGATCACTGTATTAAAGAGAAATAAATATCACGGATTCTTGAATCGCTATCCGATCAGTAAAAAAGCCAGACCCTCACCTAAAATAACGTCGTACCTCAACCTACAACCCCACTCAAAATTGCAATTTTTTCTTAAAACATCGATATTTTTCCAGAAGCTTATCTGAACTCAGTCAACATAGAGTATTTTTATCGACTCATATTACACTTAATTTAAAGTTTTCTAAAACGTGAAATAACGGCTAAAAAAACCTCGTTTTCTAACAATACTAACATTGTTTTTTTACAATGCCATTTGAACCCCGCCCACCATCACAAAATTACGAACCCCCATCCCCCTACGAGTGTGATGTCATTTATGCACGCCCCTTAAGCTGTAAGTCCTTAGTTCACGTCCCTGCCTAGAGTTTTATTATATGATTTCTATAAAACTAGTTATATTTAAATTTAATTTATTTAGCTTCATGATATTGGTAACTAACAGAATACAAAACCAATGCTAAGATTTCTATTAGAGACAATATAACTAAGTCCTTTTTGTGACAAGGGGGGGGGGGGGGGGGGAAGAGGAGGTAAAAAATCGTCCCAAAAAAGCGTGACGTCACTTATACATGACCTCCCTTAGCAGACAAACGTTACCATTAATCTTGGACCCAAACTAAAGACTTTCAGCTTAGCAGACGAACATTCTACCATTGTACTATTTCAAAGAGTGGCAAATTATTGATCATTATTTAAAAAAAAATTTTTTTTTAAAAATTGTATAGTAAATAGACAACCATTGACTTAATGAACGTTATAGTTATACAAGGAAATATCCAACTACTGAAGTAGTAGAATTGTATATGCAGTCTACATCTGTTGCAGTTCTTACTGGGATTTTAAACAAATAGTTGGACATTAAAAAAGTTAAAATACAACTTGTTACAACACCTTCAATTTAACAAAAACTTGTATTAGAAGTGACCAGAGAGTACTAAGCACCTACATACTAACTCAACTGAATAAATGAACAAAGAAAAGCATGATTTTTAAGAAAAAAATTTAATTGCTAACAGTAAAAGTCAAACAAATAACAAGAATTAAAATTTGAACAGTGAAACTAGATTAAAAAAGGTCATTCACTATACAGGGCACATCAGATGACACTTCAGGTAATGCTTATCTCACACAGATAATTTCAGTTGTGGGCTCTCTTTGCTGGTTGGAGAAATGTGAAAGATCAGAAAGCTTTCACCTTATTTAACACACTGGTTTTTGTTCTGTATAAATTGTGTTTTGTTAAGTAGCCAAGATCCCAAAATGATTTGCTATAATTGTAAGGTTTTCATTAGTATGAATTCTATGATGTCTCGCTAAACAGTAAGCCTGAGAGAAACATCTACCACATTTGTCAAACGTAAGGTTTTTTGCTCCTGAATGAATTAGAAACATCTACCACATTTGTCAAACTTGTAAGGTTTTTTGCTCCTGAATGAATTAGATCTGTAAGCTGTGTGAAACATTTACCACAAATGACACATTTGTAAGGTTTTTTCTCCTGCATATATTCTTTGATGCTTCTTTAAACCTGAGTCATGTGTAAAACATTTATCGCAATTGACACACTTGTAAGGTTTTTCTCCAGTATGAATTCTTTGATGCTTCTTTAAACCTGATTCATGTGTGAGGCTTTTCTCCTGTATGAATTCTATTGTGTGACTGTAAAATGTAGGAGAATGCAAAACATTTTCCACATTTATCACACATGTAAGGCTTTTCTGCTATATGAATTTTACAGTGGTTCTGTAAATTGGTCAGCCTTACAAAAGATTTACCACATTTGTCACACATGTAAGGCTTTTCTGCTAGATGAATTTTACAGTGGTTCTGTAAATTGGTCAGCCTTACAAAAGATTTACCACATTTGTCACACATGTAAGGCTTTTCACCAGAATGGATTCTATGGTGTTCCTGTACAGATTTAATGTGAGTGAAAAACTTATCACCTTTCTTACAGTTGTAAGGATTTTCTCCTAAATGAATTTTAAAGTGGTTCTGTAGATAGGTCAGGAGTATAAAACATTTACCACATTTTTCACACATGAAAGGCTTTTCACCAGTATGGATTGCTTGGTGTTTCTGTAAACTTTTACTTTGTGTGAAACATTTACCACATTTACCACACTTATGACGTTTAGCATGAATTATAAAGTGGTTCAGCAGACTGCTCTTCAATGCAAAAGATTTACCACATTTGTCACACCTGTACGGTAATTCATCTGTGTGAATTCTAATGTGGTTGTTTAAAAATTGACTTGTTGTGAAACATTTACCACATTTGTCACACTTGTATGGCTTTTCACATCTATAAATTCCACAGTGTTTCTGAAACTTTAATAGCTCCATGAAGCATTTGCCACATTTGTCACACTTATGAGGTTTAGTATGAATTGTAGAGTGGATCTGTAGAGTGCTCTTCAATGCAAAAGATTTACCACATTTGTCACAACTGTAAGGTAATTCACCTGTGTGAAATCTAAGGTGGTTGTTTAAAGATTGACTTGTTGTGAAACATTTACCACATTTGTCACACTTGTAAGTCTTTCCTAAGTTTTGATTTCTAAGGTGTATCTTTAAGTAAGCAGGCTGTGAAAAACTTTTATCACAGTTGTCACACTTGTAAGGCTTATCACCTGAATGTATTTTAACATGTTTCTTTAAATATTCACGACTCTGAAACCATTTACCACATTTGTCACAATTGTAAGGCTTTTCTCCTGTATGAATTTTAAGGTGTCTCTTTAAATCCCAAAATTCTGTGAAACATTTACCACATGTATCACACTTGTATGGTTTTATTCCAGTATGAATTCTTAAGTGTTTCGTTAAGTGTGATGAATCTGTAAAATATTTACCACATATGTCACACTTGAAAGGCTTTTCTCCTGTATGAACTCTATGGTGTCTCAGTAAACTGCTACATTCTGTGAAACCTTTACCACATGTGCCACATTTGTAAGGTTTTTCTCCAGTATGATGTCTATGGTGACTCTTTAAATTTGACAACTGAAAGAAGCTTTTACCACATGTGTCACACTTGTGAGGCTTTTCTCCTGAATGAATTAGAAGGTGTCTCTGTAAACATGAAAACTGCAAAAAACATTTGCCACATGTGTCACAAGTATAAGGCTTTAATCCTGTATGAGTTTCAATGTGTTTCTTTATTTGATATAGCTTCATAAAATATTTACAACATATTTCACACTTGTAAGGCTTTTCAACAGTATTATTTTTTAAATGGCTAATTTCTGTGTCACCCTTATGAGTCTTTTTTTCTATGCTGTTTCTAAGGTGTTTCTTCAATTGACTAAGCTTTGTAAAACATTTCTTACATCTGTCACACTTGTAAGCCTTTTTTTTCATAAAAATTGTAAGATGTTGATGAAAACTTGATGATTGGAAAGAATGTTCACTATTCTTAGAAGTGAGACCTAGACTCCAATTGGCTATTTCTTCTCCTCCATGTTTGAATTTCAAATGTGCCTTCAAAAAGGAAACATTTGAAAATGCCACTTTGCAATATTGACATGGATAGAGATCTGTAAAATAATATTATTAAATTGAACTTTGTTGATAATTAACTTTATTGTAAGTTTAATATATAATACTGTGATGCCAATATTCATGTAATAGTAAGTTGAAATATAAAGTCCTTTACTGCATGAAGTGTTTATTTTATCATGTTTCTAGTGGCTACTTCAAACAGTGGACACAGTGATGACCAATTGATACAGTGGACACAGAGATGACCAATCAATTGATAAAGTGGACACAGAGATGAGTAATTGATACAGTGGACACAGTGATGACTGATATTGTGACACATTAATGACATCAGACATAACAAGTGAACTACATAAAAACTACAATTAAAGAACAAAAATCAAATCAAGGAGATAAGATTAAGTTGTTGTTTGATCTACTTTTTTTTATGCTGTTGCATTGTTATTGATGGCTTTAAGAAAAGAACAGTCCTCCTTTTTGTTTTTTACATTGTATAACGGCCATTTCAACGCTATAATATTGTAATTACTTTAATGAGAAAATTCTACAATACCTTTGATTAGCTTACAACAATGTTTAGTGTTTGCAATGCATTTTTCATATGCAGTATATTTATTCATTTTGCTGAGTACAAGGTAGCTGAAGATAATGTACATTCTATAAGCTTTGTCAACAGATAAAAAATTAGGTACCCTGTTGTAATAGATTAAATTTAATCATTAAAAATATATTTGACCCTGAAAAACAAATAAGTGAAAATAATAACTTGACAGAGGCAACAGCCAACACAAAGCCCGCTATTTAGCCCACCATGTATTTGATTGTTGAACGTTCTAATGTGTCACAATAACACAGCTTAAAAATTATCATATCAGTATCATAGCCATTAAAAAAAAAACTTTAAAAAAAAAAAAAATTTCCTAGGCTATTGATGAATTCTGATAATTAAAGTTAGAACCAAATTAAAGGTAAACAAATATAGTTTTTAATTGTTTTAGTCTTCTTAGACAAAATCAGATGATGGGGAATAGGACATATCGGCACTTTTTTCTGTGTTTGGTACATTCAAAAGAAGGTCTAAGTTGTGTTCCCATAGAAAATACAGTTTAAAACCATACTCAAAATATACTTTTGTGTTTATGTGTGAAAATTATAAAAATGATTGTTATTAATATTGCCATGATAGTAGTTAATAAATTTTACAGTTTATTCCTAATTTGTAAAAAAAATTTTTTTTTGGTAAAAATGTCCTACATTCCTGACAGTATTTATAAGTAGCAATATAAATTTGGGCCATTAAAAATTAACAAAACTAAATAATCTTCAACATATGCTTTAAGTGTGCCAAAAGCAATATAACAACACATTGTTTAAGACAAAATTTCATTCAGAAATTAATTCTGTAAATAAAGCTAAAGATCTTATGCCACACCCCAGATAAGATGTATATGCTGGATGAATTTGCCCAGAGTAAAGAACCAAGACAATGCTTCAATCAATGACATTGATCACCTCAAACTCTCCTTGCATACAAATCTTTAAATAATTGATTAAATTGATTTACCACTAGCATTGCTCTCCATTTTGATCAAACTGTTCTTGTTTACAACACCAACCCTCTGTAAATAAATGCCCAAGTCTCTGGCATAGCTGTCACCAAATTACACCTGAAAATATCAGAATACTGTTTTATACTAGTCAACTGAAAAATAGCTTTCACCATATCATTCACATGAAAGCTCGTAATTCAAAAGTCTTATGTCAAGTTGTTGGGCACGAGTGTGTTTTGGTACCACACAGAATGTGTGTGTATTTGTGTATATATACATACATACATATATATATATTTAAATATAGATCTATATTGTGAAGTATTTTCACAGATCTAGTATTTAAATTCACATTTGTTTGATATTGCTAGACAGTTGTTTATTATTTATACTATTATATTAATTAATTTCAATTTCGTCTAGATACATCTAACTAGTTTAGATCTTGAGTTTGAGAGCACAAGAGACTAGATACTAGAATCGACCAGAAGAAATCTTGATTGTCTGACTATACTTAACTTACTATTTTACTACTAGGTCTACTTAGTGAGCTACCTAGGCTTAACTAGATTACTTAAATTACTAGATATAGAAATTCTAGATTTTGTCTATTCTATACCAATCTAGATTTATTCTAGAATCTTTCTATAAAATAATATTATATTAATAAACAAACACTACTAACCTAATTTATAAAATTACATTATTTTTTATATTTTACATTAATATTAATTTATTAAATATTTCATGTACATCAATCTATATCTAGTCATGAAGGTCGTAGATCTATTCTAGATCTACTGATCTAGATCTAGTCTCAAAGTCCTAGAAGTAGAAACTCTAGATTGATCTAGATCTAGATATTCTAGATTTAGATCTAGAATAGATCTAGAATTCTAGATTCTAGATCTAATATAGATCTAGAATAGAATCTTTTTAAATATTTAATCAAATCAAATTAATCTAGAATCTAGATTTTATAACTAGAGAAAGGGTGATATTATTAGTAATAAAATAATGTTAATAACAAAATAACGTTAGCTACAGACTTCAGCTGCGGAGATTATTAGATCTAATGTTTAATCTTACTTAGAATTATTATAGCATAGTTTTAAAAATTTGAACGGTGTAGCAGCGCCACAACTTGTCTGATTGATAATGTACTCGCTACGTTTAGATCGCTACTCGGAACCAGGCAAACGTGAGATTGAAAACCGAATCCATAAAGTTATTAATAGATAATGTTAATTTGTTCAGTATATTTGTTTAAGAATTCTTTTACTTAACTATCTGCTTTTACATTTATCAATTAAAATTCTTTTTAAACCTTCATTTTATTGATCTACAAAATTTTTCATAATAAATTAAAATTAAATTAGCATTTGGTAATCGATACATTTTGTTCAATCGAAATTTGACTGGCGATTTCCTTTAAAGGGATGTAACTTACAATGAATAGTAGCAGCTGATACCCGGTGCAGTCTGGGTTTTAGAAATATATAATTTTTAAAAAATTAAATGTTGGATGCGTTAGAAAATAGGCATTTATAATATTATATATTAACACTAACTCGAACAGTAAGCATAAACTTGACCCCCAACCTTGTTAATGTAAGGCTAATACATTCCTATCCTTAACCGAGTGACACCTAGTGACGACACCGGGCCCATGCGATAAAAAAATAAATCGTTGGCGGCCATAATATTAATAATATAGAAAATCTAGTATTTCTTTGCTACCATACAATAAGTTCTGCTTGTGGCGGCAGCGGTGATGCTCGAAGGCGATATATCGGGCGGCTTTAGTATTCCACACGAAAGAAAGAAGTTTATTTAGATTCTACAATTTTAACAATTGCTATTTCAGTGCCTCAAAATTCATTTAAAAAACCTGTTAAATCAGTGTGTAAAACCTTGTAGTCGTTTATTTTCGTAACTTTGACTATGTATAATTCGTTACGTCATCTTAAATCGAGCTTTTAAATTGATTTTTCTTTCCTTCTTCTTTTTCTTCTTCGTTCTTAATTATTAATGTTGAAGGGGATCGAGATTTATCTGCCAGTGGGTTTGAACACGAGACTTTGTTCGAATTTATCAACCATGAGCTTTTTGCCGACTCGATCACGCCTCCAACACAATTAAGCGTTACGTGTCAACTGGTTATGCGCCATTGAGGCCATTGACTCCGATTTCAGCATGCTTTTCTTTTTGGATTTGCTTCCATAGTCTTTGTCCAACCAAGAACAAACTACAAGACAGCAGTTGTTTGATTTTGGAGTTGTCTCTCCTAGAGGAGTGGCTGTCCCCAGCTAACGAGCCTCCTCTGCCCGAGGGTTCGAATTCGAGACTTTTCGGTTTAGCAACCATGAGCTTTACCGACTCGACCACGCCGACCCCTATTTTTCTTTCCCTTTTGGCGCTCCCTAAGGTCGGCACCCTAGGACATAGGCCCCCTGCCCCCCCCCCCCCCAATCGCTACGCCTCTGCTTATACCCGAACCGGCTCCTGTACTTACACATACCTATATTATTTCTTACTCATTATTAACCCCCCCCCCTACCCCTATCTCTTTCTCTAGATGACGGGTAAGTAATTGATAGGATTGGGGGGGGGGGGGTATTGTCCTACTGCTGTTATTTGGGGGCGGGGGTTATGTACAGGCGGTGACTTAAAAGGGGTGTAAGCCACTTTAGCAGTTTCTCGTTGGAATGCAAGCACTTGTTCGTCGCCGCAAGTAAGCTTATCCATTTCATGAAGAAAAAAAAATCAATTCAGCAAAGCAAACCTAAGCATAAAAAAAATCTTCGCGTATTCGATTTGAGGCACTTATGTTCATCCTGTACATATTGGTTACGCACCAGCTAAACGTTTGTTCTTAGGTCACTTAAAATTTTATTTTAGGAGAAAATCTATTAATTAAAAATTGTCTTGCAGCAAGGTGACACAATTTTGGGTTAGAAGTTGTGTTTTATTTTCCTTTTCTGTTTTAATTATATAAAAGGTTGTAGTTAAATTAATAGTATTTCTCTTTGCTGATGAAATTATATATGTATGCATATGTGGCGCAACTACAGCACAATGTTATTTTAAAAAATTAAGGACCTAATCAAGAGCTCCTTTAAGTTTCAGCTGGTTGCTATGTTGGCGTGTCAATCTGCTGGGGTTGGCGTGTTTCCCAGGGCTGTCGACGACGACCGCTGACCAGTGGCGTAGCGAGGTCGGGTGTCCCCCACCAGAGGCGTAGCGACACTTCCCGGGGACAAACTTTCAATTTCCACCCCCCCCCCCTCAAGTTTTTCTCTATATATTTTGCTATTTTTTGCCTTGGTGTCACCCGGTGCTGACCACATTATCCCTTCATATGCTGAGGTCACTGAAACTGGTGAACTATACTTCACCTACCCTGTGGGTTGCCAGGGGAACTTTATTTTACTTTCTTTACAAGTGGACACTAGTCTTGAACAAGCAGGGTGTAGGATTTTGCTTAGGCCCTATACTTTTAGTTATATAATGCAACATTGTAAGGATTTACGAACCTTGACCATTAATGTGCTGAAAGTAAAATGAGTTTAGTTTTCAGATTTTAAAATTTATAATCATTCTTAAAACTAGTTACATTTAATTAGATTTATTTAGCTTCACGATATTAATAACAAACAGAACACAAAATGTATGCAAAGATTTTTATTAGAGACAACAAAACTAATAGTCTATATATGTAATATTCCGCTCATCTGATTGCTTCCTTAATACTTCATATATATTGTTTGCTAAATTTTGTCCTGTAGCTATAGACAGGCTAAATTAAAATATACATTTAGCTACACCTAGGTAGGTCAAAGTTTTAAAAATGTTTACAATACTGCTATATTTTGCTTTATATTTTCATAAGCACTTAGAAAAAGTGGAATTGTTGTGAAAAAGTAATAATGGTAAGAAATATAATTGGGCACACATTTATTTTACCATGGATTTATCTCAAATAGCTAGGTCTACAACTAGCCCTGTATTTACCATTTTAATTGAATATTGCTCTACCTTGCTGACTTTAACTAAGTGCATATTAGTTTAAAACTAATTTACTAGAATGTACTAAGCACCTACACACTCTCTCCATTGAACTTGAACAAAACTAAACCAAAAAATAACAAAGAAAAACCTTGAAATTAAATAAAAAAATGCTAACAGTCAAACAGAAAACAATAATTAATCTTTAACTTAAACAATATTTCACAAAGAAAGGTCATTCACTATACAGGGCACATCAAAGGACACTTCAGGTGATGTTTATCTCAAAAAGACACGCAAGAATCATTTTTGAGATCAGAAAAACTTTACCTCATTTGTCAAACTTGTTTCTCTCCTGTATGAATTCTAAGGTGTTTTGTAAATTTGTAAGGCTTTTCTCATGTATGAGTTGATGTTTCTGTAAAGTACTCTGTAGTGCAAAACGAGTACCACATTTGTCACAACTGTAAGGCTTTTCTCTTTTATAAATGTTTTGGTGGTTCTGTAAAGTGGAAGTGTCTGAGAAACATTTACCACATATGATGCACAAGTATTTTTTTTTTCCTGTATGTGTTTTAAGGTGTTTTTGTAAACCTGCTAAATTATTGGAACATTTACCACAATTGGCACATTTGTAAAGATTTTCTCCTGAATGAATTCTATGGTGGCTCTTTAAAGCTGAGGGGTGTGTGAAACATTTGCCACAAGTGACACATTTGTAAGGTTTTTCTCCAGTATGAAGTCTTTGATGCTTCTTTAAACCTGATTCTAGTGTGAAACATTTACCACAAGTGATACACTTGTGAGGCTTTTCACCTGTATGAATTCTATTGTGTGACTGTAAAATGTAGGAGAATGCAAAACATTTTCCACATTTATCACACATGTAAGGCTTTTCTGCTAGATGAATTTTACAGTGGTTCTGTAAATTGGTCAGCCTTACAAAACATTTACCACATTTGTCACACATGTAAGGCTTTTCACCAGAATGGATTCTATGGTGTTCCTGTACAGATTTAATGTGAGTGAAAAACTTATCACCTTTCTTACAGTTGTAAGGCTTTTCTCCTAAATGAATTTTACAGTGGTTCTGTAAATAGGTCAGGAGTGCAAAACATTTACCACACTTTTCACACAAGAAAGGCTTTTCACCAGTATGGATTGCTTGGTGTTTCTGTAAACTTTTACTTTGTATGAAACATTTACCACATTTATCACACTCATGACGTTTAGCATGAATTATAAAGTGGTTCCGCAGACTGCTCTTAAATGCAAAAGATTTACCACATTTGTCACACTTGTATGGTAATTCATCTGTGTGAATTCTAATGTGGTTGTTTAAATAATGACTTGTTGTGAAACATTTACCACATTTGTCACACTTGTATGGCTTTTCACATCTATAAATTCCACAGTGTTTCTGAAACTTTAATAGCTCCATGAAGCGCTTGCCACATTTGTCACACTTATGAGGTTTAGTATGAATTGTAGAGTGGATCTGTAGAGTGCTCTTCAATACAAAAGATTTACCACATTTGTCACACTTGTAAGGTAATTCACCTGCGTGAAATCTAAGGTGGTTTTTTAAACAATGACTTGTTGTGAAACATTTACCACATTTGTCACACTTGAAAGTCTTTTCTAAGTTTTGATTTCTAAGGTGCATCTTTAAGTAAGTAAGCTGTGAAAAACTTTTATCACAGTTGTCACACTTGTAAGGCTTATAATCTGAATGTATTTTAACATGTTTCTTTAGGTAGTCATGATCCTTATACCATTTACCACATTTGTTACAATTGTAAGGCTTTTCTCCTGAATGAATTTTAACATGTTTCTTTAAATCCCAAAATGCTGTGAAACATTTACCACACGTATCACACTTGTATGCTTTTATTCCAGCATGAATTCTTAAATGTTTCGTTAAGTTTGATGACTCTGTAAAATATTTACCACATTTGACACACTTGAAAGGCTTTTCTCCTGTATGAACTCTATGGTGTCTCAGTAAACTGCTACATTCTGTGAAACCTTTACCACATGTGCCACATTTGAAAGGTTTTTCTCCAGTATGATATCTATGGTGACTCTTTAAATTTGAAAACTGTAAGAAGCTTTTACCACATGTGTCACACCTGTGAGGCTTTTCTCCTGAATGAATTAGAAGGTGTCTCTGTAAACTTGAAAACTGCAAAAAACAGTTGCCACATGTTTCACAAGTATAAGGCTTTAATCCTGTATGAGTTTTAATGTGTTTCTTTATTTGGTAAAGCTTTATAAAATATTTTCCACATATGTCACACTTGTAAGGCTTTTCAACAGTATTATTTTTTAGCTGTTTTTTTAAATGGCCAATTTCTGTGTCACCCTTATGAGTCTTTTTTTCTATGCTATTACTAAGGTGTTTCTTCAATTGGCTAAGCTTTGTAAAACATTTATTACATCTGTCACACTTGTAAGCCTTTTTCTTCATAAAAATTGTAAGATGTTGATGAAAACTTGATGGTTGGAAAGAATGTTCACTATTCTTAGAAGTGAGACCTAAAGTCCAATTGGCAATTTCTTCTCCTCCATGTTTGAATTTCAAATGTGCCTTCAAAAAGGAAACATTTGAAAATGCCACTTTGCAATATTGACACGGATAGAGATCTGTAAAATAATATTATTAAATTGAACTTTGTTGATAATTAACTTTATTGTAAGTTTAATATATAATACTGTGATGCCAATATTCATGTAATAGTAAGTTGAAATATAAAGTCCTTTACTGCATGAAGTGTTTATTTTATCATGTTTCTAGTGGCTACTTCAAACAGTGGACACAGTAATGACTTGCTGCTACAGTGGACACAGAGATGACTAATTGATACAGTGGACACAGAGATGACTAATTGATACAGTGAACACAGTGATGACTAATTGATACAGTGGACACAGAGATGACTAACTGATACAGTGGACACAGAGATGACTAATTGATACAGTGGACACAGAGATGACTAATTGATACAGTGGACACAGTGATTACTGATATCATGACAAATTAATGACATCAGACATAACAAGTGAACTACATTAAAAACTACAATTAAAGAACAAAAATCAAATCAAGGAGATAAGATTAAGTTGTCGTTTGATCTACTTTTTTTTATGCTGTTGCATTGTTATTGATGGCTTTAAGAAAAGAACAGCCCTCCTTTTTGTTTTTTACATTGTATAACGGCCATTTCAAAGCTATAAATTATAGTATAATATTGTAATTACTTTAATGAGAAAATTCTACGATGCCTTTGATTAGCTTACAACAATGAATGTTTAGTGTTTGCAATGCATTTTTCATATGCAGTATATTTATTCATTTTGCTGAGTACAAGGTAGCTGAAGATAATGTACATTCTATAAGCTTTGTCAACAGATAAAAAATTAGGTACCCTGTTGTAATAGATTAAATTTAATCATTAAAAATATATTTGACCCTGAAAAACAAATAAGTGAAAATAATAACTTGACAGAGGCAACAGCCAACACAAAGCCCGCTATTTAGCCCACCATGTATTTGATTGTTGAACGTTCTAATGTGTCACAATAACACAGCTTAAAAATTATCATATCAGTATCATAGCCATTAAAAAAAAAAACTTAAAAAAAAAAAAAATTTCCTAGGCTATTGATGAATTCTGATAATTAAAGTTAGAACCAAATTAAAGGTAAACAAATATAGTTTTTAATTGTTTTAGTCTTCTTAGACAAAATCAGATGATGGGGAATAGGACATATCGGCACTTTTTTCTGTGTTTGGTACACTCAAAAGAAGGTCTAAGTTGTGTTCCCATAGAAAATACAGTTTGAAACCATACTCAAAATATACTTTTGTGTTTATGTGTAAAAAATTATAAAAATGATTGTTATTAATATTGCCATGATAGTAGTTAATAAATTTTACAGTTTATTCCTAATTTGTAAAAATAATTTTTTTTGGTAAAAATGTCCTACATTCCTGACAGTATTTATAAGTAGCAATATAAATTTGGGCCATTAAAAATTAACAAAACTAAATTATCTTCAACATATGCTTTAAGTGTGCCAAAAGCAATATAACAACACATTGTTTAAGACAAAATTTCATTCAGAACTTAATTCTGTAAATAAAGCTAAAGATCTTATGCCACACCCCAGATAAGATGTATATGCTGGATGAATTTGCCCAGAGTAAAGAACCAAGACAATGCTTCAATCAATGACATTGATCACCTCAAACTCTCCTTGCATACAAAACTTTAAATAATTGATTAAATTGATTTACCACCAGTATTGCTCTCCATTTTGATCAAACTGTTCTTGTTTACAACACCAACCCTCTGTAAATAAATGCCCAAGTCTCTGGCATAGCTGTCACCAAATTACACCTGAAAATACCAGAATACTATTTTATACTAGTCAACTGAAAAATAGCTTTCACCATATCATTCACATGAAAGCTCGTAATTCACAAGTCCTATGTCAAGTTGTTGGGCACTAGTATGTTGAGGTACCACACAGAATGTAAGTCTCTTGTGACAAGAAACTAGATGATCAAGATTTAGAATCAACAACTAGGGGCCTAGCAATCTTGATTGTCTGACTATGACCATAGATTCTACTTACTACTACTAGATCTAGTCTACTTACTACACTTAGACTTAATTAGATTACTTACTAGATCTAGATTCTGTCTATCTATTCTATACCAATCTAGATTTATTCTAGATCTAGAATCATGTAGATCTAGATATGTAGGCCGTAGATCTAGAGTCTAGATCTAGGTCTAGTCCCAGAATCTTTAAATTAATAAAATCAAATTAATCTAGAATCTAGAATATTCTAGAATCTAGGCTATATTTTATAACTAGAGAAAGGGTGATACTTTTAATATTAATAAAATAATGTTAATAACAAAATAACCTTAGCTACAGACTTCAGCTGCGGAGATTTTAAATCTTTAATCTAAATAATCTTAATTAGAATTATTAGAGCATGGTTTTAAAAAATTTGAAAGGTGTAGCAGCGCCACAACTTGCCTGATAGTGATAATGTACTCGCTACGCTTAGATCGCTACTCGGAACCAGGCAAACGTGAGATTGAAAACCGAATCCATAAAGTTGTTAATAGATAATGTTAATTTGTTCAGTATATTTGTTTAAGAATTATTTTACTTAACTATCTGCTTTTAAATTTATCAATTTAATTTTTTTAAACCTTCATTATATTGATCAACAAAATTTTTCAAAATAAATTTAAATTAAATTAGCATTGGTAATCGATACATATTGCTCACTCGAATTTGATTGGCGATTTCCATTAAGGGATGTAACTTATAAATTAATATAAATACTTATAATGAATACTAGCAGCTGATACCCGGTGCTGCCCGGGTTTTGGAAGTATTTAATTTTTTCATTTAAATGTTGGATGCGTTAAAAAATAGGCCTATATATTACACTAACTCGAACAGTAAGCATAACCATAAACATAACCATGATCCCCAACCTTGTTAATGTAAGGCTAATACATTCCTATCTTTAACCAAGTGACACCTAGCGACGACACCGGGTCCATGAGATGAAAAAATAAATCGCTGGCGGCCATAATAATAATTAATAAATCTAGTATTTCTTTGCTACAATACAAGTTTCTGCTTGTGGCGGCAGCGGTGATGCTCGAAGGCGATATATCGGGCGGCTTTGGTATTCCACACGAAAGAAAGAAGTTTATCTAGATTCTAGATTATAGATCTATCTTCGGCACGCCTAGCGATGGAAACAAATTTTAAATGCGGTATTTCGGGCGGCTTCGAAAAAGATGGTATTTTAAGTCGACACAAAAGAAAGAGGTTGAGAAAAATCAGCATGTCTAGGACAGAAAAATCGAAAGTTATAGCAATACAAACGAAACGTTTTTCGCCCAGAGGCGTAGCTACCTATTCCGGCGCCCGGTGTGGAATGTAAATTTTCGCCTCCTCCCTCCCATTTCTATTTCATAGTTATTCAAGTCTGTGAAAAACGCCCCTCACCCCTAGTGGGAAAGGTTTGCGACCCTTCTTACCAGTAACTATTTTCTCTTTCGGTGCCTCAAAATTGATATAGAAAACAGTAAAATCAGTGTGTAAAACCTTGTAGTCGTTTATTTTCGTAACTTTGGCTGTGTATAATTCGATACTTCAGCTTAATAAAACGAGCTTTTAAATTAATTTTTCTTTCCCTTTTGGCGCCCCCTTGGGGTCTGCTCCAGAATTTCTTCCAGGCATCTCTTCGGAACGAAATGGAATTTATATAGAAAATATATACTTTTGGCAGTGTCCGCTCCCTCCCCCCCCACCCCGGAAATTGATGTCCGCCCCTCCCCCCCACCCCCCTCCCCGAAAATTTCAAGTGCATTCCCGGAGAAAAAAGTCTGGAAGAAACAAAGGTCTGCTCCCGGGCCACCCGCCCTCCCATAGCTACACCACTGCTTTTGTCTGCATGAAAGTTCATGGTAAATCGGGTGCGGTTTTATGTTCGCACACAGCTTCGCATTTTACCCCCACCCAGAGTAAATAGCAGGTGGGGGTAAGTTGCGAGACAAAAATGTCGAGCGACCGCCAGTTTTCGCACCCTTCTTACAAATTTACCCCCTCGCCATTTCGCAATTTACCAACACCCATAACTATACCACTCTTAAATCTATCCTTTTCAATACCTTTTCCCCTATCCCATTTTATTTTTTCTATTCGCATTCTTACCCTATACCTGCACCAATACTTGTACCCAGAGGTGTAGCGACCCTTTGCGGCGCCCTGGGACAAACTTTCAATTTGCATCCCCCCCCTCAAACTTTCGATTACTTTTTCCAACCCGTTTTGGCGCTCCCTAAGGTCGGCGCCCGGGAACGTATTTCCCCCCCCCCCCCCCATCGCTACGCCTCTGCTTATACCCGAACCGGCTCCTGTACTTACACATACCTATATTACTCCTTACTCATTCTTAATCTCCCCCCTACCCCTATCGCTTTCTCTAAATGACGGGTGGGTAATTGATAGGATGGGGGGGGGGGGGGTATTGTCCTACTGCTGTTATTTTGGGGCGGGGGTTATGTACAGGCGGTGACTTAAAAGGGGTGCAAGCCACTTTCCCAGCTAACACAGTATGTAATACCAGGGTCGGCCCAACCTTGGCCCAATGTTGTAATCATGGCCAAACATTGGACAAGCTTACGCCAGGGTACAGCCAAGATTTGTACATGCTTGCATCCCTTGATACCTTGATATTTAACCGTTTTTACCTTGGCTGCCAAGATTACACTGATTTATGGATTCACTGCAGAAATTTTACTTAAATATGCTTGTTAAACTTAATATATGTTAACTAAAATTAATTTATCTTTTAATATCATGCTCTAATGTAAACATAGCATCAATAACAGACTACGTTGCATGTGTTAAACATTTTGTTAATCTTTTTAAAATTGTGTGCGCTACTGCCACCGGCCCCCTGTCGCCCATTGTCCCTTTGTTCACATTCCTTCCTATTGTTCGCAAGCCAGCATCCCGGTCCTGCGCCATTTTTCTTAACAAAAGACTTTGTATCCAGTCACAGTAAAACAGGTAGGCCCACTGTAGCCATTTTAGTTCAACAGTGAGAAGTAGTATAACTGTATTTATGCAGAATCTGGAAAACTCGTATTTTTTTGTTGGAAACTTTAACTTTATGGGCCTAAGTCATCAAATAAAAGTTATAAAAGGTAGTTTATTTGAGGTAATAAAATGAGCCTAGATCTAGATCTAGTCTAGATCTAGATCTATATATTAATAATACTAGAGTCTATATTCTGTTTATTTTGGCATTAGGCTATAATTACATTTTACAATAATCTCCTTTATGGTAGATCTAGATAGATCTAGATTCTAATAATACTAAATAACTAAAAATCGTAATCAGAGGGCGGTTAATTTTGACAGCACTTTTTTTTTGTATTGAAAAGTATGCAAGTACGTTTGGGGTTATATTGATTATTGATAGATCGATGTATTTATTTGTTTCAACTTTAGGTATAATTATCACGCACAGGGAAAGGGGGGGGGGCTTAAATGTTTATAAATTAATAAATAATCATTCACTTTAACTTTTTAAAAAAACTTAATTTTATTGTTCTAGGCCTATTTGTGTAAGGATTTGAAACTGTCTTTAATAATTAATTCAGAGAGAGAGAGAGAGAGAGGAACAGTAGACACAATTATAGAACAAATTTCTACATGTTAAACAGTGTATTTTGATAGGTATTAATTTTGAAAAAAATTAGTCAACTAGAATTCTAAATTGATTCAAGATTGTCATTCAAATTTCTATTACTGTTACAGCTCCCTATGGGAGAATAAGATGTCATCATCATCATTCCTTTGTGGCCCCTGGGGAGCAAAGGGCTGCAACCACACATCTCCAGCGGACTTGGTTTTGGGCTGCTCCTCTAATCTGTGCCCATGAGAGCCCAGCTGTTTTCGCCTCCTCCTCAACCGTTCTCTTCCATGTTTTCCTTGGCCGGCCCACCCTCCTTTTTCCCTGGGGATTCCAGTCTAATGCATGTTTTGATGAATAAGATGTAAGTTGTGTAAATAGTAGTGTGGAGACCTCAGAGCAACACTTAATTTCATGACCAACAGCGATAAGATGGTACTATTAGTAAGCCATACTTAATGATCAACACTACTCATATTATCATATAGAGGACAGAGTAGGCAAATGGTTGAGGACACTATTGCTAAACATAAAGCCAAGTTAGTAGTACATTCATCAGTTCACCTAAGTCTGATATATACCCAATTTAAGACTATGAAATAAAAAAGGTGGCTAGATATAGTGTTGACTACACAATCCTTTATATACAGAGATTAAATAAACAGAGATACTTAAAAATTAGTATCTAATCTGGCTATCATTTATTGTATCACTCACTCATTTTATTATTATATTTAATAACTAAGAATGCCATTTATTTTCAGGCCTCCAGGTGTTGTGTATATCAATCAGCCCACTGGAGATATATCAATCTTTAATAAATTATAAGGTCCCCACTGCTTGATACTTCACCAAATACTGGCTACACCAGAAAATGACTAAATGTTCTTAACACTTAACAACTGTAAGTTTACATTGTTTCAAAGTGAATAATAATTTTCATTTAGTAATTTTTGCTTGCATGTAATGATCAGCATGTGTAGTTAATGCCTTTACTGATATTAGTAAAATAATTTCAGACCACAAGCATTACTTCTGGGTCACTCTGAAGGGTCTAATCGTTCAATTACTGAATTGATAAAGTTGATGAAATTGCTCAAAAATTGTCTGGCACTTTCTTAACTCAGAGACATAGGGTAAGGGGTTTATAATATTTATATACATACTATTATTTTTTTTATTACCAGGTCTTTTTTTTCACTTTTGTTTATATATATATATATATATATATATATATATATATATATATATATATATATATATATATATATATATATATATATATAATATATATATATATATATATATATATATATATATATATATATATATATATATATACGCAGTATAAGTGTTACCTGGGTAGCATGAACACCCCAGACCACCAGTCTTTATACCTATATAATATATCGTTACAAGGTAGCAAACATGATGTTAGGGGCTTCTTGTTGTATGTTCAGTGCAGTGCAAAATAAAATAAACATAATAAATTTAGTGCAAAATGAGCAGTGTATGGTTGTAATTATTTCATAAATGACTTTTAGTGTGTAACTTTTCTTTTTTAGAATGTGGATGGATTATGACATACCTTGCACAAATCAACAACCAGGCTTTTATTGGATTTGAATCCCAAAGGAAAGAGAAAGTTTGTTATCCAAAACAAACATGGAAAATATCAGAAACCAACAAAACACAAGCAGGCAGAGTGTTATGGACACAACTTTGGGGAATCTCCTAAAACCAAGTATAAAAATAGAGAGGTGTGGTTGTGTCTCTCAGCTCCACAAGGGTCCACAAGAATGAGGACAACAGTGATTTTCGTAATAATTTCAGATCAGATTTTTAAAAAAAATTTGATCAGATGGATCAGGTTAACAGTTTAATACATATTGCATTTAAGTGCTTAACGAAAAGAAAAGATGCTCTTACCAAAATAGTCTAAGAACAATGCTGATTTTAAATTAATAAATTGTTTCCTTTTGTAATAATATAATAATTTAAGTTGGCATTGTATGTATGTTTAGTGTAGATTTAATGCCCTAAATGAAATATACAATTGACATTTTTTTCTTTAAAGAATTAGTTGCAAATTTCTTTCATTATTTAGTTTCACTGTACAATCTGAAAAAAGCTTGCAACATTTGTATTGACAATACTTCTGCTGGTGATATTTATTTCTAATTAATGAAGTAAATTAATATATATTCAGTTTACTATAATTAAATACCTCATACTCGAGACAAAAAAACATTTATTGAATATCGCAGTGATATTCCTGTTCTACACAATGCGTATAAACCCTCGAACCATCTGTCTTTTGAAAGATTGTACATTTTGTATACACAATGGCATTCATTTCAACACTATTTAACCACAATTATAATCTAGAGATCCTGAACATATTTTCGTTCTGTTATTTATGGACAAGGCAGACTGGTCCAGCATTAAAATGTAAACCTTAATTAGAATACTTAAACGAGCTATGCAATTAAATGTTGTTAGACAAATATTTTATACTTTTTATTTTTAATGTTATGTTTACGTATCATAGTACAAGACAGCTTCTGTATTCTTGTACAGTAAATTAAGTTTTTACATTAGTTTAATTTAAACTGTAGGCCTGCTTAACATCTGTTACATTATATGAAAATGTTTTGTATATTTGTTTTAATTTGTTTGTATAAAAGTCAAAATGAAAGTTACTACACTATTATTTACATATTCTTTTTCAATCAATACTTTATAGTATAGTTATAATTTTCTTACAATTGAATGGATGGTATAGATTTTAATAGATGAGCAGTTCTTGTGTATGTATTGCTGCTTTACTACATTTTGATTAAAATTTCTTTCACATTTTGAAATTACCTTTGTAAATATTATGACTGATATGAGAATGGATCTTTTTGTATGCTAAAAATAAAAATTTGAGCCAAGATGTAGCCAGGATATAATACAGGCTGAGCCAAGGTATAGCCAATATTGGGCCAAGATATAGCCATTATTGAGCCAAGATGTAGCCAATATTGGGCCAAGATGTAACCATGATATAGACAATATTGGGCCAAGATATAGCCAATATTGAGCCAAGATGTAGCCAATATTGGGCCAATATGTAGCCGGGATATAGCCAATGTTGGGCCAATATGTAGCCGGGATATAGCCAATATTTGGCCAAGATCTAGCCAATGTTGGGCCAATATGTAGCCGGGATATAGCCAATATTGTGCCAACATTGCGCCAACATCATGCCGAGTTTCACTACCAATGTTTCGCCAAGGTTAAGCCAATGTTGCACCAAGATGTAGCCAATATTGGTAACCAATGTTTAGCCAATATTGGGCCAATATATGTGTGCTGACTGGGTTAGCAGTTTCTCGTTGGAATGCAAGCACTTGTTCGTCGCCGCAAGTAAGCCTATCCATTTCCTGAAGAAAAAAAATCAATTCAGCAAAGCAAACCTAAGCATAAAAAAAAGTTCGCCTTATTCGATTTGAGACACTTATACTTATACCTATGTGCATAGCTTCTACCTATTGGTTACACACCAGTTACACGTTTTTTCTTAGGCCACTTTTTAAAAAAAAAAAATTGGGAGAAAGTCTGTTTATTAAAAATTGTCTTGCAGCAAGTTGACGCACAATGTTGGGTTACAAGTTACTAGGAAACATAATGTTGTTGTTTAATTTTCCTTTTCTATCTTTTAATTATATAAAAGGTTGTAGTTAAATTAATAGTATTATTGTTCGCTGATGAAATTATATATGTATGCATATGTGGCGCAACTACAGCACAATGTTATTTAAAAAAATAAAGGACCTAATCAAGAGCTCCTTTAAGTTTCAGCTGGTTGTTATGTTGGCGTGTCAATCTGCTGGGGTTGGCGTGTCAATCTGCTGGGGTTGGCGTGTCAATCTGCTGGGGTTGGCGTGTTTCCCAGGGCTGTCGACGACGACCGCTGACCAGTGGCGTGGCGAGGTCAGGTGTCACCCCCCCCCCCCCCCCAGAGGCGTAGCGACCCTTCCCGGGGACAAACTTTCAATTTCCACCCCCCCCTCAACTTTTCCTCTATATATTTTGCTATTCTTTGCCTTGGTGTCACCCGGTGCGGTCCGCACCCCCCGCCGCTGACCACACTATCCCTTCATATGCTGAGGTCACTGAAACTGGTGAACTATCCTTCACCTGCCCTGTGGGTTGCCAGGGGAACTTTATTTTACTTTCTTTACAAGGGGACACTAGTCTTGAACAAGCAGGGCGTAGGATTTTGCTTATACTTTTAGTTAAATAATGCAACATTGTAAGGATTTACGAACCTTGACCATTAATGTGCTGAAAGTAAAATGAGTTTAGTTTTCAGATTTTAAAATTTATAATCATTCTTAAAACTAGTTACATTTAATTAGATTTATTTAGCTTCACGATATTAATAACAAACAGAACACAAAATGTATGCAAAGATTTTTATTAAAGAAAACAAAACTAATAGTCTATATATGTAATATTCCGCTCATCTGATTGCTTCCTTAATACTTCATATATATTTTTAGCTAAATTTTGTCCTGTAGCTATAGACAGGCTAAATATACATTTAGCTACACCTAGGTAGGTCAAAGTTTTAAAAGGTTTACAATACCGCTATATTTTGCTTTATATTTTCATAAGCACTTAGAAAAAGTGGAATTGTTGTGAAAAAGTAATAATGGTAAGAAATATAATTGTGCACACATTTATTTTACCATGGATTTATCTCAAATAGCTATGTTTAATTGAATATTGCTCTACCTTGCTGACTTTAACCAAGTACATATTAGTTTAAAACTAATTTACTAGAATGTACTAAGCACCTACACACTCTCTCAATTGAACTTGAACAAAACTAAACAAAAAAATAACAAAGAAAAACCTTGAAATTAAATTTAAAAAAAAAAATGCTAACAGTCAAACAGAAAACAATAATTAATCTTTAACTTTAACAATATTTCACAAAGAAAGGTAATTCACTATACAGGGCAAATCAAAGGACACTTCAGGTCATGCTTATCTCCAAAAGACATGCAAGAATCATTTTTGAGATCAGAAAAACTTTTACCTCATTTGTCACACTTGCTTCTCTCCTGTATGAATTCTAAGGTGTTTTGTCAATTTGTAAGGCTTTTCTCATGTATATGTTGGTGTTTCTGTAAAGTACTCTGTAGTGCAAAACGAGTACCACATTTGTCACAATTGTAAGGCTTTTCTCTTTTATGAATGTTTTGGTGGTTCTGTAAAGTGTAAGTGTCTGAGAAACATTTACCACATATGATGCACAAGTAATTTTTTTTTCCTATATGTGTTTTAAGGTGTTTTTCTAAACCTGCTAAATTATTGGAACATTTACCACAATTGGCACATTTGTAAGGTTTTTCTTCAGTATGAAGTCTTTGATGCTTCTTTAAACCTGATTCTAGTGTGAAACATTTACCACAAAAGTTACACTTGTGAGGCTTTTCTCCTGTATGAATTCTATTGTGTGACTGTAAAATGTACAAGAATGCAAAACATTTTCCACATTTATCACACATGTAAGGCTTTTCTGCTAGATGAATTTTACAGTGGTTCAGTAAATTGGTCAGCCTTACAAAACATTTACCACATTTGTCACACATGTAAGGCTTTTCACCAGAATGGATTCTATGGTGTTCCTGTACAGATTTAATGTGAGTGAAAAACTTATCACCTTTCTTACAGTTGTAAGGCTTTTCTCCTAAATGAATTTTACAGTGGTTCTGTAAATAAGTCAGGAGTGCAAAACATCTACCACATTTTTCACACATGAAAGGCTTTTCACCAGTATGAATTGCTTGGTGTTTCTGTAAACTTTTACTTTGTGTGAAACATTTACCACATTTGCCACACTTATGACGAATTATAAAGTGGTTCCGCAGACTGCTCTTCAATGCAAAAGATTTACCACATTTATCACACCTGTACGGTAATTCATCTGTGTGAATTCTAATGTGGTTGTTTAAAAAATGATTTGTTGTGAAACATTTACCACATTTGTCACACTTGTATTGCTTTTCACATCTATAAATTCCACAGTGTTTCTGAAACTTTAATAGCTCCATGAAGCGTTTGCCACATTTGTCACACTTATGAGGTTTAGTATGAATTGTAGAGTGGATCTGTAGAGTTCTCTTTAATACAAAAGATTTACCACAATTGTCACACCTGTAAGGTAATTCACCTGTGTGAAATCTAAGGTGGTTTTTTAAACAATGACTTGTGAAACATTTACCACATTTGTCACACTTGTAAGGCTTATAATCTGAATGTATTTTAACATGTTTCTTTAGGTAGTCACGATCCTTAAACCATTTACCACATTTGACACAATTGTAGGGCTTTTCTCCTGAATGAATTTTAACATGTTTTTTTAAATCCCAAAATGCTGTGAAACATTTACCACACGTATCACACTTGTATGGTTTTATTCCAGTATGAATTCTTCTTAAGTGTTTCATTAAGTTTGATGAATCTGTAAAATATTTACCACATTTGTCACACTTGAAAGGCTTTTCTCCTGTATGAACTCTATGGTGTCTCAGTAAACTGCTACATTCTTTGAAACCTTTACCACATGTGCCACATTTGAAAGGTTTTTCTCCAGTATGATGTCTATGGTGACTCTTTAAATTTGACAACTGTAAAAAGCTTTTACCACATTTGTCACACATGTAAGGCCTTTCTCCTGAATGAATTAGAAGGTGTCTCTGTAAACCTGCAAACTGCAAAAAACAGTTGCCACATGTTTCACAAGTAAAAGGCTTTAATCCTGTATGAGTTTTAAGGTGTTTCTTTATTTGGTAAAGCTTTATAAAATATTTACCACATATGTCACACTTGTAAGGCTTTTCAAGAGTATTATTTTTTAGCTGTTTTTTTAAATGGCCAATTTCTGTGTCACCCTTATGAGTCTTTTTTTCTATGCTATTTGTAAGGTGTTTCTTCAATTGGCTAAGCTTTGTAAAACATTTATTACATCTGTCACACTTGTAAGCCTTTTTTTTCATAAAAATTGTAAGATGTTCATGATAACTAGATGGTTGGAAAGAATGTTCATTATTCTTAGAAGCAAGACCTAGACTCCAATTAGCAATTTCTTCTCCTCCATGTTTGAATTTCATATGTGTCTTTAAAAAGGAAACATTTGAAAATGCCACTCTGCAATATTGACATGGATAGAGATCTGTAAAATAATATTATTAAATTGAAATTTGTTCATGTTTAAGTTTATAATAAGTTTGATATATAATACTGTGATGCTTATATTCATCTTTCATTGTATTTGAAATAAAATATCTTTTATTGCATGTAGTGTTTATTTTACCATGGTTTTTGTGACTACTTAAAACAGTGAACACAGAGATAACTGATACATTGGGTACAGTGATGACTAACTGCTACAGTGGGCACACTGATGACTAATATAGTGGCTACATTGATGACTGATAAATTGGACAGAGTGATAACTAAATGATACAGAGGACATAGTGATGACTAAATGGTACAGAGGACATAGTGATGACTAAATGGTACAGCGAAACAGTGATTGCTGATATAGTGGACACACTGGTGACTAATATGTTGACACAGTAATGACATGAGTGAGACATGACAAGTGAACTAAATAAAAACTATAATTAAGACCAAAAATTAAATGATGGAGATAAGATTAGGTTGTTGTTTGACCTACTTTTTAATGCTGTTGCATTGATATTGATGACTGCCAGAAAAGAACAATCTACCTTTTTGTTCTTTACAACATATGGTGCTAATTTCAAAGCTATATAGTCTAGTGTAATTAGTTTAATGAATAAATTCTATGATGACCCTGATTAGCTTATAAAAATGAATGTTAAAGGTAAATAAATGTAGTTTTTTTATTGTTTTAATCACCTTAATTAATAATAAAGCTAAAAATGTTATGCAACACCCTAGATGTGCTGGATGAACCAGTGTAATCAACAAGAGTATTCATCAAACACAGTCATTGATCAACCCAAACTCTGCTTACATACAAAGCTTTAAATTATTGATAAAATTGATTTACCACCAGTATTGCTCTCCATTTTGATCAAACTGTTCTTGTTTACAACACCAACCCTCTGTAAATAAATGCCCAAGTCTCTGGCATAGCTGTCACCAAATTACACCTGAAAATGTCAGAATACTGTTTTATACTAGTCAACTGCAACATTGCTGTCACTATATTATTTACATGATGGTTTTGTATTTCAAAAATATACATTAAGATCAATTTACACATGGAAACAGAAATTAAAACTATGTGCTACAAAAGTCAAGTGTAGCAATTCATATTTTAAAGAAGCACAGAAATAAAATTTGCAGAAAATTTGCAACAATTAGAATTAACCTAGATCTAGTAAAAAATGTTTATTAAAATAGTAAAAAAGACTACATCAATGATTAGGAAAAGTTGTTTAGCATTAATGATTACCAGAAACATTAAAAATTTAAAAATCATTATCACCAGAAAATTAGCAAAACATCTTTACATATATATATATATATATATATATATATATATATATATACATATATACATACATACATACATACATACATATATATATATATATATATATATATATATATATATATATATATATATACATACATACATACATATATATATATATATATGTATGTATGTATGTATATATCCAAATTTGTAATTTAAACTATTACTAAAAGATCTCGCCAAATAAATTAAGATTTACAGTTATTTCAGTATATTCCAGAATGTGGTGGCAGACTGTTATAAATGTTTTATTGTTGCTACATCATTTGGGAATAAAAACCAAAGCTATATCAGATGATTTCCAAATGTTCTGTGCTTGTAACTTTTTATTCTATTTATCTGTTTAATCCATAGTTTTAAAAATTTAGGTTTTTAATGACTAGATTTAGATCTTTGATTTATCCATTGAAAAGACAGGACTAGCTGTCCTAATCATGTCAACTTAAAAAAAAAATTACTAGTTGTTTGATCTGGCTAGACATTTGTTCATTATTTAGACTAATATATTTATTTATTTCTATTTTGTCTAGCTACATCTAACGAGATTAGATCTAGATGTTCTAGAGAGTTAAATAGACCAGATTGTCACTAGCATCTAGAACGAGACCCAGAACTCTAGATTGTCTAACTATAGACAGGCTTACTACTAGTACTGCTACTATTTCACTAGATCTTGTCAAGACACTGTCTATCGCTGGGGTCGGAAACCTGCTGCTCTTTTGATGTCAGGATGCGGCTTGCCAGTTCCATAAAATATATATTATTAATATATATATTAATATATATATATATTATTTTATTTTCATAACTCATAAAAATATTAAACTTGAGAAAAGAAAACTTTAAACATGATAAAAACACTAAGAATAGGTGGAGTACATCATAGACAGACAGCTGCTTAAGCACAAGGCCCAGCTCCACAACTGTGCTGTGGCCAGCCACGTGGCAGTAGTTCCATGCTTTCCACTACCGAAGCGCACTTTTTTTCCTGAATATTTTAAACATTAACTATTTTATTCAGAAGGCATTTTTTAATGTGTCAGTGTGCATTAATTTGACTTGAGGGACATAGTTTGTTTTAGTTGTTAGCTTCTAAATAGGGCAGGGATAGTGTTATAGTTAGGCTATATAATTTAATTTTATTATCCAAGCAGACCTAGCTAAAATACTTTATTCTGTTTTGTGCAAAACATGCGTGTTTTTATATGGATAAATATTATTTCATACTTGAACTAATTTTTTTTAAATGTGTTTACCAAATTTATCAATACCATAATATTAAAAAGAATGTTAGTGGCTCTTAAAAACTTTTGTAAATTTTAACTTTTGGCTCTTTCGGCTCAAAAGGTTGCCGACCCCTGGTCTATAGTAAGTAATAGTAATCTATCTATTCTTAATACTAGATCGAGAATCTATATTACTATATTAATTATTAAACCTAGATCTTATATAATATAGGCCTAATCTATTCTACTAAATAATAATTATTTTAAAAATTTAATGAATTTTGATAGAGATATAGAGGTCTAAAAGTTAAAAAAAAAATTTTTTAATTTTATGACATCGAAAAATCTAGAACTAGAAGATAGGCTAGATCTCTAGACATTCTTCTTACTACTAGGTACTAGACTAGGATAGGTCTAGTCTAAAATATAGATCAAGACCTTATCTTAATCTAGCTAATTTAAGTACAGTAGTTTACCCCGTAGTTGTTGTGTGTAGACTTAGACTAGATTGTAGACTAATGAATCTAGTCTAATCTAAATCTAAAATTCTAGATCTAGGTTTAGATTACATCTAGAATCTAGACTAGGGTAGATCTAGATAAGATCTAGATACAATAATTACTAAATAATCTAAATAATTACAATAATTACTAATTAGATCTATTAATTAATTAATTAATTATAAATTATAATTGTGTTCACTTTTAGTTTTAGTAGACGTCTATTTTCTAGATATTTAATACGAGTAACAATCACCGAAGAATACTAATAGATTAGATTCTTGGCTACAAACTTCAGATGCGGAGAATACTAATTATTATAGATCTAGATCTAGATCTAGTATGATTTAAACATTTTGAAAGTTATTGAAGCGCCACAACTTGCCGGATAATGTACTCGCTACGTTTAGATTTTAGATCGCTACTCGGAACCATGGCAAACGTGAGATTCATGACCGAATCCGTAAAGCTACCGATAGAAAATGTTAATTTGTTCAGTAAATTTGTTTGAGAATTCTTTTAATTATAATATTAATTAGCTATCTGTCTGTTTTTATGTTTATCAATTTAAAAACTTTTTAAACCTTCATAATATGGATCTATAAAACGTGTCTTAATAAATTAAAATTGCATTGGCATTTGGTAATCGATACTTATTGTTCACTCGAAATTGTACTGCCGATATCCTTTACTTTAAAGGGATGTAAATATTAATGAATACTAGCAGCAGATACTCAGTGTTGCCCATAGGGAGCGCCAATAGGTGTGAAAAAAAAAAAAAATTAACGCTGATTTTATGCGACAGTTTTTAATTATAAACAGGCTGGGTTAAGAATTGTAATGGCTACACGCCTTTACATACCTATTTAACTCTTTTCTACCTTGATAATGTAACTGTGAACATGTACCCTTTACAGTAACTGGCAAAAACGGCGTGCGGACCTTTGACCATAGGTGGTTTGACCACAGATGGGCTTTCACTTAATTAAATGATTAATTAGAGTGAATTAAATAGTCTTTTAAGAGCAAAGAGGACAAATTCCGACGGGGAGGGGGGGGGGGGGACGACGACGACGACACACCAGTAGCGTACGCAGGGGTGGAGCAGGGGGAGCGGCCGCTCCCCCTCGGGCCATTTTCAGCAACGTGGCGCCTTTTTGGAAACTTTTTAAACTCAAAGTTTTAAATATTGATATTTGTTAACAATTATTTTTAGTCGGCACATCTCTGTAAATCACAAGATTCATTTTCATGCAGCAATTAAGCATAGTAGTAATAGACTAGTAGAATCGACGTTCACAACACGTATTAGCAGCTGCATCCGTTTCGCAATCTAATTATAACCATTACGATGCATTGCAATGTTTAAAAAACCCCTAAGGGTAGTAGCACTTGGCAAGATTAGTGTTAAGTTTAAGGCACCTGTATAATGTATTTGTTTAGAATAATTGAATTAGAAAATGCTACACATAAAACTTCACACATAATTACTTTATATATACAGTTTAACTCGTGTAATTAATTTTTTGAAATTACAATACAGACATAAATACAACTGATGTGGCACCTCTATTTAAATTTACTCATGGGCGAATTGCGTAGCGGTAGGTAAATTTTGACAAGGTCAACAACGTCATCTCGATGAAGTGGTAGTATTATGACAGTTTGGGCGATAGTGATTACGATTACAAATTTATATGAAACAATATCAACTTTATATTAATTATTATTTTAGTTTACTATATCTAGATCTATATTAAATATAAATAATACTATATTTTGTATTAACTCAATTTAAACTAACACTGATCGCACAGTTAATTATCCGCTCAGTAGAGCAGGCGGGGGGGGGGGGTGTTAGGATGGTTATAATCCCCCCCCCCCCCCCCCCATGAACCCCTCTGTAAAATAATTATTTTTATAATACCGCTGCTACTTATTTAAATCTATTTTTGAATCAGTAAAAATGACGCTAAGTTATCCCTCCCCCCACACCTCACCACCACATTTGTGTAGGGTGACATTAATGTCACACCTAGGTATACGCTGGGTTGGATAATTGACCTAAAGTGACCGGACAGTGGTGAATGTAGTTGAACCCCCCCCCCCCCCCCCCACCCCCAACCCTCCAAAACTGATCTGTTAAGTACATTCGGGAAAACGCGTAATGATGTACCAAAGTACCATGCCACCAGAATCATAGCTTTTGAAACGTAAATCTCTGTGAATATTGTTTTTGCAATTACAAGTAAAATGGTGTGTGAGCAATACAGTGACCTAACCCATACCTTATCATTATGTTTAAAAAAAATGATCTTTAAAGAACACAAAAAGTCGGTAGCTAACTTTACCATGTATGATTTGAAAAGCAAGACCTATATATTGGTTATCTGTAGTCTATTTATCCGAATTTAATACATGTAAATTGAAAAGCTGGGTTTTATACCAACTCTGATTTAAAAACTTTCATTATTCTGTAATATTTTAGCATTTATAATGACAATAATTATAATTCTGATTGTAGACAAAATATTTTTGTAAAACCGAATAGCGTTAAGCTACTTTATTAAATTATTAAGTAATTATTGAGTTGTTTTGATATTTATAATTAAATGTGTAGACATATACATATTTATATTAAAAAAGTGATTATTTCCCCTTTTCGCTCGTCTTAATAAATGTCCCAGAAATTATTATGTAATTTTTTTACAAGGATTACAAAACAGATTATGCTGCGTTCATTGTTTTTGGTTGTAGTGTGTGTTTATTTTTCTTGTTTAGATTGATACATTTTTTTTTGTTTTGTCAGCCTACATATTTTTTTTTCTCGCCCTACAATGTGTATGTTTTTTTTTAATTTCTTCAGAGTGCTACTTTCAATTTATTTTACATCATAGCGAAGCGACAACATACAGCTAATATATATATATATATATATATATATATATATATATATACATATATATATATGTGTATATATATATATATACACACACAAAAACACACATATATATATATAGGCCTATATATATATATATATATACGTATATAGAAGATATTACAAATTCGGCGCCTTTTTTTTTTGCTATTTTCGCTCCCCCTACACTGAAAACCTGGATACGCCTCTGCGACACACACACCATGACGTAAACCTGCTAAGAAAACATGCAATATCCAGCTGAATTTATAACCGAATATAGGTACAAATTGTTAGTATTATCTGAGCACAGTTTAAAGCAATCACCGTGGGGGTGACTGGGGGGGGGGGGGGGCGGGGGCAGTGAGTTACATTAACTCAACGTTGCAATATATATGCCTGAGGAAAGAGGGGTTGGTTGAGAATTGTAATAACCTGTTACCCCCCCCCCCCCCCCCCCCCCTTAGCAGACAAACGTTACCATTAGCCTTGGACCCAAACTTAAGACTTTCAGCTTAGCAGACGAACATCCTACCATTGTACTATTTCAAAGAGTGGCAAATTGTTGATCATTATTTAATAAAATTTGTATAGAAAATAGACAAACATTGACTTAATGAACGTTATACAAGGAAATCTCCAACTACTGAAGTAGTAGAATTGTATGTGCAGTCTACATCTGTTGCAGTTTTTACTGGGATTTTAAACAAACAGTTGGACATTAAAAAAAAATATAACTTGTTACAACCCCTTCAATTTAACAAAAACTTGTACTAGAAGTGACCAGAGAGTACTAAGCACCTACATACTAACTCAACTGAATAAATGAACAAAGAAAAGCATGATTTTTAAGAAAAAAATTTAATTGCTAACAGTAAAAGTAAAACAAATAACAAGAATTAAAATTTGAACAATGAAACTAGATTAAAAAAGGTCATTCACTATACAAGGCACATCAGATGACACTTCAAGTCATGCTTATCTCACACAGATAATTACAGTTGTGGGCTCTCTTTGCTGGTTGGAGAAATGTGAAAGATCAGAAAAGCTTTCACCTTATTTAACACACTGGTTTTTCTTCTGTATAAATTGTGTTTTGTTAAGTAGCCAAGATCCCAAAACAATTTGCTATAATTGTAAGGTTTTTCATTAGGATGAATTCTATGGTGTCTCGCTAAACAGTAAGCCTGAGAGAAACATCTACCACATTTGTCAAACTTGTAAGGTTTTTTGCTCCTGAATGAATTCTATGATGCCTCTTTAGAACTGTAAGCTGTGTGAAACATTTACCACAAATGACACATTTGTAAGGTTTTTCTCCTGTATATATTCTTTGATGCTTCTTTAAACTTGACAAATGTGTAAAACATTTATCGCAATTGACACACTTGTAAGGCTTTTCTCCAGTATGAATTCTTTGATGCTTCTTTAAATCTGATTCATGTGTAAAACATTTACCACAAAAGTTACACTTGTGAGGCTTTTCTCCTGTATGAATTCTATTGTGTGACTGTAAAATGTAGAAGAATGCAAAACATTTACCACATTTTTCACACATGTAAGGCTTTTCTGCTAGATGAATTTTACAGTGGCTCTGTAAATTGGTCAGCCTTACAAAAGATTTACCACATTTGTCACACATGTAAGGCTTTTCACCAGAATGGATTCTTTGGTGTTCCTGTACAGATTTAATGTGAGTGAAAAACTTGTCACCTTTCTTACAGTTGTAAGGATTTTCTCCTAAATGAATTTTACAGTGGTTCTGTAAATAGGTCAGGAGTGCAAAACATTTACCACACTTTTCACACAAGAAAGGCTTTTCACCAGAATGGATTGCTTGGTGTTTCTGTAAAGTTTTACTTCGGGTGAAACATTTGCCACATTTATCACACTTATGACGTTTAGCATGAATTAAAAAGTGGTTCCACAGACTGCTCTTCAATGCAAAAGATTTACCACATTTGTCACACATGTATGGTAATTCATCTGTGTGAATTCTAATGTGGTTGTTTAAAAAATGACTTGTTGTGAAACATTTACCACATTTGTCACACTTGTATGGCTTTTCACATCTATAAATTCCACAGTGTTTCTGAAACTTTAATAGCTCCATGAAGCGTTTGCCACATTTGTCACACTTATGAGGTTTAGTATGAATTGTAGAGTGGATCTGTAGAGTGCTCTTCAATACAAAAGATTTACCACATTTGTCACACCTGTAAGGTAATTCACCTGCGTGAAATCTAAGGTGGTTTTTTAAACAATGACTTGTTGTGAAACATTTACCACATTTGTCACACTTGAAAGTCTTTTCTAAGTTTTGATTTCTAAGGTGCATCTTTAAGTAAGTAAGCTGTGAAAAACTTTTATCACAGTTGTCACACTTGTAAGGCATATAATCTGAATGTATTTTAACATGTTTCTTTAGGTAGTCACGATCCTTAAACCATTTACCACATTTGTCACAATTGTAAGGCTTTTCTCCTGAATGAATTTTAACATGTTTTTTTAAATCCCAAAAAGCTGTGAAACATTTACCACACGTATCACACTTGTAACGTTTTATTCCAGCATGAATTCTTAAATGTTTCGTTAAGTTTGATGATTCTGTAAAATATTTACCACATTTGACACACTTGAAAGGCTTTTCTCCTGTATGAACTCTATGGTGTCTCAGTAAACTGCTACATTCTGTGAAACCTTTACCACATGTGCCACATTTGAAAGGTTTTTCTCCAGTATGATATCTATGGTGACTCTTTAAATTTGAAAACTGTAAGAAGCTTTTACCACATGTGTCACACCTGTGAGGCTTTTCTCCTGAATGAATTAGAAGGTGTCTCTGTAAACATGAAAACTGCAAAAAACAGTTGCCACATGTTTCACAAGTAAAAGGCTTTAATCCTGTATGAGTTTTAAGGTGTTTTTTTATTTGGTAAAGCTTTATAAAATATTTACCACATATGTCACACTTGTAAGGCTTTTCAACAGTATTATTTTTTAGCTGATTTTTTAAATGGCCAATTTCTGTGTCACCCTTATGAGTCTTTTTTTCTATGCTATTTCTAAGGTGTTTCTTCAATTGGCTAAGCTTTGTAAAACATTTATTACATCTGTCACACTTGTAAGCCTTTTTTTTCATAAAAATTGTAAGATGTTGATGAAAACTTGATGGTTGGAAAAAAATTTCACTATTCTTAGAAGTGAGAGCTAAAGTCCAATTGGCAATTTCTTCTCCTCCATGTTTGAATTTCAAATGTGCCTTCAAAAAGGAAACATTTGAAAATGCCACTTTGCAATATTGACATGGATAGAGATCTGTAAAATAATATTATTAAATTGAAATTTTTTCATGTTTAAGTTTATAGTAAGTTTAATATATAATACTGTGATGGCAATATTCATGTAATAGTAAGTTGAAATATAAAGTCCTTTACTGCATGAAGTGTTTATTTTATCATGTTTCTAGTGGCTACTTCAAACAGTGGACACAGTAATGACTTGCTGCAACAGTGGACACAGAGATGACTAATTGATACAGTGGACATAGTGATGACTAATCGATACAGTGGACACAGAGATGACTAATTGATACAGTGGACATAGAGATTACTTGTTGCAACAGTGGACACAGTGATGACCAATTGATAGTGGACACAGTGATGAGTAACTGATACAGTGGACCCACTGATTACTAATATCATGACACATTAATGACATCAGACACAACAAGTGAACTACATAAAAACTACAATTAAAGAACAAAAATCAAATCAAGGAGATAAGATTAAGTTGTTGTTTGATCTACTTTTTTTTATGCTGTTGCATTGTTATTGATGGCTTTAAGAAAAGGACAGTCCTCCTTTTTGTTTTTTACATTGTATAACGGCCATTTCAACGCTATAATATTGTAATTACTTTAATGAGAAAATTCTACGATGCCTTTGATTAGCTTACAACAATGTTTAGTGTTTGCAATGCATTTTTCATATGCAGTATATTTATTCATTTTGCTGAGTACAAGGTAGCTGAAGATAATGTACATTCTATAAGCTTTTGCAACTGATAAAAAATTAGGTACCCTGTTGTAATAGATTAAATTTAATCATTAAAAATATATTTGACCCTGAAAAACAAATAAATGAAAATAATAACTTGACCGAGGCAACAGCCAACACAAAGCCCGCTATTTAGCCCACCATGTATTTGATTGTTGAATGTTCTAATGTGTCACAATAACACAGCTTAAAAATTATCATATCAGTATCATTAAAAAAAAAAACTTTAAAAAAAAAAAAAAATTTCCTAGGCTATTGATGAATTCTGATAATTAAAGTTAGAACCAAATTAAAGGTAATCAAATATAGTTTTTAATTGTTTTAGTCTTCTTAAACAAAAATAAAGCTAAAAATCTTATGACACACCCTAGATAAGATGTATGTGCTGGATGAATTTGCCCAGTGTAAAGAACCAAGACTATGCTTCAATCAATGTCATTGATCACCTTAAACTTTAAACTCAAATTGCAAACAAAACTTTAAATAATTGATGAAATTGATTTACCACCAGCATTGCTCTCCATTTTTATCAAACTGTTCTTGTTTACAACACCAACCCTCTGTAAATAAATGCACAAGTCTCTGGCATGGCTGTCACCAAATTACACCTGAAAATATCAGTATACTATTCTATACTAGTCAACTGAAAAATAGCTTTCACCTTATCATTCACATGAAAGCTTGTAATTCACAAGTCCTATGTCAAGTTGTTGGGCACTAGTATGTTGAGGTACCACACAGAATGTAAGTCTCTTGTGACAAGAGACTAGTGACTAGATGATCAAGATTTAGAATCAACAACTAGGGGCCTAGCAATCTTGATTGTCTGACTATGACCATAGATTCTACTTACTACTACTAGATCTAGTCTACTTACTACACTTAGACTTAATTAGATTACTTACTAGATCTAGATCTAGATTCTGTCTATCTATTCTATACCAATCTAGAATCATGTAGAAAAACAAAAAAAAAAAGTGATTGTCGTGAGCGAACGGTGGTTCATAACCGGGATTTCAATTATCTCCAATGCTATGCGTATGAATACAAAATGACTCATACAACATTATATAGTAGAATGGATGTAGACTTACAGGATACTTTCGGTTTGTTTGTATGTGAAACGGTCATTAAATAGCGCCTAATGGAAATAAGAAGTTCCGCTCAGTGAGCGCAGGTCGGACGGCAACTCTAGATCTAGATATGTAGGCCGTAGAATGGCGTAGATCTAGAGTCTAGATACTAGGTCTAGTCCCAGAATCTTTAAATTAATAAAATCAAATTAATCTAGAATATTCTAGAATCTAGCCCAATCTAGGCTATATTTTATAACTAGAGAAAAGGTGATACTTTTAATATTAATAAAATAATGTTAAGAACAAAATAACCTTAGCTACAGACTTCAGCTGCGGAGATTTTAAATCTTTAATCTAAATAATCTTAATTAGAATTATTAGAGCATGGTTTTAAAAAATTTGAAAGGTGTAGCAGCGCCACAACTTGCCTGATAATGTACCCGCTACGCTTAGATCGCTACTCGGAACCAGGCAAACGTGAGATTGAAAACCGAATCCATAAAGTTGTTAATAGATAATGTTAATTTGTTCAGTATATTTGTTTAAGAATTACTTTACTTAACTATCTGCTTTTAAATTTATCAATTTAATTTTTTTAAACCTTCATTATATTGATCAACAAAATTTTTCAAAATAAATTTAAATTAAATTAGCATTGGTAATCGATACATATTGCTCACTCGAATTTGATTGGCGATTTCCATTAAAGGGATGTAACTTATAAATACTTATAATGAATACTAGCAGCTGATACCCGGTGCTGCCGGGGTTTTGGAAGTATTTAATTTTTTCATTTAAATGTTGGATGCGTTAAAAAAATAGGCCTATATATTACACTAACTCGAACAGTAAGCATAACCATAAACATAACCATGATCCCCAACCTTGTTAATGTAAGGCTAATACATTCCTATCTTTAACCAAGTGACACCTAGCGACGACACCGGGTCCATGAGATGAAAAAATAAATCGCTGGCGGCCATAATAATAATTAATAAATCTAGTATTTCTTTGCTACAATACAAGTTTCTGCTTGTGGCGGCAGCGGTGATGTTCGAAGGCGGCTTTGGTATTCCACACGAAAGAAAGAAGTTTATCTAGATTATAGATCTATCTTCGGCACGCCTAGCGATGGAAACAAATTTTAAATGCGGTATTTCGGGCGGCTTCGAAAAAGATGGTATTTTAAGTCGACACAAAAGAAAGAGGTTGAGAAAAATCAGCATGTCTAGGACAGAAAAATCGAAAGTTATAGCAATACAAACGAAACGTTTTTCGCCCAGAGGCGTAGCTACCTATTCCGGCGCCCGGTGTGGAATGTAAATTTTCGCCTCCTCCCTCCCATTTCTATTTCATAGTTATTCAAGTCTGTGAAAAACGCCCCTCACCCCTAGTGGGAAAGGTTTGCGACCCTTCTTACCAGTAACTATTTTCTCTTTCGGTGCCTCAAAATTGATATAGAAAACAGTAAAATCAGTGTGTAAAACCTTGTAGTCGTTTATTTTCGTAACTTTGGCTGTGTATAATTCGATACTTCAGCTTAATAAAACGAGCTTTTAAATTAATTTTTCTTTCCCTTTTGGCGCCCCCTTGGGGTCTGCTCCAGAATTTCTTCCAGGCATCTCTTCGGAACGAAATGGAATTTATATAGAAAATATATACTTTTGGCAGTGTCCGCTCCCTCCCCCCCACCCCGGAAATTGATGTCCGCCCCTCCCCCCCACCCCCCTCCCCGAAAATTTCAAGTGCATTCCCGGAGAAAAAAGTCTGGAAGAAACAAAGGTCTGCTCCCGGGCCACCCGCCCTCCCATAGCTACACCACTGCTTTTGTCTGCATGAAAGTTCATGGTAAATCGGGTGCGGTTTTATGTTCGCACACAGCTTCGCATTTTACCCCCACCCAGAGTAAATAGCAGGTGGGGGTAAGTTGCGAGACAAAAATGTCGAGCGACCGCCAGTTTTCGCACCCTTCTTACAAATTTACCCCCTCGCCATTTCGCAATTTACCAACACCCATAACTATACCACTCTTAAATCTATCCTTTTCAATACCTTTTCCCCTATCCCATTTTATTTTTTCTATTCGCATTCTTACCCTATACCTGCACCAATACTTGTACCCAGAGGTGTAGCGACCCTTTGCGGCGCCCTGGGACAAACTTTCAATTTGCATCCCCCCCCTCAAACTTTCGATTACTTTTTCCAACCCGTTTTGGCGCTCCCTAAGGTCGGCGCCCGGGAACGTATTTCCCCCCCCCCCCCCCCCCCCCCCATCGCTACGCCTCTGCTTATACCCGAACCGGCTCCTGTACTTACACATACCTATATTACTCCTTACTCATTCTTAATCTCCCCCCTACCCCTATCGCTTTCTCTAAATGACGGGTGGGTAATTGATAGGATGGGGAGGGGGGTATTGTCCTACTGCTGTTATTTTGGGGCGGGGGTTATGTACAGGCGGTGACTTAAAAGGGGTGCAAGCCACTTTAGCAGTTTCTCGTTGGAATGCAAGCACTTGTTCGTCGCCGCAAGTAAGCCTATCCATTTCCTGAAGAAAAAAAATCAATTCAGCAAAGCAAACCTAAGCATAAAAAAAAGTTCGCCTTATTCGATTTGAGACACTTATACTTATACCTATGTGCATAGCTTCTACCTATTGGTTACACACCAGTTACACGTTTTTTCTTAGGCCACTTTTTAAAAAAAAAAAATTGGGAGAAAGTCTGTTTATTAAAAATTGTCTTGCAGCAAGTTGACGCACAATGTTGGGTTACAAGTTACTAGGAAACATAATGTTGTTGTTTAATTTTCCTTTTCTATCTTTTAATTATATAAAAGGTTGTAGTTAAATTAATAGTATTATTGTTCGCTGATGAAATTATATATGTATGCATATGTGGCGCAACTACAGCACAATGTTATTTAAAAAAATAAAGGACCTAATCAAGAGCTCCTTTAAGTTTCAGCTGGTTATGTTGGCGTGTCAATCTGCTGGGGTTGGCGTGTCAATCTGCTGGGGTTGGCGTGTCAATCTGCTGGGGTTGGCGTGTCAATCTGCTGGGGTTGGCGTGTTTCCCAGGGCTGTCGACGACGACCGCTGACCAGTGGCGTGGCGAGGTTAGGTGTCACCCCCCCCCCCCAGAGGCGTAGCGACCCTTCCCGGGGACAAACTTTCAATTTCCACCCCCCCCTCAACTTTTCCTCTATATATTTTGCTATTCTTTGCCTTGGTGTCACCCGGTGCGGTCCGCACCCCCCGCCGCTGACCACACTATCCCTTCATATGCTGAGGTCACTGAAACTGGTGAACTATCCTTCACCTGCCCTGTGGGTTGCCAGGGGAACTTTATTTTACTTTCTTTACAAGGGGACACTAGTCTTGAACAAGCAGGGCGTAGGATTTTGCTTATACTTTTAGTTAAATAATGCAACATTGTAAGGATTTACGAACCTTGACCATTAATGTGCTGAAAGTAAAATGAGTTTAGTTTTCAGATTTTAAAATTTATAATCATTCTTAAAACTAGTTACATTTAATTAGATTTATTTAGCTTCACGATATTAATAACAAACAGAACACAAAATGTATGCAAAGATTTTTATTAAAGAAAACAAAACTAATAGTCTATATATGTAATATTCCGCTCATCTGATTGCTTCCTTAATACTTCATATATATTTTTAGCTAAATTTTGTCCTGTAGCTATAGACAGGCTAAATATACATTTAGCTACACCTAGGTAGGTCAAAGTTTTAAAAGGTTTACAATACCGCTATATTTTGCTTTATATTTTCATAAGCACTTAGAAAAAGTGGAATTGTTGTGAAAAAGTAATAATGGTAAGAAATATAATTGTGCACACATTTATTTTACCATGGATTTATCTCAAATAGCTATGTTTAATTGAATATTGCTCTACCTTGCTGACTTTAACCAAGTACATATTAGTTTAAAACTAATTTACTAGAATGTACTAAGCACCTACACACTCTCTCAATTGAACTTGAACAAAACTAAACAAAAAAATAACAAAGAAAAACCTTGAAATTAAATTTAAAAAAAAAAATGCTAACAGTCAAACAGAAAACAATAATTAATCTTTAACTTTAACAATATTTCACAAAGAAAGGTAATTCACTATACAGGGCAAATCAAAGGACACTTCAGGTCATGCTTATCTCCAAAAGACATGCAAGAATCATTTTTGAGATCAGAAAAACTTTTACCTCATTTGTCACACTTGCTTCTCTCCTGTATGAATTCTAAGGTGTTTTGTCAATTTGTAAGGCTTTTCTCATGTATATGTTGGTGTTTCTGTAAAGTACTCTGTAGTGCAAAACGAGTACCACATTTGTCACAATTGTAAGGCTTTTCTCTTTTATGAATGTTTTGGTGGTTCTGTAAAGTGTAAGTGTCTGAGAAACATTTACCACATATGATGCACAAGTAATTTTTTTTTCCTATATGTGTTTTAAGGTGTTTTTCTAAACCTGCTAAATTATTGGAACATTTACCACAATTGGCACATTTGTAAGGTTTTTCTTCAGTATGAAGTCTTTGATGCTTCTTTAAACCTGATTCTAGTGTGAAACATTTACCACAAAAGTTACACTTGTGAGGCTTTTCTCCTGTATGAATTCTATTGTGTGACTGTAAAATGTACAAGAATGCAAAACATTTTCCACATTTATCACACATGTAAGGCTTTTCTGCTAGATGAATTTTACAGTGGTTCAGTAAATTGGTCAGCCTTACAAAACATTTACCACATTTGTCACACATGTAAGGCTTTTCACCAGAATGGATTCTATGGTGTTCCTGTACAGATTTAATGTGAGTGAAAAACTTATCACCTTTCTTACAGTTGTAAGGCTTTTCTCCTAAATGAATTTTACAGTGGTTCTGTAAATAAGTCAGGAGTGCAAAACATCTACCACATTTTTCACACATGAAAGGCTTTTCACCAGTATGAATTGCTTGGTGTTTCTGTAAACTTTTACTTTGTGTGAAACATTTACCACATTTGCCACACTTATGACGAATTAAAAAGTGGTTCCGCAGACTGCTCTTCAATGCAAAAGATTTACCACATTTGTCACACCTGTACGGTAATTCATCTGTGAATTCTAATGTGGTTGTTTAAAAAATGATTTGTTGTGAAACATTTACCACATTTGTCACACTTGTATTGCTTTTCACATCTATAAATTCCACAGTGTTTCTGAAACTTTAATAGCTCCATGAAGCGTTTGCCACATTTGTCACACTTATGAGGTTTAGTATGAATTGTAGAGTGGATCTGTAGAGTTCTCTTTAATACAAAAGATTTACCACAATTGTCACACCTGTAAGGTAATTCACCTGTGTGAAATCTTAGGTGGTTTTTTAAACAATGACTTGTTGTGAAACATTTACCACATTTGTCACACTTGTAAGGCTTATAATCTGAATGTATTTTAACATGTTTCTTTAGGTAGTCACGATCCTTAAACCATTTACCACATTTGACACAATTGTAGGGCTTTTCTCCTGAATGAATTTTAACATGTTTTTTTAAATCCCAAAATGCTGTGAAACATTTACCACACGTATCACACTTGTATGGTTTTATTCCAGTATGAATTCTTCTTAAGTGTTTCATTAAGTTTGATGAATCTGTAAAATATTTACCACATTTGTCACACTTGAAAGGCTTTTCTCCTGTATGAACTCTATGGTGTCTCAGTAAACTGCTACATTCTTTGAAACCTTTACCACATGTGCCACATTTGAAAGGTTTTTCTCCAGTATGATGTCTATGGTGACTCTTTAAATTTGACAACTGTAAAAAGCTTTTACCACATTTGTCACACATGTAAGGCCTTTCTCCTGAATGAATTAGAAGGTGTCTCTGTAAACCTGCAAACTGCAAAAAACAGTTGCCACATGTTTCACAAGTAAAAGGCTTTAATCCTGTATGAGTTTTAAGGTGTTTCTTTATTTGGTAAAGCTTTATAAAATATTTACCACATATGTCACACTTGTAAGGCTTTTCAAGAGTATTATTTTTTAGCTGTTTTTTTAAATGGCCAATTTCTGTGTCACCCTTATGAGTCTTTTTTTCTATGCTATTTGTAAGGTGTTTCTTCAATTGGCTAAGCTTTGTAAAACATTTATTACATCTGTCACACTTGTAAGCCTTTTTTTTCATAAAAATTGTAAGATGTTGATGAAAACTTGATGGTTGGAAAGAATGTTCACTATTCTTAGAAGTGAGAGCTAAAGTCCAATTGGCAATTTCTTCTCCTCCATGTTTGAATTTCAAATGTGTCTTCAAAAAGGAAACATTTGAAAATGCCACTTTGCAATATTGACACGGATAGAGATCTGTAAAATAATATTATTAAATTGAACTTTGTTGATAATTAACTTTATTGTAAGTTTAATATATAATACTGTGATGCCAATATTCATGTAATAGTAAGTTGAAATATAAAGTCCTTTACTGCATGAAGTGTTTATTTTATCATGTTTCTAGTGGCTACTTCAAACAGTGGACACAGTGATGACTTGTTGCTACAGTGGACACAGAGATGACTAATTGATACAGTAGAGCACAGAGATGAGTAATTGATACTGGACACAGAGATGAGTAATTGATACTGGACACAGAGATGAGTAATTGATACTGGACACAGAGATGAGTAATTGATACAGTGGACATAGAGATGACTTTTTGCAACAGTGGACACAGTCTTCTTCTTCTTCGTTCTTAATTATTAGTGTTGAAGGGGATCGAGATTTATCTGCCAGTGGGTTTGAACTCGAGCCTTACTTCGAATTTATCAACCATGAGCTTTTTGCCGACTCAAACCACGCCTCCAACACAATTAAGCGTTACGTGTCAACTGGTTATGCGCCATTGAGGCCATTGACTCCGATTTCAGCCTGCTTTTCTTTTTGGATTTGCTTCCATAGCCTTTGTCCAACCAAGAACAAACTACAAGGCAGCAGTTGTTTAATTTTGGAGTTGTCTCTCCTAGAAGAGTGGCTGTCCGCAGCTAACGAGCCTCATCTGCCCGAGGGTTCAAACTCGAGACTTTTTCGGTTTAGCAACCATGAGCTTTACCAACTCGACCTCGCCGACCCCACTTTTTGCAACAGTGGACACAGTGATAACTAACTGATACAGTGGACACAGTGATGCCCAATTGATACAGTGGACACAGTGATGAGTAACTGATACAGTGGACAGTGATTACTGATATCATGACAAATTAATGACATCAGACATAACAAGTGAACTACATTAAAAACTACAATTAAAGAACAAAAATCAAATGATGGAGATAAGATTAAGTTGTTGTTTGATCTACTTTTTTTTATGCTGTTGCATTGTTATTGATGGCTTTAAGAAAAGAACAGTCCTCCTTTTTGTTTTTTACATTGTATAATGGTCATTTCAAAGCTATATAGTGTAATTTAATAAGAAAATTCTATGATGACTGATTAGCTTACAACAATGAATGTTTAGTGTTTGCAATGCATTTTCTATATGCAGTATAAATAATAATATGCAGTATAGATAAGATGTATGTGCTGGATGAATTTACCCAGTGTAAAGAACCAAGACAATGCTTCAATCAATGTCATTAAACTCAACTTGCAAACAAAACTTTAAATAATTGATTAAATTGATTTACCACCAGCATTGCTCTCCATTTTGATTAAACTGTTCTTGTTTACAACACCAACCCTCTGTAAATAAATGCACAAGCCTCTGGCATAGCTGTCACCAAATTACACCTGAAAATACCAGAATAGTGTTCTATACTAGTCTACTGAAAAATAGCTTTCACCATATCATTCACATGAAAGCTCGTAATTCAAAAGTCTTATGTCAAGTTGTTGGGTACGAGTATGTTGAGATACAACACAGAATGTGTGTATAAATAAATAAATATATATATATAATATATATAGATCTATATTGTGAAGTATTTTCGCAGATCTAGTATTGAAATTTTAAAAATTCACAGTTGTTAGTTATTGCTAGACAGTTGTTAGTTATTGCTAGACAGTTGTTTATTATTTATTATTTTATTTATGTTCCATCTAGGTACATCCAACTAGATTAGATCTCGAGTTTGAGAGCACAAGAGACTAGATCTAGATACTACTAGAATCGACACCTAGAAATCTAGATTGTCTGACTATACTTAATAAATACTTACTAGAACTATATAACTAGTCTACTACTTAGTACTTAACTACTAGATCTAGATCTAACTAGATTACTAGATCTAGAAGTCTAGATCTAGAAATTCTAGATTGTGTCTATTCTATAATCTATAAATTCTATTCTATACCAATCTTGATTTAATACTGATTTATTCTAGAATCTATAAAATAATCTATTCTACTAACTTAAATTATAATTAAATTATTGTTGATATTTTAGATTAGGTCTAGATTCTAATATTTAATTAAATAAATTAAATATTTCATGTAGACTAGGCCGTAGTCCTGCCTAGAAATCTTTAAATAATAAATAAATAGATCTAAATTTTCTAAATCTAGATTCTAGATCTAGAATATTAGATCTATGAGTTTAATCAAATCAATTAATTAACCTAGATTTTAGAACTAGAGAAAGGGTGATACTTTTAATATTAATAAAATAATGTTAATAACAAAATAACCTGAGCTACAGACTTCAGCTGCAGAGATTATTAATCTTTAATCTTAATTAAATAGAATTATTATTAACATGGTTTTAAAAATTTGAACGGTGTAGCAGCGCCACAACTTGCCTGATAATGTACTCGCTACGTTTAGATCGCTACTCGGAACCAGGCAAACGTGAGATTGAAACCCGAATCCATAAAGTTGTTAATAGCTAATGTTAATTTGTTCAGTATATTTGTTTAAGAATTCTTTTACTTAACGATCATCTTTTACATTCATCAATTAAAACTCTTTTTAAACCTTCCTTTTATTGATCTACAATATTTTTCATAATAAATTAAAATTAAATTAGCATTTGGTAATCGATACATTTTGTTCACTCGAAATTTGACTGGCGATTTCCTTTAAAGGGATGTAACGTACAATGCACCCCATGCGGATCATCTCAACGACAGAATCGTTGAGCCTCTCTCCGACTGTGTCGTTGAGAATAAAACCCTTTGGTGGTTTCTCAGTCAACACTGTCGTTGAAAATAAAACAATAATTAAACATGCTCTCCACAATTAGGAAAGCATAAACTGTAGGTGTTTTGAAGCTAATATTCCAGCCATTTTCTTTTGACGAGAGCTAGTCCAGATCTAGATCTAGATCTAGACTAGATCTACTTGATCAACGATTTACACTGATGTAAAACCTACGTAAATCTACAAGATCTAGATTTACATTTAGATCTAGATCTAGAAATCTACATTATTGACTAGATCTAGAGAGAGAAAGTTAAAAGTATGCCTAGTGCGTCGAAAGTAAATGATAGAATCAGAATCTAGCTAGATCTAGATCTAGTAATTTTTCAGTAGCACTAGCTAGTCTAGATTGACTAGATCTAGATAGTAGTATAGAAAGATAATTATCTCCGTGGCATATCTGTCCTTTAGGATCTATTCAATTTTAAATCTCTTCTATTTCAAATTGTTTGTAGATCTATATCTACAAGCTTAGGCTTAGGTCTAAAAATATACTAAAGCTACACAAAAGTACACATTATTCATAAACTTAATGCCATTAATGGCTAAAATTCACTGAGCATTGTTGCACTTATTAAGACTTAAACATAAAATTATTAGGGCCTATGGTAGCTTAATTTTCTTGACAGCTTTTCTCTTCTTTTTTGCCATGCTTAATTTTAAATTTAAGTCACTTTCATGTGCTGGTAGCTTAAAATAAAACTTGTTTAGGAAGTTTATTTCTTTCTCCCTTTCATAATGCTGCAAATATGAGTAAGATGCTTATTATTATAATTAAATAGCTGCGATAAATAATCATTTGCATCTTTTTGGGGGTATTTCTTTTCCATAAACTGTGAAATATGGTATCTCAAATTTTGCGCGTAACTCAAAGCGAAATATTACTCGCTCAACTGCTCGTATTTAAAAAATCTGGTATGTCGAGGCACTAGAATGTTGAGGTACCACAGGACCTACTATGTATTGAAAGAAAACATAAATTAATTATAGAATAATAGGCCAATATAGTAATAAAGTATAGCTTTAGATTTTATTCAGCCTACTAATAAATAATTAAATAGGCCTAAAGTAGTACTAGATATTAGATAAATCCCTAGTATTGTGTAGGGTTATTTTTATTAAAAAAAAACAGATCACATCTTATACTTGACTTATACATTAAGGCGGGCTCAATAAAATAAAAATAATTTATTTAGGACCTAGGCCTATGTTTTGGAGATCTAAAATTCTAAATGAAAAATAAATTATTAATTAGACCAACAATAGGCATAGTATGCTAAATCTATTTTAGTATTTAAATTTAAGGCTCGGCCATCTACTAAAAATTTTATAAATGTCATAAAATGGCCTACTTTATTATAATTACTAATTACTATTAGGCCTAAGTTAAAACCAGACCTAGCCTATTTTATTAGTAGAAAAAGTATTACTATTAGCCATTAGAGTTAAGATGTTATGGCCTTATGTAAATTAATGTAATCAGTGTTAGATTATGATATCGATCAAGCATTTATTATATAATATCGGAAAGGGGCCTAGCACTCTCTTAGTCATTAGTCTATTATTAGGTCTTACAAGTAGTTTAGCCTATTTATATATTATATAGGCTGTTATTTAAATTAGGCCAAAGGCTTATTAGGAAAAGGCTTAATAGGCTTTAGTTTTTAATTAGGCAACAAGGCAGAGGCTTAATGTTGCTTATAGATTTCATTTGAAATTATTATGATATACGCTACTCTGCGGCTATCACTTAACTATAGACTACTATAGAGTATATTATAGCCTAGGCCTATCTAAATAAAATAATTCAACTCACTTAGCTTACCATAATTTTTTAAAATGTTTAGTTAAGTATTCAGCTCTCTATGTCAGCTAAGGCCCATAATTGTTAGATCTATTAATTATTTAATGATTAGTAGGCCTAATTATAGGAATTAGGTCTGATACATTAAGTCCTATATATTGGTCGTAGAGTAATACTATTGGGCTAGTAATTATATACAATATCTATACAAACCTACTTATCGTTAATTTGGGAGTCTTTGCATTGACCTTAGTTTTCAGATGAAGCAGCCTAATTTTTTATCAGATTATACCATAAAATCAAAAGTAGACTTGTAGAACTTTTTAAAACAAGGCATGAAATATTAATTTAAATAATATAAACAAATAGCCTAAATAACAACTACACAAAGTTAAAGTCATAATAACTTTTTATAAAGGTATCTTGAATTTCAACTGGAGGTAGTTTTGATAAATATTAGTATTCTGAATATTAAAATAGGTAGACTTAACATAAATTTGTTCTGAAAACATATTTAGAAATTGGTTTTAAAAAATGAGGTTATGATTGGGGTGGGTAACTAGTTGAGGATTAGATATGAAATTCATTGTGTTTATCCATGTTGTAATTTCTCTTTTACAGGTTCACCCAAAAAAAAAGGGAAGATCTGATTTTTACCAGTAATAAGACTACAGCATACTAAATGACACAAGATGTTCTTTCTCTATTACCTCTTACATTTGACATAAAAGCAGGAAAAGGTATGACAATTATTAATAAGCTGCTTTAAATTTTATAATTTGTTTTTTATAACTTGATTGTACCATTTTTATTTCCAATGATCATAAATATAATTTAGTGTCATTTATATTTTAAAATATTTATATTATACTAGATATAATATACTTCTATAATATTACTATCCAGGTTTAACAGTCTATGCCTACAACATAGATCTCCAGGACTAAAAGTGCAAAAAATTGCAATCAGTATATCACAAGTATTATAACACACGCATCTAATCTGCTTCAGTGGCGAGAACTGGGTGAATCCTCTCAAACATTAATCAGGTAAGTTATCACAAGTTTGCTTTGGTTTATTTTGAACATGTTGATTGAGATAGATTTTTATTTGTATAAATATTGTATTTAAAAAGTATTTTACCTAGTAAAACCAAGTCAGTGGTGAAGATTGATACAATATGTATTTTTTTAAATATTTGTTTTGCAAAATATGCTGATTTGCAGGAAGGATATATATATATATATATATATATATATATATATATATATATATATATATATATATATATATATATATATATATATATATATATATATATATATATATATATATATATATATATATATAACATTATCATTTAGTGGTTTGTCTTACAAATTTGAATTATTTACTTAATCTGTCTTAACTGCTCAACAGGAACTAGGCATACCTAATGAGCGTCAAGCTGATACAGTAGATGTACAGAAGAATTTAAGCACAAGGTAAATATTGATAAATTTTAAGTTTTCTTTTTTTAAGGTTACATGTAGTGTTTAGGGAGAAAGGAATTAAATTATTTAAATTAGGCCTAATAGTTTATTTCTCTATCTTATGTTTCTCTTAAAATAACTTAAATTTTTCCCCCTTTATCACTAAAGCAAAATTTTATAGATATCTATGCCATGATTCATCTCATTCAATCACTTTTTTCTTGTTTTGTTTTGATGTATTAAACTAATTTAAACTAAAGATTATTTTTTTTTTTTTTGCTAATTTTATTATTTCAGATGGATGATTAAGAAAATCATTTTGTTTTGTTTCAGGAAGTGAAAAGTGATGTAAAAGGCAACTAATACTTCCATCTACCATAGTTAAACAAGAATCTGCAAATGGTAATAATTGCAATAATCTTGATATATTAATGTTTGGCTTTATAATTATATGCAATTGTCAGGTTTGATAAATAAATTATTTCTCAAAATTTGATGTATTTGGTTTTCTTACTTTGTACATAAGATGCAAGTGATTGAAAGCTGAAAAGGGTTGTATGTAGTTACAGTATTCCCAGCACAAGTTGACATTAAAACAGCTGAAGCCCTTTTAAAAAAAAAAAAAAATAATAATAATCTAGGAATGCTGTTTCTATTAGCTGAGCACTTATTTGGAAAAGAACTTAATTGTTTACCAGAGAATACTGTGACCCAGTTTGTACTCCAGGCAAAAAGTGCCTATGTTTATTATTATTAAGTTAAAGAAAAGTATCAAACAAACAGGATAATATTAATAATAAAGACATCCACACTAGAGAAGTATGGAATGAGTGTTGCATGGAATCCAAATCAACTTTGATGTTGCTAATTGCTACACTGGGCATAATTGGCCTACATTGACTTTTGCTGAGCTAGGCAACTGTTTTTGTTTAACTTTAGATGTCGACTAAATAAAGAAGAAAACTGACACGCCAATACCAAAATCAAGAACTTGTAAAGTTCGTGGTTGCTAAACCGAGAAGTCCTGAGTTCAATCTCCCGTGTAGATGAGGCTCTATAGTTGGGGATAGCAACCTATCTTGGGGATACAACACTTGTTTTTGGATTGACAAAAGATAAAAGAAATCCAGAAAGAAAAGCAACTGAACGAAGAAGAAAAAGGCTGGATATATTCGGTATCAACTGTACAATTTTAACAGACACACATTTCAAACTACACATGCATTTCAATGACAAAGTTCAGTGAAGCCATAATGTTGAGTTTGACTGAATGAAGAACGATATTGTTATTTCAAGCAAAGTTAAGGTTTATTGTCTTAAAGACATTGTCGTGGATTGATTTAGACTAAGACTTCCCTGTTAAATAAGCCGACAACGATGGCTCTTCTTATTTCTCGTCTTTGATGTTGCTTTCAAGAACTTGTATGAGATTAGATTACCTACATAAGGCTACAAAGTTTGGAATCGTGGCTTTCTAATAGTGGACCTGGCTACATGACATTACCCCCACCCCGTCAATTACCCCCCCCCCCCGGAGGAGACCCCCCTCCCGTATTTACCCCCCGGGGCAATTACCCCTTGTCAATAACCCCCCTGGAGAATCCCCCCCCCCCCCCCCGGCCTCAAGTTATGATCCTAACTCAAACTCTATACCTATGTATTTCCTTAATCCTAATCGATAAAAAAAATGACCAAACCCTAAGCATTCACCTCAGCCTAAAACTTAACACATAACCAAAACCAACTCTAGACTTAGGTTTCAGCCTAACCTTGACCATAACACTAACCCTAATCCTAGCCTTAATCCTAACCCTGACCATAACACTAACTCTAATTCTGAACCTAACCCTAACCTTAGCCCGAACGCTAACCCTAACCTTAGCCCGAACGCTAACCCTAACTCTAGCCCTAACTCTAACCCTAGCCCTAACGCTAACCCTAACCATAACCCTAACCTTAGCACGAACGCTAGCCCTAGCCCAAACTCTAACTCTAGCCCTAACTCTAACCTAGCCCTAACGCTAACCCTAACCCTAGCCGTAACCCTAACCATAATCCTAACCTTGGCCAGAACGCTAACTCTAACCCTAGCCCTAACGCTAACCCTAGCCGTAACCCTAACCATAATCCTAACCTTGGCCAGAACGCTAACCCTAACTCTAACCCTAGCCCTAACGCTAACCCTAACCCTAGCCGTAACCCTAACCATAACCCTAACCCCAGCTGTACCTTAAGAGGTGTGTCCGTGTGGGGGGGGGGGGGGGGGGGTGTCCTCCTTGGCGGGGGGTAAATGACAGGGGATAATTGCTTCAGGGGGGGGGGGGAGAGAACTAATAATTTGTAAGTCCTACTATTCAATACATTTGGTTTAACACAATGTCGTCACACATGTAAAACAAAATAAGCAGTGTTTTTATTATTTGTATCCTTAAAAAATGCAAAATAAATGCTACGCCATTAACTCAACCCTCTTTTTTCTCGTTACATATCGTCACATAAAGCCACCGCCCAAAATGATGGTGACGTCAATATACAATCATAAAGTGGTCACCCATTAACGACGACTCACTCTTCAGACGATTTTGCACCCAACCCCCCTTCTCTAATTGTAACACATTTTCACAAAAAGCCAGATCTTCGCTTCCCCCCCCCCCACCACCACTCTCTTTAAAAACACCACACCTCAACACATAACCCCCTCCGCCGTTCCCCTGAAACTGCATTTTTACTTTCTCGTATATACGAAGTATAGAGAAAGTCTTGTAATCGTGCAAAAAAAAATCGAGATTTTTTTTACAAATCTCGACGTTTTACACCTCACTGATACGGAAAAACATAATTGTGCAATCTTGTCCGTATGTCTGTGTGTCTGTGTGTGTCTGTGTGTAAACACGATTACTTGAGTACCGTTACAGCTAGGTTGATGAAATTTCATATATAAGTATTTTATCAAAATCGTAGATCCGTATAAACTTTTGAGCGATTTCCGATAACCGAAAGTGGTACTTTTTCTACTTTGAATTTTTCAAAAGCCTATAACTTGAGTACTATTTCAGATAGATAAATGAAATTTCACATGTAAGTAAAAGATCTAATTCTCTGCCTTCTGTCAAATTTTGAGTAAATTCCGTTGACAGGAAGTACTAATTTACGCTATTTCCGATTTCTCAAAAAAAAAAACGCACGTAAATTTATAAAGTACTAATAATGTTGCGCACTATTATGCACATCTTTATTTGGCGTTCACTTGGTGTGCAATTCTTTTTTCTACAAGGTTTTATTCTATTTTAAAAAGTTTAAGTATTTAAAGTGGATTAAAAATCATGTCTATTTCTCGAGTTGCCATTCCCGGTAGTGTTATATTAGAATATTCGAGAAAGTTTAGGGGAGATCACTCCCGGTTTATTATAATATGTACTGACCTCGATAAACATTGAGTTAATAAATGAATTAATACCAAAAGCAACCTTTTAAAGCCCGAAATAACGGATGAAAGGAAAAATGTGTCGTCACACTTTCCGATCACCCCTTCCCATAAATGAAAAAAAAAGCCTGAACATACTAAAGGAGAGTATGGATGTTGATGGAGGATCCCAACGTTAAAAATTAAAACAGGGCAAAATTTCAGGAATCCATGTTACATATTATTATTTTCCTTAGGTATAACAAAGGTATTTACATTGTGTTTTATATTTTACGAGCCGCTATCATACGCCGCTATTTAGTTGTTTCATTTTCTACTTTTCAGTAATTCATAATTTGTGAATTCGACAGTAACAATGCTGCCACTGAAAATATTTGCTTTAAAACACTATCAGTAGCTCGTTAAGGACGATAACCTCCCCCTCCCCACCCTCCTTTCACAGAAACCCTACCCCCCCCCAGTGAAAGCAGCCCCCTCTGAGTTACCTCCACTAAGTTTAAAATCGTTTCAAACTAAATTATCTGCCCCTAATAGCTGTCACTAAACCCGGCTCTACGATTGTAAACATTTAGCTTGAACCACAGCTCACCAGACCATGTAGGGATCGGGGTGGTAGGGATAGAGAGAAAGAGAGGGGGCTGCAAGGGGCGCTTACCGCTTGGTGTTTTCTATGGTATCCATGAAGAGAATTATTTATTTAGAAGAAATATATATTAAACCAGCGTACCCGTCCCGCGCGTTGCTGCGGTCTCAGAAGACCGACTGACGCAATATTTTAAGAGGATTCCATAATTACATTAGCAATCACGTATTTTTTTACGCTTGACATTGATTTCTAAATCTAAACAATTTAAATGTAATCAAAGCCGGTGTTATATTGCTTTCATCATAGTTGTTGAGGCGCAAATTCTACCGCACACAGTAGCCCATTGTATCCATAATGTATCGCACTCTTTAAAACGAACGTAGGCGCAATACTGTTTATGAGGGACCCACACAGAGGCGCTAGACCACACGCCAGTGGTGCAGTAGACAAAAGTTTCCCTACTGTAGGGCGCTCTTTTAAAACTCATAGTGTTCCTCCCGAAGCCAGGGGGGCGCACCGGGTCAAACGAATTGTCATCGAATGTCGTGTGCCACAGAGTCAATATTGTAGAGTGCTCTTTAACACAACCTTAGGATATCCCAGGGCGCCAAATCGCATCCTGCCGGGGCGCCGGCAGACGCGCCTGATTCCATATAGTCAAATTATTGTTGACCATCGTGTCTTTAGTGTATAAATTAAAAAAAACAAACACGAACGTAGGCGTCGTAGTGTTCACATGGTAGCACGGGGCGCTTCGGGTTACGTAATATCCGGGGCGCCGGCGGCTGCGCCTGTTGTTGCTTTTTTACCTTAGCCCCCATGCAGAAGGCTCAAGTTTTAATATCGCCGCCCTGGATTTTCGGGCGCCAAGCCATTTATTAACAAAAATCGCACCCTCTAGGGAAACGCCCATAATAAATTTTAATTTTTGTTTTCGCAGAAACCTTCTCGTGAGTGTTTTCATTAACTCTCGAAAGTTTAACGGCACTCAGAT